CTCAGGATTTTATTAAATTTAGATTCACTCTCTTACATTCTACCTATCTTTATAAAATAATTCATTTCAACTGCACAACTCTTTTGTTCTTTTTTCATTATTAATTTTTCAAACTTTAGATCATTTTTACATTATTTTTTTAGTTGCAATACTCATCTATATGCAGTGATACTAGGCTCACTAGCATTAGACTTACAATGTAGGCTTCTAATACGATTTCAACTAACAATTTCTTCTTTAATAACATGATGTCATTCTTTGAGGAGATGATAATATTTTCATGAGAAAAGATAGTCATAAGCTCTCAATCAAGATGTATGAAGAAAGATAAAGCCAATAATACCTCAAATAATAGTAGTGATAGAGGAAAATATAATGACTTAAGAAGTTTAACAATCTATGATTCTCCAATCACTATAAGCAAGATATGTAGTGCATATAGTGAAAGAAAAAGTTACAGTAAATTTTTGGTTCACAACATATATTTAAGTGGTAGATTTATGAATTTTGAGGTCTGCAAATGTTTCACCAATTAGTAAGTGACAATTTTTTACATTTTGAAAAGGTCAAAAAGACTTGCATGATGTGATCCATTAGTTTTTGTAGATAGAAAAGATTTCGAGGGAGAAGAAAATAAGAAGCATATTTTATTGAGGAAGTTAAAGAGAATCAAAGACCATGCATCATTTAGCACTGCTAATTGGTTTACATTTGGAGAAATAGCTTGTTTGGTAGATAAGAAAACATAGAAAGATAAAAGCTGAGTAATGAGGACATTAACTCTAATACTTTAGAACGTCATAGGAGTCCAAGATGCAATGAAGACCCATTGTGAAAGTCAACCTAATTTGAGGTCAACACGGAGCAAGGGACAGATCAAAACTTGGTCCAATAAACTATATGTAAACCCCAAGCTTAAGAAGGAGAGGAGGGTAGTCAAGGGTCAAGACTTGAATTACCCTTCAAGCCCTCCCCCCTAGCTGCTCACTAAGGAGGCACCATCTCCCTTCATTCTTCATGGGACCACCTTTATAACCACCTTTGTAACTACCCTTCCCTTAGGGTAACCGATAAAAAAGGGGCTACGAAATTGAAGAGGAAAATAGACTGATTTTAGTGAAAATATTGACAAGTATTGTCATTCTTTCTCCTCTTCTATTGATCCTCTTCTATCTCTCTCTATCAATTTGATCTCTCTTCATCAAATCTTCTTCTTTACCCTTCTTCTTCCCCTAGTTTCTCTACTCAATCTGTCACCCATATAACTATCACCCCTGTAATCTTCAGTGGATCAAATACCCTAAGAAGAGTCTTCAAGCTTCATAAGATTGTGGGTAGAGTGAGTATCACTCAACATATCATAACTCTCCCATCTTCTAAATTGAATTTGATCTTCATTCTTTTACTCTTGATCTTGATCCATGCGAGAACATATAATAGTTAACAAATTACCTTTTGTTTTGATAATCTATTTCTCACTTATTAAAACTTGATCCACTTAATTAAAATTGAACATCTCCATTTAAGAGAAAATAAAGATCTTACTCATTCAAAGTTAATGGAGTAATTACTTACATATCTCCTTCCATTGACTTAAGCAAGTGGGTTTCTCTATTCACATCTCTAAATTTTGTGATCATTGAATTTGAATTTCTAGTTCCACTGTATTAACACACATGATGGAGGGGAGAGGAAAGATAATATGAATTTAGATATGAAATTAGATAATTTATCTCAAAAGAGAAAGCTGGATGCACATAGTTACAAAATATTATTAAACCCTCAAGGTAGAAATGATGAGGATATTTCTCAATTCTTAAGAAGTGTTCTGGAAATATATGGTGAACATACATCATAAAATTACAATATTCCAATTCAGTGAATGAAACAATGTGCACTCTTATTGACCTTGCAAAGGAACCAAGTAGCATTTAGACAAATTATTTGGTCGTTGTTCTTTGATTTCATTATTTTGGTTCTCAAATATTGATTATTCTTTTGAAACATCATGATTCCCAAAAGATGTAGTTCCTAGTGGACATTGTTTGCCAAGCTCTCTCTCTCTCTCTCTCTCTCTCTCTCTCTCTCTCTCTCTCTCTCTCTCTCTCTCTCTCTCTCTCTCTCTCTCTCTCTCTCTCTCTCTCTCTGTGTGCAAGTACAAGGTCCACAATATAATGATGTAGACAAATGTTATTTTGCAGAGCTCTACAACATTATTTACCTCAGCAGTCCCTCAAAAGCTAGGCCACATGAGATCAGACAGACATATAGGTCATTATCTTCCTCATTGTGGAAAACCCTCGCAGTGGTGGGGCCAAGGAGATGGAGCAGGGCGAAGTCAGTGACTAATGCATGTGCTGCCATCTTTGTCCACAAAGATGTTGGAAGAGATGAGGTTCACTTATACGCGGGGTGGGGGGGGGGCAAGCGCCATGGAGGAACGCAAGGCCTTTTGCCACACTCAGGACGAGGTTCAGCCTGGCCCATTTATAGTATGATGGGAGACGAAATTGATTTAATTATTAGGCATGAATTTAAAAGACACAACGGATCAAGTTATTGTGCCTAACGATTAGAGGTATTGAACCATCGATTAAGAATCACAGATCCAGATATTTTGAATCTAGTATAAAAGAATCTCATATCCCATTAAAAACAAGGTGAATGGATTGTTTTGATCCAAGATAAAAAACCTCAAAACTGACAACAAAAAAATTGATGCCTTTAGAATGAAGATCATAGACTTAAATAAAAGGAACCAATATTGTTATGTTTAAGAGTTAGCATGTGGATCCATTGAGGATACAAAAGTATCTATTCATCTTGATCTTGCTAAATTATTATCTTTTCTATTTTTACTAACTATTGCAACAACTGTTCTCTTTCATATGGAAATTAATGCTTAGTTTTCACATCCTCTCGAATCAACCACATAATGTGAGAAATTTAGAGTTATAAAAATTATAAAAAATATTTCGCTTGTATCATCATATGTTTGTGTCAAGAGAAAGCTTAATCACAACATAAATTCTCAAAGATACCAGTCTTATAATATCTTTCATAAATCATTGATGAAACCATGCATTTAATTTCATGAAACTATGGTGTTATTTTTAAATAATTTATCATATTGAGATAAAATAATTTATAATTAGATAAAAAAATAACAATCTTCATCAATTCTTTCATTGATACCCCAAGTAGAAGGGTAGTTGTGATTATAGCCTGAAAAATAAACATATTTTCTACGTCGAAAGGAATTACACTAATTCTTAAGAATATTAGTACATAGTATAACTAATTAAAAAGATATATGTAAGGCCGCGATAGTTTATAAATATCCTCCCATGTACAGACCAGTTGGGCTTCAGATGGGGTCCATTTGAGAGAAGTGGCCCACCTGGCGTGTCGTCTACGGGCGCATAGAAAGGAGAATGATCACGTGCATCGAGCCAGTGCTCTCAAAAGCGCCTCTAAATTGTTGAAAGGAGTAATCTCTCTCTCTCTCTCTCTCAAACATACACATTTATGACAGCACGATAAAGTGTAATCCTCCATAACGCATCTTAGCCAAAGGTCCCCCCTCTCCCTCTCTCTCCCATTCATGACGGAGTTATAAGGCGTTTTCTTCCATGTTGCACTCTTATCGAAGTTCTCTCAAGAGGCATTATGAGTTATCATTGTCCTCAACCCTTGGCCCTCTTCAACAGCGTAAAGCCAAAGTCCACTCGATTTACTCCCACAAGCCTTTCAACGATGGCGCGCCCGAGGAGGCAGGGGGTGTGAATATCAACTCTCCCGCAGACAAGGCTCGAACCGACAGGAAATCGATCTCGGAGCTATAACACTAGTCGTTGACCACCGCCCCCCGGTCATCGTTGGGACCCACAAAAAATCTATTGAGGTCGCGGAGGGGCGTGGTCTTCGCACTCCCTCTCCGTGAGCCAGTAAATTAAAAGGCATATATATATATATGGATATATAGTAAAGAGTAGAAGATCCCTTGTCTCCAGCTGGGTAACCTCTAATGTCCTTGGCTGGTTGACTGAATAATTTCAACGTACGCTCATAACGTTCTTGGGTTCTTCCTAAACAAAGCACCTAAGAAAACCAAGTCTACTAAATGGGCCTATTTTCGATAGTTTGTTGCCATACTTTCCAAAGTCAATGGTTGGATAAGGTGAAACCTAGATGCTTGTCAACCTTTTTATTGTCACATTTATCACTTTATGAAGGTGCTGACAAGAAGGGTCTTGACTTTCTGTGAGTCCTGCCGTGAACATATTTTTCATACTTTTTCTCCAAGACGAGGCTTTTTTCATGCTTAAGCTCAGTATGAGAGAGAGAGAGAGAGAGAGAGAGAGAGAGAGAGGAGGAATAGTAGTATTTATATTCCTTGATGTGACTATATAATAATACACTATTTAGGCAAATTTATTCCTCTCCATCTCTTCAAACTCACTTCGTCTCCATTCCAATCGGAGCCCTCGTATGTTGAATTTGGCAATGTTTTCCCTTTATAGACATCAGTATCATGATTACATAAATATTTAAATATCTCTTTTACCTAAAAATATGGTAATGATAGGGGGTGATTGATGCCTTTTACAAATAAAAGGACAAAAATATAAATAAGAAAAGATGTAGTGGAGGTTTTTTTTCATGAGTGGACTTTGGGATTTTTTCTACGTTTTTCTGTTTTTATTTAGGTGCGTGATGATCTGATCATTGAATCTCTCTCATGATATCCGTGAATCCTTTATTTCCCCATTATTTTATGCACTCGCCTCCAAAGCCCATAAAACCGCTCCTTCCTCCACAGCCTGTGTGGCCCCTCTTCTCTATCACTACCCCACAGAGCGAGTGAGAGAGCGAGAGAGAGAGAGAAAGCTGGTTCTGAGGAGAACCGGGAAGAAGAGTAGAGAAGGAAAGAAAGACAGGAGGAGGAGGAAGAAGAAGAAGAGTAGAAAGAGAAAGAACGACAGGAGGAGAAGAAGAAGATGAGAATGTGGTCGTCGACTTCTCTCTCTTTATTGTTCTTCTTCCTCCTTTCTACCAACTTCTGCACCACTCCGTGGGCTCTCATCGACCGGCCCTTCCCCGCGCAGCCCTTCGTCTCCACCAGTTCCGGTCACCCCTCCACCATCCCTGCCTTCCCGGAGCAGTCCGACTTCTCCGGTAGCTGCCCACTCGACCTCCCTCAAGACCTCCTCTCTACCGTCTCCCACGCCTGCTCCTCCTCCGCCGCCACCGTCCGCCTCTCCCGCTCCCGCTGCTGCCCCCCTCTCGCTGCCTGGCTCTACGCCGCCTACTCCGCCACCGCCCTGGCCGGCGGCGCCCCCGCTGCCTCCTCCCGTCCCTCCGACATGCCGCTGCTGCCAGAGGACTCGGAGGCCTGCGCCGGTGGCGTGGAGAAGGCGCTGCGGGCCCGGGGGCTGGATCTCCGCCCGGTGAACGTCACCTGCGACGTCGCCACCTGCTTCTGCGGCGTCCGCCTCCGGCCATTCTCCTGCTCCGGAAGCCTAGCCGTGGAGAGGGACGCCGCCGGCCGGTGGGTCGCCGGCGGCGCCGCTGCTCGCCGGATCGAGCGAGACTGCGCCCTTCCGGGCCCCTCCGGCTGCTCGCGCTGTCTCCACAGCCTCTACCAGGTGAGCTCCCCTCACCATCACCACTCCGGCGTGCCGCCGGCATTCGGTGTGCTATCCCGCCGGATTATGATCCATTGCTCCTTACTTCCAACACGGACTGCCAGTCCTTGTCTCTACACTATTGACCACTTTAAACTACTAACTCTGGAGACATCGTATTTCCGGACAGCGGTCTTTCATACACCAATTATTAATTCGGATTTTATTAACCTGAATCACCGTTGAACCGGTGGACCATTCCTTTCTGATGGTGGACCATCCTGGGTCGTCTTCTTCGTGGATCTTCCCACTGCAGTTGCAACCGGCGGCGCCGGCGCACGGCGGCAACGAGACCGGCGGCAGCAGGGGGCCCAAGCTGGGGCACGCCGGCGACTGCGAGCTCCTGGGGATAACGTGGCTTCTGGCCCGCAACCGCACCCTGTACCTGCCGGCGATCACCGGCGTCCTCCGTGCCCTACTTTTGGCCGCCGGCGACGGGCACCCCCTCTCCTGCACAGTCGCCAGCGACGGCAAGCCCCTCGCTGTCGACTCCGCCGACCTCGACGACTCCATCTCCTCCTCCGCCCGGCCCCTCCTCTTCCCGGCGGCGTCCCTCCTCCTCCTTCTCCTGCCGCCGGCGGCGATCCCCTTCTTCCTGTCCTGACGGCGACCGGAGACGGAGATCGGAGAACAGAGAGGAATTAGGGCGTACCAGAGAACTGCGGCGTTTCCTTCGCTGTGGGATCCGATCTGATATTTCCTGTGCTCAGTTCGTCGTCGTCTTCTCCCTCCTCCTGCTCCAGCTGCCGCCGCCGGCGAGCCCCGTCTTGCTCTCATGACGGCGACCGGAGACGAAGATCAGAGAAACAGAGGAATTAGGGCGGAGCAGAGAACTGTGGCGTTTTCCTTCGCTGTAGGATCTGATCTGCTATGTCCTGTGCTCAGTTCGTCGTCGTCGTCGTCGTCGTCGTCTTCCTCCTCCTACACTGGCAGGTGTGGGATCCACTGAGGGGACGGGGAGGGGGGGGGGCGCCGCCGGAGCTGGCATCGCTGGCGCGTTCCTCCCCCTAGGGGACAGGAAACGCCAGGCAAATCACGGGATCCCGCCGGAGAGGCAGAGCTCTCTCCGCTCCGGCGAGAGCCGACGGAGTCGATAATCAGCCACCGGAGGTGGAGAGATCTCCCGTTGCTCGCCCCCTCCGGCGATGGAAGACCTACCGGAGAAAGGCTGTGGAGAGATCTCCCATCACTCGCCTCCGGCGATGGATGACCTGTCGGATAAGGAGGGCTATGGAGAGATCTCCGGTGGCTCGCCGCCGGTGATGGAGGATCTCCCGGAGAAGGAGTGACCTTTGCTCCGGCAAGGGCCGACGGAGTTGATGAGCATCTCCGGTGGAGGGCTCTGATCGCTCGCCGCCGGCGATGGATGGACGGATGGACGGAGGACCTGCCAGAAGAACCCAAAATCTTTCGAAAAAAAGTTCCAAATTTTCCGGTATTTGAGTACGAGGTCTCATATCCGGGTTTGTTTTCAAAAAAGTAATTACATCAGTTTAATAACATACCCTTTTTTATTATTAGTCATAAACCTTCAGAATCAAATTGGAAGAGAAGAATATGATTCGTCCACGTCAGTTAGGATGCCAATGCACGCCGCTTTCCTCTCTCTCTCTCTCCTCCTCTCTCATGCCCGGGGATGTTTTATTAAAAATGATTACATTTATTTAATAAAATATTTTTTATTTGAGAATAAAATCGGAAGAAAAAATATTATTTGACCAAGTCAGTTAGGGCGTCAATACACACTTCTTTCTGCTTTCTCCCTCTCATGCCCGATGATTTATTTGATTGAATAAAATACTTTTTTATTATTAGTCATCAGCCTTGAAAGTCAAATTGGGAGAAAAAATATGATTCGTCCACGTCAGTTAGGATGTCAATGCACCCTGCTTTCTGCTCTCTCTCTCTCTCTCTCTCTCTCTCTCTCTGGGAGTCAAAGAAGCAGATGGGTTTCTAGAAGAAACCAAAGTGGCTAGCATTCGACGCAGGAGAGGGCCGATCGGGAAGACGCTGGAGCTGCCGCCGGCGAGATCGAGATCGAGATCGTCCGCTGCTCCTCGCCGGTTTCCCCCTTGCCGTGACGGAGGCGGAGGAGGGAGATAGATTGCCTCTAACCCCTCCGTCATCTTTTCTGGCCCTCAGCTTGGAGATGGCGTCCCCGCCGGTGGTCCGCTTCCCGATCGTATTCCTCATCCGGCTATTCGGCGCCGCCGCCGCCGCCATGGTGATCGCGTGGGTCGTGCGCTTCCGTGGCGGAATGGCCCTCTTCTCCGACAACAAGGACCTCATCTTCAACGTAAATCCTCTTGGTGCTCCTCTCCCCTCGCTCCACTTCTTGCGACTTGTCGTCTGATAGTTGTGGCTATTGTGGATGCTCTTGTTTACTTGTCATTTTCCCATTCTTGTGAAGGGAACTGGGGCTGCGAGTGGTCCCACAGACCGTGTATAAATTGATGGACGGACTTCAGATCGCATCTGAAATTTTCCTTGTTGATCCGCACATTTCAAATTTTCCTCGGTCTAAACTCTGCTTGTGGGAGATTTTCTTGCGTCACTGTGGACAGATCGGAGGAAATTCTGGTCTTAGGTTGGACTGTGGTTGTCATTTTCCCACTCTTGTGACTTGAACTGCGGCAGACCGTGTACAAATTGATGTACAGACTTCAGTTCGCATCTGAAATTTTCCTCATTGACCCAAACGTTTTCAAGTTTTTTCTCGATCTAAACTCTGTTTGTGCGAGATTTACTCACGTCAATGTAGCCAGATCGGAGGAAATTCTGGTCTTAGGATGGACATCGGACGAATAACTGAAGGGAAATCAGGAGCAAAAAAAATGCTATTTTCAATTAAGCTGAAAATAAAAAGGGTACTAAGGATTTATAACGATTTGAATTGGTTCTCTGATGAAAACTGCGACAGCCATAGGTTGGATCATGATATGAGGCGAGAGACTAGTTGGTGAAAGTAAAGAAGAAGATTTTATGCTTTAATATTCAAGGTCAGTGTAGGTTTTTCAGGGTGATGACTCGACTGGTATCATGTTCCTTTCTTTTTTAATCCGTTGTCCAAAGTATTTTTTCTTTTCCTTAAACTTGAATCGTGATTTCACGCCAATGTCAGGCCTTATCCCTTAATCTGGGCATCAGTTTCAGATCTTGAGAAATCATTGCTATCATCCTATATAGTTACCAATATGAGACCATTATCATCGCATACTCCTGAACCATCCTTTTGGTGGTTAGAGAGGATTCTCATTGTAGACCTAGGATTGGTGATTGCTTTTGTTGAAGAGAAGGAAAGAAAGGAGCGAGAGAAAATGTTGGTTATTTTACATAGAATTCTCTGAGACATGAGAGAAATTGGCTTATTTTTGTGCGGTTTGGTAGATTTTTATCTGATGATGAAGGTGTGATAACGATGTAAAACAGAGTATTATATATATATATACGTTTTTTTTTTTTAATTCACATGTGGACTATTCTTTGTAGGTTCATCCTGTACTAATGGTGATTGGCTTTATACTTGTATACGGAGAAGGTATGCCATTATATACTCCCTCACACTATTGCAATAAATTGTTGATTGTATGTTTTATTTTCTTGAATAACCAGAGGAAAATCATGAAGTTCGTCGAAATATATGACCTCACAATGAATTCGGCCTTTCAGTGAAACTCCATCATTTTAAGAGATTGAATATGGAAAATAAAAAAGTGTTCATAGAAATGTTATGGGCATCAGAACATGGCTATGGATCCGTGCCTACACATATCATAATGTGCCCACTTGCAATTGTCTTCTCTTGAAGTTTCTGGCCCCAGAAGAAAATGAGGAATAAGATAAATTAAGAAATATTCGTTTAAAACGCTTAGTGCCTCTTTCTTCTTCTATGGCTAGTTGCTTGTTCAAGGGATTATGCAACTTCTGGTTGTTTTGATGAGCATCAATGAAAAATTGGAGTGTCTCAAAGATTAATATGCAATTTTTTTTATTAAATACCTGCCAAGGAAATGTTGCGGGAAATTCCGAGCCAGCAATCATATTCTTCAGTATACTCTCCCTCTTAAAGTGAGAAACTTCCCGCCATCAATGATCCGGAGCAAAAAATATACTTTGATGACAGAAATCAGCCACTTGCTGCATCTATCGAAGCTACCCATGAACAGATTTCATTTCATTGCTGATTAAAACTCCTCGTGTGACGGTCTCCAGCCATGCTCGTGTACAAGACGATGCCGGGGACCAAGAACTTCAAGAAGGCGGCGCACCTCTCTGTTCTGTTCCTTGCGCTCTGCTTGGGGGTCGTCGGTGTGTGGGCGGCCATTAAATTCCACAACGAGAAGGGCATCGACAACTTCTACAGCCTCCACTCATGGCTAGGCCTGGCGTCCCTCATCTCCTTCAGCATCCAGGTGACTGGCTCCTGCTCCTCCTCCATTTCACCCTCAGCCTAATTTCCCTGCGATCTTCCTCCAGTGGGCTTTGGCATTCGCCACATTCTGGTACCCGGGTGGTTCGAGGAGCAGCAGGGTCTTCCTCCTTCCATGGCATGTGTTCTTGGGGGTCTACATCTATGCCCTTGGAATTGCCACTGCCGTCACTGGGATCCTGGAGAAGGCGACCTTCCTGCAGAGTAACAGAGAGATATCGCGGTACTCGTCTGAGGCATTCCTGGTGAACCTTCTGGGCATCCTCCTCGTCGTCCTCGGTGGCTTTGTGGTCCTCGCCGTGATCACCCCCACGGTTGGCAAGGGCGGCGAGGCACTCCGGAACGGTGCCGACTAGACACAGGCAGCTTCATTTTCTTCTGTTTGCAGGAATCATATTAATGGTAGATCAGTTCCCAATTCCCATGATTTCTTCTTCTACTTAAAGTGGGGAGGGATCTAATGTTGCTAGAAAATGGTACGTTTCTCCAACAGAGCTCTCAATTTTGTCTACTCTTATCAAATGTGTTGGGTCAAACCAGCCGCTTTCTCTGTGGGTTTCTCCATTCATTCTTACCAGATTTCTGTATGGTTCTGTCCATTCGTGCTCACTGGAACTGTCTAATTTGGGAACGATTTTGGGGAGATTGCACAAATGAGAATCCTTTGTCTGAACTCGTACCAAACTCAGAACCGAGATAGAGAGAGAGAGAGAGGGAGGGAGGGAGTTGAGGGGGGCAGGAGTGGGAGGGAGAGAGATGGCAGAGTGGTTGCCCCGAAGAGCGTACTCTCTCTGGCTTTTGTTCAAGTTCGTGCAGTTTCCACGGCTTTATGAATAATGTGGTACCTTCAATAATCATAACACCCAAGATTCAAACAAAGAGAATAAAAAAGTGAATAGACTAGCCACTATAGGCTAACTGGACCGGCCCTCTCTCTCTCTCTCTCTGTGAGTGTGAGTGTGCGTGTGTGTGAGAGAGAGCAAGAGAGAGAGAGAGAGAGAGAGAGAGGAAGCAAAGATGGGCTTCTCACCTTCACATCTGATCTTGTCGTGGGCCTGACATGTCCCAGTCAGGCCCGTTGAGACCAAACTCAATAAACTAAATGGGTCATTTTGCATTTCTTATATTCTTCTTTTTTAATAACCCTCTCTCTCTCTCTCTCTCTCTCTCTCGGTATATATATATAGATAGATATATAGATATAGATATAGTTGTACCCGTTCACGCTTCGAAGAGGCGTGACAGATTGCAATTTGCGTGGGAGTCGATTGAGCCGGCACGTAGAGACTCTGGGCGATCATCCCAAGATCATGAGCATGGACCTGCCCAGCCTTGAGAAAAGCTCCCTTGGAGCATATAATACTCCGAAATCCATGACCAAGACACCATTTTACGTTATTTATTTCAGGGCTGGACATATATTGGTCATAAAAATAAAAAAAACTTCAGAACTGAAATGGTCGGTGGTCGCGTTCTCTCCTCCCAAGAATTACGGGAGTCAATTCTCAGTGTTCGCGTTCTCTCTCTCTCTCTCTCTCTCTCTCTCTCTCTCTCTCTCTCTCTCTCCTCAGTGTTTGAGTCAATCCAGCTCCCAGCTGTCAGCGGCAGCGCCCAGGAAAATGAGACCCTGATATTGTTTCCTTTTTATTTAGCAGAATCCGAAGCATCCTTAGAAAAAAATGTGGCGTAAATCAGTTCTGACTCACGATACGGAGAGAAATAAGCTCCCCGAGAGGAAACCCACGCAACAAAAAAAAAAAAAAAAAAAACTTATTTCCTCATCGTGAAGAACTGGTTCTGTTCATATCTAACTTCTTCGCCTCTCCTCCGATCACGAGGGGCTCCCGTTGTGCGACGCGAGGATGGCGTCGATGGCTTCCTTCACCTGCGCCAGCTCCGGAGCTTTCCCACCGTCCGGAGGCCAAAACTCGTCTGTTGCAAGCACCTGTTATCCAAAAGAAAAGGAAACCCCTTTCATGTTGATATTCAGACTTTTTTGTAGATAATATTATTCAAGAGACTTCTGTTGTCCAAAAGAAGAGGAAACCCACCCCTTTTATGATGATATTCAGACTTTTTTGTGGATAAGATTATTTCAAGAGAGTCTTGCTTAAGCATCATATATTCAACTAGATAAAATTGATCTTGTGAAAATAGTAAAGGGTCATCTTTCTCTTTATCCATACATGATTTATTTTTTTTTAAATAGTTAACATAATATTCAGTTTTTAAATCACCATTAAGATTAGATAATTCTGAGGAGGCACAGCCTCAATCGAACGTCACCTTCACTTGTAACTGGAGAAACTTGACGTAGCTTATGGCTTTCTCCAGCATGGTGACCAAATCAACCTGCACTAATTATGGGAGAGTCACTTGAAAAGATTATAGTCATAATGATCATAAAATTTCCCAATTTTAGAGAAAGTTGGGAAGAAAAAGCGCTCACCTTTGTTCCGTTGGGCACCAAATCTTGTAATATCTTCAGCCGCTCGCTTATCCTCTCCCGTCGGTTCTAAGCCACAAGCAAGAACACATTTTAATTTTTGGGATGGTTAGTACCATTAACTAATCAACGGTTTGGCTGTCTAAGTCAAACCCAATTGGTTGCGGGTAGAGGGAGCAAGTTTAATGTGAAACACGCATCCCTGATTCTACCATGAGCAAGAGCACATCATCTTGTTTGACCATCTGACTCCTCAAACCCAGTTGACAAGGGATGGAGGAATTATAACATAACGCTACGTTCGTATGAAATGATAGTGGGTACCTTTGCTGCGACGCTCTGAGGATCCTTGCAGGTGTTGACTTTGGACTTGGATTTGCTGTGGGTGGTAGCACAATGTCTCTTAGAACCCATGCCCTCAGCACCCTATGAGAATAGGTAGCCCCAACAAAGTCATGTATGCGTATGTTAGAGAGGTATATTTTTCTAAAATGTATACATATATATATAGTGACAAAAAATATAATATTTTTATATGATGTATTAAATTATGTATATATTTAACATGCAATTACAGTAGATAGCCATCAAGGGATTGTGGGCAATAGATACATTGCTAAATTTTGCGAAAAGAAAATATATGTGAAGTAGTAGTCAAGAAATTATTGACAATTAGGATCTCATACATGCGAAGGAAAGGAGGAATGGAGTTACTTTGTGATTATTATCGATGGAAATAAAGCGTTTATCGATGATAGGGATCTTGTAATTTTTAATAGATGAGAAACGAGGGGTTCATGATTTCATCATCACCACTGAAATCGGAGAAATTATGAACAGTTTAGATGGTTGAAACAATCAAACAGCACCCATGATTAGGATCTTCTGCGTGTAATTAAGAGCATCGAACTAAAATAGAAGAAGGAACCCAGAAAAGAATACCGAGTTAGGCCGCTTTTGGAGGCCGCCATCGCCGCCGATAATCTCCTCGGAGCAGAACCACCCGAATTCCTCCTCTCTCTGGTTCTCCCTCACAGTCTCCGCCACCTGCTCGTAACAGCTGGAGATCTCGAAGCAGTTCATCTCTTGATCGCCGGCGGCCACCGCTGCCGCCGGGGTTTTCCGGCGGTGGGGGCCCTTGAGGTTGTCTTGCTCGAAGCTGAGCATGGAGGAGTTGGAAGAGGAGCTCTCCGAGAGGGCCTTGAAGCTGAGGATGGAGTGGGATCCTAGAGAGAGAAGGCCGCCGGTGTAGTTGGTCGGGGAGGAGAGACGGCCGAGGGGATGGTTCAATGGCGGCTGGGCCAGAATGGTCGAGTCCTGGAGCTTGACGGCGGCAGCGGCGGCGTTGGTGCAACCTCTGTAATGGTAGGAGAACTGGAGAGGAGAGGGCGGTGCCGGCCCCGGGGAAAAGTCAGCGCGCGAGATTGAGCTGTGATCCCTCGCTGGCGCCATGGACGAAGAAGTGCCGAAGGTGAGGAAGGAATTGGAGGACAGATGGAAGGTGGGGAGGAAGAGGAAGAGGCGTCAGGGTTGTACGGATCGGTGCCTGCTCATTGACGCGAGAGAGAGAGAGAGAGAGAGGGAGTGTCTTCTTCTTCTTCTTCTTCTTCTTCTTCTTCTTCTTCTTCTTCTTCTTCTTCTTCTTCTTCTTCTTCTTCTTCTTCTTCTTCTTCTTCTTCTTCTTCTTCTTCTTCTTCTTCCTATTCCTCTCTCTCTCTCTCTCTCTCCCTCCCCTAGAGTACGTATGGAGTCTGCGGCTATATAGGAGAAGAGAGAAGTGGAGAACGGAAGCAACCAGGCTGTGTCTGTGAGTGATCACGAGAGGGCACTTGCCTAGGGTACGTTTTTAATGCTATTTTAGGATTAGGGTTCCGTCAGCTGCCATGAATCAGCAGACGGAATGAGAGTGTTGACGAGAAGACGGAATGAGAGTAAGTGACACAGAGAGAGAGCGAGAGTTGAAGAGTGAACAGAATAACAGAGAGGATAACCGAAGAGAGATCAGAAGTATTCCTCTCTCTCTCTCTCTCTCTCTCTCTCTCTCTCTCTCTCTCTCTCCCTCTCTCTCTAGTTGTTGCATAATTCCATGGATCAAGCACGTGGGGCTCTTCAATGCCCCCCGCGGAGCCTTAGTTTTTCTTTCTTCTTTAATGACCGCCCTCAACTTCCATAAGACAGGAGAGGGAAGACGAGCTCCTAAAACCCAGCTCCTCTCTCTCTCTCTCTCTCCCACCATCTCTCGTGCCTTTAAAGGACTTACCTGCACCGTTGACTCCCATACCTCTGAGAGTCAACGTCTCTTCTACACCTGCAGTCTCCCCACTGGATCCCATGGGACAGCGGCTCACTCCTCGCTTCCTTCAGATTCGATCCCCTCTGTTATGTGAGTCCGCTCTTCGCATTTATTTTCTCTTCCCCCATGATACGTTCTTCTTTCCATACGTAAACCATCACAGAGAGAGAGAGAGTGAAAAACCTTGCCAGCGAAGAAATTCAAGCCTACAACTCAAGTGAGCTGCGGCGGAATGTTAGGTCACGTGCATCCAGCCCGGTATCGAGGATAAACAAAGCGGTAGAAGTCAACGGGAGGGGGTGAGAGCGGGAATCCCGAGGCCACATGAACAGCATGCGGCAAAGAAGGAAGAAAGGTCAAACCCTGTTTGATCTGACGGCAAATCCTCGAGAAGGGTGACGAAATTGAAATGGGTTCACAGTCCCAAGGCCCTGCCCGGTTCGATTTAGGTAGGTCTTCCAGTTCATCACAATATTCCACCTCGCCCGAGAGAAAATATGGCTCGGTGCTTCTGATGACCAGCCATGAGAGAGAGAGAGAGAGAGAGACAGAGAAGTTGGTGATCGTAGAATAGGCATGTGGCAAGAAGAGCTATTCTGACCCTGTACATGGGTTGGACCCACTCCATCCAGTCTGGGCATGTGTGTGTGTGTGAGAGAGAGAGAGAGAGAGTTGGTGATCGTAAATGGGCACGTGGCAAGAATAGTGACTCCGACCTTCTACTTGGGCTGGGCCCACTGTAGAAGGTCGTGAGAGAGAGAGAGAGCCATGTGGGTGAGCGTGGGAATGTCGCGTGGCAAGCTCCAATCGGCCAACCACGAACGAGGTCAACTCAGCCACCCTCCGGAGATCCGGCCGCTGCCAATCCGCTCCACTCGACACCCCACCACACCGTATTCCTCCGCCGGCCGGCTTTCCAAATAAAGCAGAATCAAAGTCCTTAAATAGAAACATCGAGTCATGTTCTTCATCTCAGAAACAGCAAAGGCATATCTGCTAGATAGACCACTGTAGCGCCGACCTTTCTACGTCAAGAAACCCCCCCCCCCCCATCCAGGAGGTACCACCACAGCAGCAGGAACAACCAACGCAGAGGAGTTCTGGCAACCCTGTACCCGCTCCCTCCGCCCCCCGGCGGCGGCGGCGGCGAAGGTCAACGCCGGCCCTCCCGCCGTCATATATTATCATCCATAAAAAGCAAGTAAAATCCTTCCCCAGGAACCCACAAAAGTGCCTGCTTTCATTCCCCTAAACTTGGAAGTGCGGATGAACCTGGGTTTTCCATCAGTTGTTGGGCATGTTGTTCCGGGGGGCTTGGCCACGCCCGCTGAATCCATAGGCCCTGCCGTAGGAGCCCCTGGAGCGGCCACCGCCGCCGCCACCCCCACGGAAGCCCCGCCCACCGCCACGACCAGGACGATGCCTTGGGAAGTCTCCGAAGGTCTGAAGACATCAAGTTCAAAAATGAGCAAATAAAAATAAAACCCTGGTGAGTTTGATCTTGCCATAATTTCCTAATTTGGTAAGTAAAATGGGGCACAATATATGTATATCTCATCTCACAAACCTCTGTGTCGATTTTCATTTGCTCAGAGAACCTGACTCGGCCGTTCCTCGATCCTCCCCCAAGGGAATTTGAGGAGAGAGAATCAAAGAAGTCGTCCTTCACATAGACCGGCTGAGGTAGAGAAAGAGAGAGAGAGAGAGAGAGAGTCAAGAACCATAGGAATTCAGAAGGGACGAATATGTGGACGATGGGTAGGGAGAGATTCATGCAGAACAAAGGCTGTGTACCTTGACATCTGGCTTGGGGTGTTCCTCGGAATCCCCCCCCTCAAAGACAATCTCGTCAGCCTCATCCTCGACTGCGTTCCCTTCCTTGTCCCTGCCTCTCCCGAGATGACCCCACACTTCATCCTTGTTGAATTTCTCATTCATCGCAGTGAAATCAAAGTCTTCCGTGAATCTCATTGCGGTCCTTGAGAACTGCCCCCACAAAGACACAGAGAGACAGAGAGAGAGAGAGAGAGAGAGAGAGAGAGTTCAGTCAACAGCCAGCATGGACAAATTGATAGTGCAACAATAGAAAAAAGTTCGAAGATGGCGCCAGATTTATTAAGAGGGCCGGACAATCAGAACCCAAATATGGCATGGAAATCCTGCAACAAATGCAAACAAGACACACGCTACACCTCCGGTGAACGTTTGATATTGATGGGAATTTAAATGGATGCAGCAGGAAGGAGTACAGGGACAGAAGCCCCGATGGAAAAACATCCTAAATGAGGAAAAGGAAATATATAAAGGCATTTTTCTGCATCTATCGGTTCAGGGAAGAACATGAGAGAGGCCAAGAGCAGCCTCTTTTTAGCTAAAAATGTGTGCTTCCCTGCAGCAGAATTCATCATGAACTGAGAAACGATTTTTATTTTCTTTTTATTTTGTTTGGGCCCAAAGAAAGCATAGAAACAGTTTCCTAAAGAGAGATGGGAGGGCATGAGAGAGAGAGAGAGAGAGAGAGAGAGAGAGGGATGGGGGGAGACCACCGTACATGATGTGCAAGAAAGTAGGGACGACACATGCAAAGAAAACTCTATATGAACAGAGCTTAATGAATGTAATCTTCCTCTTTGAGAAGATTAATGCGCGAAATAAATGCACAAGGGAAGATTAAGCACGATACCATGTGTCCTCTTCCTCTTCCTCGCCCCCTGTTGATGTGATGGGCGTGCATGGGAGCTCCGTTTTTCTGAGGAACAGACAGCCATGAATTCTATAAAGCGCACATTCAGGATCAAACCAGGTAACACATTTATAGTAGCAAAACATATGACCGGATAAATGTAGAACCAATCATCAAGCCCAAACAAGGTATAATAAAAACTACATGACAAATCACGTATCAAGTTCATACCGACAGTGGAATAGCATAATGTGTTCATTGATAGATTCTTATAGCATAATGCTGTACGGACAAGATTAAGTTCGAGCTTTTAAAGATTGGTCAGACAGACAGATAGGATTAAACCTCACACATGGCACGTCAAAGTTTGGATTGGCTGTAGAGCAAACAGTGCACAGGGACGCATGGCAATGTAAACCCAGTTTAACCCAATCAGTTGTGTTTTAGCAGCCTAATTTTTCTCATGTGGGGGTATCATACTCCCTTCCTCCATCCCATCGGCATGTAGAGCATTCATGACATCATAGAGCCTTGTTCATACGAGAAGGAAAAGAGGAAACCTTCGTTAAGAAAAAGCTCAAACACTTCATCAAAATAACAACAAAACCACTCGAAGGTTTTTCACCAGAAAGACAGTCTCGAGGCACGTCAATAAAGGCAAGGGCATATGGGTAAGTTCTTACTACCTAACCTCAATTGAATTCTCCTCTTACTCACCCCACCCTTTGTGACTCTACCTTTGCTCATGCAGCTCTCATTTTTGTTTCCTGTATTGTTTACCATTTACCTCTGCCTTTCTACCCTTTTCTACTTTGTCTCCCTTTTCAGTATCATTAAGCCCATTTTCTTCATCCAATAATCTTCCCTTTTTTTCTCTGTTTCATGTTGGATGGGACCGATCATTTATCGCTTCTGTCCTAATAATTCGTAGACAAAGCAGATAGTGTTCCGAGGTATTTGCTAATTTTTCAACCTCGCAGGAGTCATCCGCCCATATCTTTGTCCTCCGTCCATTACCAGGGAGCATCGGATCATCCTCTGCAATCACATGTCATCACCGTAACTTTTTCCCCACTTTCTTTTTATATCCACTAACTGCTTCAAATATTGAGAATCAACGAATCTATGAATATATATATATATATATATCTATATATATATAGATAGATAGATATCTGTCTGTGTGTGTGCGTGTGTATTCTAATCACTCAAAATAGCAGTAGCCTGATTTCTGGCAAAATAATCGTCCGCCATCATCTGAAATTGCATTAGAACTTGACATGTAAAATGTATGCGTGACTAGACAATGACTATCTAAAAAACACAAAAGATAAATAAATGGAAGGCTTTTTACACCCACCTGCTGCGTTTTATAGAGCATTTTTAGAAGCACTCATTCAATATTTTGCATTAAAAAACAATATAATCCATATACAATAAGAATCAGCAGATATATCTCAGTAGTGACTGATGCAACTAACTTCCCCATAAAAGAATTTCCGCGGGCCACAAAAAAGAATGCGCGCCAATCAAATAACTTAAATCATGCCTTCAGAACTGATATTATTAAATCACAATTCATCAATAAAACAGGTGGCTTCCAATGATCAGACAAGTGTACAATGCCGTCGCGTACCTTCTGGTCAGATGGCCTAGGTAAGGGAAGTATTGGTTCCTTGGTTTCAATTGGAGCCTGCTCCTGTGTTTCTGATGGCACTGGTCGAACCTCGGCAGTTTTGTTGCTTGTCTGCAAAAGCTGTGCAGAAGCAACATTGGAAGAGCCAGATTGCAGTATTTGACCAGGTGTAAATAACAATGGCGTTGATGTGTCAGGAAGGCTTGAATAGGATGATCCAGGGACAGAGGTAACAGATGATGCGATTTGTTGAGCTGCATCTTTACCTGAAGTACCCTTAGAATTCCCAGAGGCAGACTCAAGGGTAGATTCCAGGCCGGATGCAATTGGCAAATCATGACTAACAGTCGAAGGCAAAGAAGTGACAGGGGGTTTGCCTGATAACAGGCTTAAGGTTGCGTCAGGAGAAGTACTAGTGGTTTGAGTAGAACTTGGTAATGTGGCAGATGCTAGGTTACTTCCAACGGCTGATAATAGAGGAGGAATATCAGGTAAAGTAAGGGAACCTGGAGGTAATAGTATGTTAGATCCAGGTAGATTTGTAGATCCAGATAGTGGTGGCACACTCATTCCAGGCAAAAGTGAAGGTACGGATGGCAAAGATGCACTGATCCCAGATAAATTTGAAGGCACAGGTGACAAATTAGTTCCTGACAAAGACGCAGATAGGGAAGTTGCCTCCTGTCCAGGTAAATTTGGCAATCCAGGTAGCAATGATGCATTTGCTCCAGGAGTCTGGGAGGAAGATGATAACAAATGATTGATACCGGGATACTGCAAAGGCTGTTGCATGGAATGAGGAATGGGCAGACCGGGTGGTGGGCCCGGCGGCCTGAGCAATGGTGGCTGCTGCAGATGAGGCATGCCACCTGAGGGAGGAGGAGGCAAGCCACCTGCGGAAGGATGAGCCAAACCACCAGCAGGAGGCAAGCCACCCGTAGGACCATGAGCCAAACCACCAGGAGGTGGCATGCCACCAGCGGGAGCATAGAATCCTTGCCAATACATTGGCATTGCAAGTCCCTGTCCATTCATTGCTGTTGGTGGTGAAGATCCCCAGGACGCCATGCTACCCCCAGGCTGATATAAAGGCAACCCACTCTGAAATGTTGCCCTTGGAGCTCCCACCTGAGCTGGGTGTGAAGTAATGTCAGCAACAGCTCCACTCCCAACTGAAGGTAAAGTAGCAGGGAGAGAAGCTGGAGCAGCTGGACGAGAATAGTGCGACTGCAGAAGAAACAAATTAGTTAAAACAGGGAAAATCCTCCATCTAGATCTCCATACGAGAATAGAACTGAACTTTACTTGAATGATTGCTGGGTCGTTGTGTATAGGAGCTGCAGTCTGAACAGGTGGCGAGGACTTAACCTGCAAATCCTACAATTAAAACCCAAAACTGTCAAATGGTAATTTTCTCCTCAGTCAATCTTGACCGACATAGGAACGACGGAGTTTAATTTCTACATTTTCATCACATGAATAGGTAACATTTTTCGTTCATAGTTCAGAATTTATTTTAGAACCAGTACTTTCCTTATACATTAATATTCAGCATCCACATCACAAGACCAAAAAGTAAAACTCATTTGAACAAAATTATTAAAGCAACAAAAAGCCACCTAATTCGCTAGATACTCCCAAAAAGAAAGCTCAGTTATATGTTGGATTTATACTACCTTTCATAAAACTTAAGACACGTGTCCACGAAAACACTGCACTTGTTGTCAAGAGAGAGTCAAATAATCCCATCCTATGTCAAACAGATGCCGAGGAGGAACTACAGTACAGGAGCTTCAACGCGTTTAAAAGGACAATGTAGTTCTTTTCACTACTTTATGCAATAAGACCTTGTCTACTATGGATCTACCATCGTCGTAGTAAAATATGTGTAAAAAGAGAAATTTATTGTCATGTCAATTAAAGATATTCACAAGAATGTAAGTCTTCATTTGACACACTCACGTTAATATCTGAAACTATGACACAAACATGATCGTGTTCTTGCATCCAATTAAAGGTTATGGCATTCATCTCTTTTTTTTTTCCTATTAATACCTTACCAAGGGTAGTCCTATTTGTTTTCCTCTTCATTTCATAATATATCTACTATCTCTGTATAATTTTTACTAATTCTACCAGTTTTCTGCTGCTTTGTTTCAAATAATGACCAAGTTACATAAATCGACGAGATTAAGATAGCTTCTTAGAGATGCATAATTCCAAATCTCACAATTCTGCCTGCTGGCCACTCTTTCTCCGTCTGTCCTTTCTATCTTTGAAGGATTATAACAACATAGAATCGAGGCTGGTTTCAGGCTGAGGCGGCAAAGCCTGGCATCCAAATCCTAACAAAATGGCACCAATGATCCTTTTTGTGACTAAAAGTTTCTTCAAAGTAATTTAGTTAGGTCAGAGCTTTGTCAGGGAAGCTGTTCAAAACACCGTGTTCAAGCAAGTCTCAAGAATAGTACTGTTGTTATCTTCCCCGATTTATTTACCATTAACCACACACACATACACAGAGAGTTTCGGCTGCTGGAAGGACGGTAACATCCACGTTCTATCCTTCAGCCAAACGCTACAAAGAAGAATTAATTCCCATAGACGACAGGTCACTGCACAGGATCCAGAGAAAAGCATCCTAAGTATGCTCACACAAATAAAATTGAAAATTTGATTTGATTTGAACCCATTGTAACTCCTTTCTCTAGTTATTTGATTTGAATAAATTCAAGACCAATAATTCCTATGTTTGAATTGAAAAAAAAAAAGAAATGAGGGGAGAACAACACATGTTTCCATCTTCATCTAGGCAGCCAGTACATTTTTCATCAAAAAAAAACAAAAACAGTGCTATCTGACACAAAGGTAAAGGCTCGTAGCAATTATGCAAACTTGTAGAAGAAGAAACTTGCAGCAACAGTTTCACTGTTAAAAAAAAGAATTAAACAGATATAACACCATTTACCAAAGCTGTTCACAGATGGAAACCGAGTATTGATAATAGATACCAAGTTAGCACAGTCAATGCAGAAGAAGAAAGAACAAGAAAATCGTGCTAAGATAACTTTCATGACAAAACCATTAAAAAAAGGAGAAGAGAATTCCAGAAATCACACACATATATTCACAACGGAGACACGTTAAAAATATTAGTCAGAGATTCATATATTCTTAACCAATCAAGAAAAATTCGGTTAACGAATAAAACAAGTCCATCTTTCTTCTTTTCAACTTTCTTTACATGAACATAACTTCAATGCAACGCTTTTGAGTACAGATCCTCAATCAGATATAGATGTCATAAGAATAGAGCGGATATCGACGCAGTAAAGCACACATTTTTCTTTGCATCCATGAAACAAACAATCAAAATGAAGTACAAAGTTTTGTAGCCATCAAGATGGCTTATTCAAGTAAACTGGCAATGCACATTAATGTAAGGCACCTTGATATCACTGCCTCGGAAGAGTATGTACTCATAGATTTTGTCACTTGGCGGAATTTGTTGTCCATCCTTCTTCCTACCTTCAGTTCCAAACGACCTCACTGCCAAATCAATCAAACGAGAAAAAACCTTCAAATTGAGTCTATCGTTTCTTCATGTACAACACACACAAACATTGAATGGGAGCATAAAAACTCCAAGCATGGCTCAAGACAGAAACTGATCATGCAAAACTCACGTCACACTGTGCAACAATAGTTTATGGCATGTGGTTTTCATAGTTTTGTTTCATACTACTATCTTACAGAAATATAGTAAATATGCATGACCTACGAAAATAGACAAGGAAAATTGTTAAGTTACAAGAAAGACAGATATTTCCTTCACGAATTAGGATAACAATGACATAGAGACTCTCCATCACGGATTTATGTTTCCTACAGAGAAGCCATAGCACAAAAGATATCTTGCTCCGCTTATCAATCCAGAACCTAAGTTACAGAACTACTTTGTGCCCAGCGTGGAGCTTGTCTATGCTCAAGTTCTCATGTTAAGTCTATTCACGTTGGTGCACACCAATCCCTGAAGCTTCGCATGTCACTTTGGTAGGTGTAGACTTCACGGTATTTCAATAAGCGTGCAGCATGGTGGATTTAAGATCTCATGCACTCCATATTGCGTCCCTTTGCAGTAGCCGCAATAAGAATAGCACAGCAGAGTAGTTTTAAGAATTCACACCCTCTGCATTGCCTCCATTGCCATTGCTCACCTCTCCCATGTTCACCACAAAAATTGCCTGCTTAATCTAGATAATGTAATTCTATTCACTTATGGAAAAGGTACAAAAGGCCCAAGGTCGAGGCGAAGCAATTTCTCGCCGGGAGACAGGAGCAAGGTATTTCTAACGTTCAGGCCAAGTGATAGGAAAAGAGCATGAAAAATACAGAGCGATATTCACCTCGACCGATAGAATTATTGTCAGCTGCGAAGTTAGAAACAAGAAATATTGCTTTCAGGGGACACTGTATTGAGGGAGGGAAACATATATGCTGAGGCAAGAAGATTGGATATTTTCCATGCACGACGATTTTAGGATGCGGTTTGATCGTTCTCCTTTTATCTCACACCCTCATATACCGCCTTATTTGTCCACCAATCCAGTCGAACAATCTGCTCCTTAGACACCGTTCCAAAAACAGCAAGCCTATAGACATGAGTAATACGATCTTCCATCTATAAATTGATGGTGCGCGTGTGACACTTTAGTGAACACGCATACCTTTCAACAAAAGAATCTACGAATCTAGTGAGAGAAACACAAGGGAAAAGTTGAAGAACTGGGACTGATAGGTTAAGAGGAGCAGTCAAGTAAGAAAACACTACTTCAACAGTAAAGAAAGCATCACACTGGAAATGAGATGGAGCGGGTTCTTTTCAATCTGCTCGATCTTTTTTGGAATGAATGAAGACGATAGATTTCGTGACAGCAAGGACACAGAAATATACAGATAATGTACCAGGAAAGGGGCAGCCGCCGAAACGATCAAATATCACGAAACCGGTAACTAAAACCCATATCTACAGACCGGAGCCTCTCAAATCCAGACAAAAAAAGAAAACACCACGAATATATTTCGGATCAGGTACAAAGAAAGGACGACTTTCCCACAGATTCAAGAAAAGACACGGGATTAGGGCAAATCCGAGTACCGTTTCTCAGACCGATGCTGGATTCCTCGGTGTTAATATTGAACAAGACTCCCTCGTAGCGGATTTCACTCTTGGAGGTCAAGCTGATGAGGCTCCCTATGTAGGAGTCGGCCGACGGCTCGGTTCTTGAGGTCTTCGCCGCCGCAGCCGCCATGGCGTGCCCCCCCCGCCTTCTCCTTCGGAGGAAGGGGCTCCTATCTTACAGCGACTTGCCGCCGACAACAACAATCAGCAGCAGCAGACGAAGCTGAGACGGATGTGTAGAATCTACAGAGAGTGAAGACGGGGGAAGATCGGTATGTCTTTTAGGGAATATAAATGGGAACCCCCACGGTGTACAGAGAGAGAGAGATAGAGAGAGAAGAGGAACGGCTGCCGCGACGCTTCTATTTACTAATATAGCCTAACATGCTTCTATTTAGTAAAATACCCATAAATTGTCATCTTTTGCGCTTTAGCCCATGGGCCCGCTACACCAACGGGCCGAGCCCGGGAACCCGTCTACACTTGCTATTTAGAGAAAAACAGTCGAGCCCGAAAGCCGTCCCATCTCAAGCCAGTTTCCTTCAGCTTTCTTGGTGGAGTTCCGCAGACGTGGGGATCGACTATTGGCCCACGTGGAGGGACCGAATTATTGGGCTTTTTTCTTGGACGCCCAGACCGAGCCCGGGCCTTGCGAGAGATTCATGGGCCCATGCTGAACTTGGCCTGGCCCAGGCCCATTAACAAATAAAAAGACCCAAAAAAAAAACCTTCTAAATGCCACAACTGCAGAGAGGAAGGAGGAGAAGAGAAGAAAATAAAAATAAAACCCACCAACCAGCCCACAAAGCTTCAACCTTTGATGTCCCTGACCATCGCCACTGGAGGGGAGGAGAAACGTCACCCCCATTCAATGGCTCCTCAGCTCATCTCATCTAACAATTTTGCGATTCTGACAGAAATTGCTTCCTCTTTTTTTTTTTTTTACTGGAAATTCGCCAATTTCCATCTATTGGTTCATCCTGCATCTAATAATTTCCGGTTCTGACATTGACGTTGCCAAAAAAAAATTACTGGAAATTCGCCAATTTCCACCTGTTGGTTCATCCTGCATCTAACAATTTCTGGTTCTGACAGAGAAATTGCCATTTTTTCACTGGAAATTCGCCAATTTCCATCTGCTGGTTCATCTGGGTCGGCTCAATCTCCATCTCAGTGGAAGCAGCATCAAGTGAGAAGAACACGGGAACACCCATCAACCTGATGACCCTTTTGATCTCTTCAAAGATGGGGAGGAGAAGAGCCTGCGGATCGAGAGGATCGGGTCGTCGGCCTGCAGAGAATTCAGACACATTCGATGAACCCTAGAACCAGAGCGCGACTATTAAGGGACCGATGATGAGCCCCAACCTCGTCAGACAATGGCGGTGGCGGCAGCGGTGGCGGCTTGGCCAAGGGAGAGGATTCGTCTTTGGTTAGAGCCTTCAGAGTCAGCTTCCAGCCCGGCAAGTCCTTCTTTCCCATTGAGGCAACCCAAGGGCAGAATGGGCGGTGATGCCGAATTGGATCGAACTTGTTGGCATCACCCTGCTGAGAGTCCAGACTGGGTTTGTTCCCTGCAGCACCAGAGCAGGCACATCGTTCATGTTGGTCAATCTACTGAAGAGATTTTTTGAATGATCGTCCATGGAATCAAAAACATTGGTCAGAGCGTGTTTCAAATGATTAATTTTCCCTTCTATCCACTGCATCCATGACAATCCGCACCAGTAAATATTAAAAATAAAAAGTTACGATTGTGTAGCATCATTAAGTCAACTACGGTGCACGAATTAAGTCAACTAAAGATTTACCAGAACATGGAGAAATTGTTGAGAAAGAGAATGTGAAAAAGACTCAGGAAGCATTAATGCTGAACTAAAAATTAATATGAAATACTACATATTAAAGAACACGTAAGTTTTGGAGGCGGATCTCAAAGAAAATGAAATAGTGATATCATTGGAGTAAAGCATCACAGTGAATTCAGCCCATTTAAATTTCTAATAATGGCAAGTGACCACCATTTTCTGAGAAAAAGATAGTGAGGAAACTTACAGGAGGAAGTACACTCAGTAACCACATCATCAACCACAGAAATCTGGTGTGGGGTCCTCTGCGCAGCAACCTGACTGTCTGTACTTCTATCCACAGGGGGCTGTGGAGCGTCAGTTTCCATGGCTCCTGCCACATGTACACCATCCCGCCCGTTCAGACGCGCATCCACTGATGAATCAGGTGTAATACTTTGGGGGGTTGTTCCGTGGATTTGTGCATCCATTCCTGGAAAATCATCACCATCTTGGCTGAAAATGTTGGCTTCCCCCATTGCTGGGCTATGCACACGACCATCATCACTGTTGGATAGAACACTATCAGGGAGTGCACAGGTGCCTTCTTCGGTTTGAAGAAAAATATCATCCACAAGGTCAGTAGAGGGAGATAATCTATTTTCTGCATCCTCAGCAACGTTATCCAGGAATTCATGGGTATTTGCACTGCTTTGCTCATGTCCCTCCTCGTGCATCAGACTGGCATCTCCATTCAGATGAGGCCGAATAGCTTCCTTTTGCTTCAATATTTCTGAAGCTTCTTCAGAAAGAAGATCAATGTTCATAGAGCCCACTTGATTCTCTAATGGGCTTTGGGTATATGATTGATCCATAGCTTGCGCCTTGGAGACATGGCTGTTGATCTCCACATCTTTCTCAAATGCAGCTCTGAAATGGCGGGCGACAATGGGCAAGGAAATTCTTGGTTTGAAGTGTTGCTTCGTTGGTGGAGGGCCACCTCCAATGGTCATACTTAAACTTGATGCTTTCTGGTGTTGGGTTGAACCATCTGAGCCACAAGCGGCAAGATCATTTTGTCCATCCTCAGGGGACTCAATCAAGTTGAAAATCTCTAATGGCCGCGCCACAGTGATAAAAGCCCACAATCCAACACATGCTCCACAGAGTTTGCACTCTAATACTACAGATGCTGGATCATAAGGGTCACCAGCAGCTGGATGATCACACCGTTCGTCATCTTTCTCTCTGAAAATGGCTGAAGATGATGTAACACTAGCAAGATTCTGATTACCAAGAATCCTTGGTGAAGAATCTGCCACCTTGTCCCTTTTGAAAGATTGTTTAGACTCATGGCCATAGTCAACAACATAAGGAACCAGACGGGGTTCCCATCCACATAAACTTATGATCTTGTGGGCCTGTACGTGGACTTTCTATTAGTAGATACTCTTCGTAAGAGAAAAAACAGCAAAGAAATGAGCAGTGAAACAAAAGATTATAAGGTGAAGCTAAAAACATTGGGGGAATTTACAAAAATCAAATATGATACCAACATGTAGTCGTCCATAATCCAAGGAAATAAGATATCGGATTTCTTTTTTAACCAGGGTATTATTTTATTTATTCGAGCTCTCATTTACTTGGTCAGTGTGAATCCAAGAAAAAAGTTGGCCTTTTCAGAAGTGGGCATTACCCAAGATCATTACACACCAAAGAGAAAGGGAGGGATGTATATGTAGTGTTCCATGTGTGTCAGCTTTATACTACACAGAGTTGAAAGAGACAACGGACTGAAAGGCTAAAACTGTAGTTGTTTCTCCTGAAGCTACTGGATAAAATAACCATTTGTTCGAGATGACCAACTATTGTGTAAAAATGACAGTCTAGAGATGAAACAAGCGAGAATTCATTTGACAATCAATATATTGTTCCATGACTCACCTAAGAGGTATGGAGTTCCTTGGTGCATCAGTATTGGACAAAAAAATAGCATTAGAAGAAAATTAAATGAGGAGTGATCTCCAACTGCAACTCAAATACGCAACCAAATTTTATAAACCCCCAGATCCAACGCCTGCTTTGGTCGGGAAAGAACACATGCTTATTTGAACGAAAAAAACAAGGTGCCATCACATAACCTAGAAATAATAAATCCCATTAAGATACGAGGTCATTTACAATCCAGAAAACAAACTAGACAAACCTGATGATACAAGTTAGAGGTGTCTGCTTCAGGAACGCCATTCAAAACCAGGCTTTCAGAGCTACTTATCAATTTCATACCACCATCTAGTCTGTATGTGAAAGTAGTTGGTTGTGATAGAAAATTATCAAGCTGAGGACATTTCATGAAATCAATTACTGTTGACGAGATGACAGGAAGAGCTGAAAGTCGTAGTAAGGCAGTTGAACGTTCTTTGTAACTCTCAATCAATGCTGGAGCAGGTGTTGGAGGAAAAACAGCCAAGGCTTCATCACATATATTGTCGATCCATGGGCAAAGCAACTTATGTCCACCGTCTAGATTTAAGCTGAACACTGCAGCAGCCTTTTCAACTGCAATCAGAGGATTTATTGCTCAATGAAGGACTTACACATAGAAAAGGACAATCAATATGTTTATAAAAATGAAGCGCAACAATGTTCTAGTTGGTGGATAGCTTACATGCCCACGTATCTTAAAAACAATGATGCAAATAAAAGGGGGTTGATTCTTTGGGGAAAAAACAAAACAATTTCTAGAGGAAAATTCTATTGGCAAGTATTCATCATGATGAATGGACAGATCAGAGACTACTGACTGACAGCAACATGAACTGAAACTCGTAAAAACTCTAATAATGCATGAACATAAGAAATATCAAGAGCGTCATGAACGAAAAAAGATATTCCATCAACCTTGCTGCAGTGTCCACGAGGAAGGATTAGAAAAAAGAAGACGTGCTCCACAGGATTGACATGCGAGAGTATCCATCTGAACATTTACCCATCCTCTTCTCGCACAATTGACAGGATCAATTGCCTGTGTCACATAAGACAAGGTTAACATCTGCAGATGATTCATCATCACAAAGAAACATACTTCAAAAGAAATAAAACTGAAGTGATACACATATGCTCTCTTTAAAACCCAAAAAAAATAATCCTTAAAAGGTCTTTACTTCGTCCTTTCACAGTCATCCCACCGCTAATGAAATCTGAAAAAAGCTTAGAACGAGTGTTATTTGCTGAAATAATTTTATTCCTATAGTTAATGCATATTTATAGCTGATTTGTCGGGCAAGAAACTTTTTTAGGCTGGGCACAAAACCATGGTGCATCTATTCATCTCAATTTTTCAAAGGATTGCACTCTGCAATGACTATTCTTCTGATCCCATTAGTATAACATTGATAATCTCAATGAGAAGACCGGCCCCAGGGAATAAACATTCAAAATTCGAGAACTAAAGAAGCAGAAAGCACATCCTTCATGAATATTTTGTGAAAAGTATCGATCATCTTTTCCTCAAGTTCAGCATCATCGGTGTCACACAGAGTACTGTTTTCATAAGTTTGTATGTGTAAAGCTGCGGAGGATAGACCGAGATGAAAACGAGTGCTTTATATATCCAGGATTAAATGACGGGAAACAACGAAATATTCATTTATAGCAGCTTTTTTCTCAACTTTTTTTATCAAAGCAGAGCGGAGGAAATATATAAGATTTAAAGGGTCATTCATTCATACACAGGAAACAGTCTGTTGTGACAAGAAATATGGAATATTTCCTGTATCATGATCCAGAATGGTTTCAGTTTTTTTGTAGTACTTTGAATTCAATATCAGGCCGTATGTTAGACTTTCTAGGTGTTACACCACACTGGCATGTGAGTGCCTCGTTGACATAAGTTTGACTATGGACATGTTTCTGCACGAAAATCATAGCGGCTTACACCCACATTTACAAAACAAAAAAAGATATTGGTTTTGTGGACTATTATAAACTGCTTGTTCACAGCCATTTTATCAGAGAATGGTTATTTGTCGGCCTAACAAAGGTAAATGAGGATAAAACAGGATGTAAAACTCTCGATTGTAGGAGCACCACAAACAAGGGACCCCAGGAAAATGCATGGTGCCCATTTCGATATTGTCCTTCTAAGTTGCAGAGCACTCTGCTGCAATGATTCATACTGAACCTTGAGCTATCACAAGAGAGCACTGGAGTTGGATATCCACTAGAACCAATAATTTAAAAAGCATTCCAAATTTTCTCTATGAATTCCCATAGTTCTCCTCCGAGCATTCTCCTTTGAAAAGGCGCCGCAGAAAATAAACGGGCGAGCGCCATCGAATAGGGAGAGATCTGGAGAGAGACAGAATCCGAACCTTGGGTTTACCGAACCATGTCATCGCCTTGAAGGTGGCCAGCCTTCTCATCAGATCCCCACGGTCCCAAGGCCTGCATGGCGACCTACCGTCCTCCCCCGTCGCACGTCTCACCGACCTCGCGGCCTCGACATTCGATCCCAGCTCCCACCTCCGCCGCTTCAACGGCGTACTCGCCCCCATGCCAAAGCTGCCAGACGCAGAAAACAACCCACAAAAAAAAAACCCAAAAAAAAAGTCAATCAACACGACACAATATCAACGTGTTTCCCGACCCGACTTCACACAATTTCCCCCTAGGGTTTCCGCGGGAGTACCTCGGAGTTGGAGACTTCGGCGGGGGGGAATGGTAGAGCTTGTCCATGACTCTCTTGAGCCTCCTCTCCGTGTCCTCCGCCATGCTCAAGCACCTCCTCCCGTCCGCAAACCGCCGAGATCGAGCAGGCGCGTCCTCCCCGTTCCCTCCGAACCTTAAACCCTCGACCCCGCCGTCACCACCGTCGGACGATCCAAATCCCACAGCGGAGCTAGCTCCCCGGCAGAGCTCGGACTGAAGCCTCCGTCCTCCTGGTTTTCCCTAATAATGACCTGTTCTTTTGATATCATTTAAAAAAAAACAAAATCCTGAAATGCCCAAATTGGAATATCATGGAAATTAGGAGAATTATTCAGACGGTATCATAAATTAAATAACTTTAAATATGGGTTCGAACATGTTCATTGAATCAGCCCACCAAGGACCAATGGCCCGTTATATTAATATTATGTTTTAGATATTAGAATAATTATGCAAATGGCCTTGATTGCCCCATTATTTAATAATTTTCATTTTTTCTCGGCAAAAAATATAATTTCCAGCCTGGAATTTTAATTGGGAGGATAATGAAAATCAGGCCTTAAATCCACAAGATATGATTTTCACTAGTCTCTGGCCACACAATCATCAAAAAACATTATTTAATTAATATAAATTGATTAAATAGCATTAAATCAAATTTTTCATTTTAAAAAAATCAATAAAATTTGATTCTTGAATACCACAAGAATCAACATGATTTTTTTGCATTAATGAGGAGTTCATTCATAGTTCACAAGCACTAAGAGCACTTTCAAAGATGATGGAAATTATATTAATAACATATTTTTTAAGAAAAAAGAAGAATGTTCATGAATGCATATGGCCTTGATTTCCCCATTATTTAATATTTTTTAAAAAATATAGACATTAGCCACTTCATTGTGATGTAGCAAAGGTTGCAAAAAATATAATGTCCAGCCTGGAAAATACAAGTTATATTTTTTTTTAATGGGGGGATAATGAAAATCAGGCCTTAAATCTACAAGATAAGGTTTTCCCCAATCTTTGAATACACAATGATCAAAAAACCTTATTTAATCAATAAAATTTGATCCTTCAATCCACAAGAATCAAAATGATTCTTTTGCATTCATGGGGAGTTCTTATTTCACAAGAATGAGAACATTTTCAAAGATGATGAAAAGTCATAATAATCAATGCGTTTTAAATAGGCTTAAATAAATTATTATTATCCTTGAAAAAAAAATGACTTAGTAATAAGATATATATAGTAAATGGACAATTGTGACACATTTTATTTAGTGTAAGAAAATTAATCAACATCAAATTGAGGAAGTAATTTACAAAAATAGATTCCACCCCTCTTATATTCAAGAAAATATTATTTTGCATTCATGAGGAGTTTGAAGATCACAAACACTAAGAATATTTTTCATAATAATAAAGATATATCTTTAGTTACAACATGCTAACATTTATAAAGGCTTAAATCAATTATTATTTTCCTTCAATCAAAATATTAGAGTAATAATTATGTCATATTATTTAGTATAAATAATAATAATTTAAATTTAAATTAATCAACATCAAATTGAGGAAGTAATTTACAAAAATAGATTCCAACCCTCTTCTATTCACAAAGAAAACATCATTTAGGGATCAACATTTATCCAAATGGCTTGACTATCTTATATATAGATAAATGTTAATATGGTTTGGGTAGGGCTTGTTTGTTGGCTGGCCCATCAATAACCTATGACTAGTTTAATTAATTCCATATTTAAAAAACCTTGAAGTACTAGAATTGGAATATCTAAGAATTTAGAAGAATTATGTTGATGGCTGGATTATCCTATAAATGACTAAACTTTAATATGTTATAGGTTGGACTGGGATGGTCCATTGGACCTAACTAGGCTGATCCATAGGGCCAACCCATCAAGGACCAATTATACAATCTATTAATACCATATTTTAAAAAAATACCTAGAATGATCAGATTGGAATATCCAATGAATAATAAAAATAATGCATATGGCCTAATTACCCTACCCCATAATTAAATAACTTTAATAGATGGGTTTGGGCGAGTAGGTCTATTCAATTGACCCATCAAAGATCAATGATATGTTCTATTAATGTCATCAAAGATTAGATAGATTGGACTATCTAAGGAACTAGAAAAATTATGTAAATGCTCTTATTGCCTCATACTTTAATAATTTGAAAAATGGTCAAGATGGGGGCAATATATTATAATATTTAGGAAGTTGTGAAATAGTGAAAAATATAATTTTGAATCTGCAAGGCACAATTTTTTGAGTGAGAAAAGAATCCACAATGATGTAATGGACAATCTTTCAGTCTACAAGTATGACTTGTCAAATTATCGAATCAACAAGGATAATAAGAAATCTATTGAATTCATGAAGGTTACTTAAATTTACAAACATTCATAACTACATGGCAGACAATGAAAACTTGTAATAATTAGTTAGTGCCTAGAATTATAATTATTAAGTTGTGGATCAACCTAATAATGTTATAGTGATCAATGGAGAATCAATCAAATCTAAAATTAAAAAATTGGCAACATAGAATATTTATCTTACAGAAGTATGATTAAAGGATATTTAAATATGTGGCAACCCTAATGCTTCTTGATGAGGATTATATATATATATAAAGATATTTTATTAACCTCATATTGTATATTGATATAATTGATGTTCTTCATTGTTGGATATGAATAGAGTATTGCTTACCATTCAATTCATGTTAGGGATAGAAAAGTTTAAGTATCTAAATAGAAATAATATATACTATTTAAATGTTTAGACTAATTGGCTTCATAGACATATCACTGATGGGTGGAAAATTATTTAGATGAAGAGTCAAATGCAACCAATTTCTCAAAAAATTATTAAGACATTGAATTGAAATTGCTACTATAATAATACTAAAATTATATTTATACCTAATGGAAAAATAATGTAGAAGTCTACCTATATGACTAAAATGGATTTTATTTGAAAAAAATATATGTCAAATATACTAAGTGCAATCACTCAATTGAAAGATTATGCAAAGAATAATCCAAATGTATAAAAATTTTCATCAAAAATTTGTAATACTAAAATAGTTATGATTTTAATAAATTGCCTAAATATATTTTTTGTATTTTTTTAGAATCTGCATGCAGCCCACTAAACCCCCCTAACTATTTGTTGAACTCACCTTTAGATCCAATAAGGACATGAGATAAAAGGGCTACCACTCAAATTAGAGTAATGAGAACAAAATTATGTTTTGCTAATGACAAAGGCTATTCCAAGGTATCTATCTCTCTTCTCTACCACCTACTTCTAATGTCTCAAAGACTTAGGAGAAAGGTCTATATTGAATCAAAGGAGATATGTATGTGAAAGGAAATCTCAAGCATTACTTCCATCAATCTAACCTTATTCAAATCTTTTAATAATACACAACATTATTAATATCAACTGAAGTCAATGATAAATCTTATTTAAGTTTACATACTATTCTTATTGTGATTGGTGATATATAACTTTGTTGAATCACTTGTGTGAGTTATATGATTATTAGTTAATGAGATTCATCGTAAATGGACATAGGTCAAAGGACTTTAGCCTAACCACCATAAAATTATTCGTAATTAATTACACATCTATATTATATTTACATAACAAAAAATAATAAAAATAAAAAAATGTAAGAAAAATGAATCAGTTCACCCCCCCCCCCTTAATTCATCAAATTATAGCATGCTAAGCTTTTAATATGCTAAAATTGATTAGAACTATTGTAAAAATATTATTTATTCTAAAAAATAATATTTAAATGACTAAGCCATAAGATAGATAACTAAAAACTCTAACACATTATCCACATGTTTTAATTGAGTTTATTTTTTATTTTGGGTCTTTTAAATCTTCTTATCTTTGTAGCACATGCTTCAAACTTCCATAATGCTTGTTCTACTTTGGTTAGACGTGTTGTTCTATATCATATTAGGTCAGCACATCAAGCACTAATGCCTTGTTATATTAATATCGCATTTTAAAAACCCTTAAAATACCCCAATTAGAATATCTAAGAAATTACTATAATTAAGGAGATGACATATTACCCCATAATTAAATAGTAAATCCGGTTGGAGCTAATGACCCTTTATATTAGTACCATTTATAAAAAAACCCAAATATTGGCCTTGATTATCCCATAATTAAATAATATTTAAACGATATTTCCCATAACCCCCCCCCTTATCGTGGTCGTTCGGGCGCAGTAACGACGACCCTTGCCTTCGGTCACTGGTCGTCCTTCTCCCATCACCGGCGGGGCAGTTGACTGTAGTCCTCTCAGTCTGTCCGCTTCCGCAGGCCTGGGCCAGTTGGGAGGGGACGACCGAGGTCCGTTCAGGCGAAGAACGAGAGGAGGGGGACAGGGGTCAGGTGGACAGGCTGTACCCCACCAGAATGGAGGGGAAGGGGCAGTCTTGTCATGCGGGAGACGGGTGATCCACAGTGCTCGGTCTAGATCTTGGTCTGAGAGGAAGGAGACTGTTGATTGAGAATAGAATAAGAGAGAGAAAAGGGTAGGGTTGGAAAGGGCTTCTGGATTTTCTGACCGCGCCCCCCGATCTCCCTCCGGTCCCGTGTTCTAGGGTTTCTCCGTGTTGCTGGGTGGTTGGGCGGGATCGGATAATTTTGGAGGGTTTTGGTGATCTCAGTCTTCGTTCTTCTTCTCTGTTCAGTTAGGGTTTTCGTTCGGGGCATTCGGGGTTTGGTGTTCGAATTGGGTGGGTTCGCGAGCCCACCTACACTCTTTCCGGGACGAGGGGGGAGATTCATGAGGAGTGCCTGATGTTCACACCGCAGCCGCAGAGGAGAGGGTGGTCCCTCACGCCGAGGGCTGCCGAGAAGAATGGGTCGACGCCTTCCCAGGGCAGGAGTGCTGGAGGAGGGTTCATGGGGAAGGGAAAGGGCGTCGCCATCTCCGAGGCGCCGCCACCGCCGCGGGCTTCTCTGGACGAAAATGGAACTGAAGTGTCCGAGGAGGGTCGCGATGCGGCTGTTTGGAAAAGGTTCCAGGAGGCGGGTTTGCTAGATCAAGCGTCGTTGGAGAAGAAGGACCGGGAAGCGCTAATTCAAAGAATTTCCAAGCTGGAGACCGAGGTCAGTGGAAGCAAAAAAAACAAGCGTAACCGTTCACTTTTCTTTACCTCTTGGTTTATCGGCCATGTTTTGCTAGTTACGTATAGTCGGCTTCGTAGTGTTACGAGACTCTTGCTCGCGGATAATCATTATTGTTATTCAATCAATCTGAAAGAACGACTCCATCAGTCGTGTTTCTGCTGGCAGTCCTGGAAGAACTTGCAGCTTTAGCATCATGTCATACAAAGTTATGTTCGTAATCGTGTTTTTTGGTTTGCTGTTTGCGGTGAATTGGGTAATTTCCAGTGGCATGGTGAACTCACAGAACAATAAGATCTAAGTTATGGAGATCCTGGATATGGATTATCTTGGAGTGTAAATCCAAATACTTTTTTGCAACAGAAAGGCTCATACAGCATTACTTCTTTATTCCTCGCTAGTTCATTGATTTTCTTTGAGGAAAACATAGTATAGAGAAAGGAATTATCATGAAAACCTCGTCATTCAATGAAGTAGTGGATGCTAGTTCCAGGTTTGAAGTAGAGAATTTGAGAGTGTATGCTTGATCTCTGAGGTTTTCTCCGTAGATTAACTTTCCCTTTTAGTGCGTATAATGTCGAAGTCTTTACCCAATGACAGAGCGTTGTGCCTTGGAACTTAATGTTCCTGTGCTACTGATATTGGTTTCTTAAGTATGAATGGATGTGGTGCAATGTTATTAATGAACAGATGTTTCCCATTTTGTGGCCATCTTTTTTGTCCTCGTTGAGTAGACTCCGTATTAGTAGCTCTGACATGTTTTAAGAGGAAGATCGGTGTGTCGAAATGCCAAGGTATTTTTTTACCGTATTAAGAGCACAATAGAGTGTAGTGAATGTGACTGCGATGATCATGAACCCACACGCTGGGTTATAGATGCAGATTGATGGTCTTCTCCCATCAGGCTGTCATCTGTTTGCTTCATTGAGGAGATAGAAAATAGCAGTTTATGCTTCACTTCTCAAATTTCGTATCCCTTCAAATATGTTGTTCAATATTCGAGTATTAGCGTTTAGATCTATTTACTATGATGGTAATTTTTTTTTCCAAATGTCAATGATTAAGGTTCACCTCAATATTTTCGTGAAATATGTCTAAGCAACTGATTCATGATTGCTTCATTCTGGAGCTGTTTTCTCTTGCTGTTAAACAAACAGTTCTAATCCTTCATCAAACACCTCCCCCCTCCTGTCTTGAGTGAAAACTTAGATGAACCATTTGCTGAAGGTATTTTCTTATCTGGTACCCCATATTTATCTTTCTATGAAGGCTTCCCAGTGGAAATTATGGAAGCAGTGATGTAATTTTGCCCACATCATCTGCTGAAGCAAAAAATAGTTCATTTTACGGATGGTATAGGGACAGATTAGGCAACTAGATTACATTTGAGCTACATTCTTTGTGTTTACATATTGGACGTAGTGGAAAACATAGCGAAGATTAATTTTTAATTTCGTGAAATATTACCAATTTGTGTGTGTTGTTTATTTTGATTGATCCATTGTCTGATTCCTTTTTTTCATTTCCCCAGGTTTAAAGATTGCATGATAGTGATTAGCATTTATTTTTTTGGTTGACCCTTGATTTAGATGCTTATAATTAAATTGGGTTTTGACGCTCTTGCTTTCTTTCTGGGTTTTGACAGCTCTACGAATACCAATATAACATGGGGCTGCTTCTGATTGAGAAAAAGGAATGGACATCCAAGTATGAAGATTTAAGGCAGGGCCTAGCTGAAACTGGGGAGATTCTGAAGAGAGAGCAAACTGCACACATGATTGCCTTATCCGAAGTACAGAAGCGGGAGGACAATTTGAATCGTGCCTTAGGGGTTGAGAAGCAATGCGTCAGTGATGTATGCCACCAACTGCATCGCATATCATTTTTCAGATATATATATATGTATATGTGTGTGTGTGTGTGTGTGCGCGCGCGCGCACGTTTATGTAGGCTTGCATTTTAAGTGTTTTCTGCTCTTACTGCTTGTTTTCTATGACAATAAATTATGTTTCCAGCCTCTCTATCCGATAACTTCTATCAATGCTGGTTTACGTACCTTTTAATATAGTCTTAACACTGGAATATATTGAATCATTTATCTAATCCGTTCGTTTAAGTTTCAGTGACTGAAATGTGTATCATATATAAGCTAAATTTTTATTCTAGCTTGCTCATTTTCATGAAACCTTTTTTTTTTTGGCTTTAGATTACTAGCGATCTGTTCATCCACTAATAACTCGCCATTGATTTCGTGTAATCTTTTTGGAATCACTTATTGCTTGATTTGCAAGGTGATCCCCGTTTGTTCTATGCTTGAGATAGATGTTTAGACCCAATGACGGCTTTGCATGTGTTTTTTTCCTCGACTACTTTTCAAGAGTAAATATTCCGAGTATGTTAATCAATCTTTCACGGTTTCTTCTTGCCATAGTGGTTGATTGAATACGCCTTGCACTAAGAACGAAAGATGATAAGGACGTCTTTATCCTCTTTGTTTCTGGGGTTATGTTAGTCAAATGCCTATCTGCAGTTGAATGATCTGTACTATTTTACCTAAACGATGGTACAATGTCTTTTTCTTCCCGGACCATATATATATATATATATATATATATGGGTCAAATTTTATGTTCCATGTGTGATGCTTGGAATATAATCTTCCTATCCCAGTGTTACTCACCGGAAATGATTATTGGTGCAGCTTGAGAAAGCATTGAGTGAGATGCGTGGAGAGTGTGCAAAAGTCAAATTCACTTCTGATCAGAAGCTGGCTGAGGCTCATGGAATGATGACCAGTATTGAAGAGAAGTCCCTGGAGGTTGATGCGAAATTACGGGCTGCTGATGCTAAGTTTGCAGAAGCCAGTAGGAAGAGCTCCGAGATAGAGAGGAAGTTGCTGGATGTGACTACTCGAGAAAGTATAGCCCAGAGGGAGCTTGCAAGCCTCAATGCCGAGTATGTCAACTGTTTTGACCATTTTCATGCTCCAAGTTGTCATGGTTTTTAAATTATTCTGCAGATTTTTTTCAATGATTTCCTCTGAGGTGTCTGTGGTTGCTTTTGTCAGGAAGCAGCTCATGAAGGAGGATCTTGATCGCCAAAGGGAAGACTTGCGAACGTGGGAGAAAAACCTGCGAGAGGGTCAGGAGAGGCTCGTTGCAAGTCAAAGTCTTCTGAACCAGAGAGAGAAGAGATCAAATGAACATGACGTGGCTCTGAAGAAGAAGGAAAAAGAACTCGAAGCAATGAGAGAAACGATTGAGAGAAGCAATCTCTTGCTGAAGGAGAAGGAGGACGATATGAGTTCGAGACTGAGCGCATTAGCTGCTAGAGAGAAGGTTTTGGTTTTTGCTTAATAATTCTACTTGTTAACGGCTAATTTTGGTTATCTTGCTCTACATGTTCTTATCTTTTTTCTGTGGCCAGGAAATCGACATCAAGATGGAGGACTTGGAGAAAAAAGAGAAGGATCTGATTGCCCTTGAAGATCAGCTTAATGCCCGGGAAAAAGTAAGTGCCTTGCTCTGAAGGTGCATCATCATTAAATAACTTCTCTTAACATATTCCTCTGTATACAAAATTCTGCAGATATACAGCGATCCTTGAATCTTTTCTCTGTTTTCCTTGTACTCTTCTTCTGGGCTAGCTAGCTTTCTGCAGTGAATTCTCTGCAACATTTATTTTCCACCATTGACAACATTCTGCAGATATACAGCGATCCTTTGAATCTTGTGTTGTCTTAAATCCTTGTAGTCTGATTCTGGGCTAGCTAGCTTTCTGCAATGAATTTCTCTGCAACATACTATTTTCCCTTTTATGGGCTGTCTTTCCCTGTGATGACGGTGGCATTTCCTCTGTTGTGTTGTGTGATTTCAGGTTGAAATGCAGAAGCTTCTTGATGACCATGCTGCTTCTCTGGATTCCAAGAAGCATGAATTTGAGCTGGAAATGGAGAAGAGGAGGAGCCTGGTGGACGAGGAGCTGAAGGAGAAGCTCGACTCCGTTGAGAAAAAGGCCAAGGAAGTAAGCATGAAGGAGGAAAAAGTTGCGAAGAGGGAGCAGACCGTGGAGAAGAAGACAGAGAAGTTGAAAGAGGAGAAAGCCGACCTCGATGTGAAATCCAAGGCTCTGAAGAAATGGGAGGCCGCCATCAAAGCCGATGAGAAGAATCTTGACAAGCAGAGTAAACAGCTTGCTGAAGACACCCAGCAGCTCCTGCTGTCTAAATCCGAGCTGGAGGCTGAGAAGGCTGCGGTGGATGAAGAAAAGCAGAGTATTTTGACTGAGAAGGAAAATCTGAAGGTGACCGAGGCCGAGCGGGAAGAACATACTCTGTTGCAGGCGAGGCTGAAGCAGGAGATCGACGAGTACATAGCACTCAAAGGGTCTCTGGAAAACGAGCGAGAAGATCTGAGGCAGGAGAGGGAGAGATTTGAGAAAGAATGGGACGTTCTGGATGAGAAGAGGGCCAGTATGGCAGCAGATCTAAAGCAGTTTAACGACGAGAGAATGTTTTTTGAAAAATGGAGGGTCGTGGAGGAAGAAAGACTGAGTAACGAGCATCAGGCGGCCAGGGATCTCGTCCAGAAGGACCTCGACGATCTCAATCTGAAGAAGGAAGATTTCGAGAGAACCATATTGCACGAGAGATCAGAGCTTCGTGAAATGCTCGAGAAGGAGCAGGCAGATGCAGCACGAGCACTCGATCTCCAGAAGCACGAACTCGAGATTAACATGCAGAACAAGTTCGGCGAGATGGAAGAAGACTTCCGTAGGAAGGTGGCGGCGTTCGAAGCGGAGAGGGAGAAAGAGCTGGAAAACATCCGGTTGCTGAGAGAGAACGTCGTCTCGGAGATGCAGAAGCTGAGTGCAGAGCAGAGGAGGTTCGACAGGGAGAAGCAGGAACTTAACGAACAGGGTAGGAAGCTTGAAGAAGAACGGGCCGAGATAAGAAACGACGTCGAGGCGCTACACGCCCTCAGCAAGAGCCTGAAGTCTCAGAGAGAAGACTTTGTCAGAGAGAGAGATAATTTCCTCGCTCTCGTGGAGGAATATAAGGCCCGCAAGGACAGCGGAGCAGCAATCACCGAGTTTGCCCCTAGTGAGATCGAAGACCCGGGGAGTCTTCTGTTGCCGAGCCTCGCCGAAGGGTACCTGGACGAGCGATTGAAGGGTAAGAAGGCCGAAGCATCGTCCCCGCCTGCTGGAAGCTCTCCATCTGCTACGTCTGGTGGCCGGATGTCCTGGCTCCGCTCCTGCACGAAGATATTCAGCTTCTCCCCTGTGAAAAGAATCGAAGATGAGGCGGGTTCCTCCCATGAGGCAGCAGCGCCACCATCGAAGGTTGAAGATGAGGCCGAGCCATCTGATGCCGAAAGGGTCGAGTCCGAAGGTCAGGTTAGGATGGAGGAGGAAGCGCTCGAGGAGTTGGATGGGGCTGGGAAGGAACCAGAACCATCTCTTCTGAGGGATGAAGCTGATGGCGGCAGGAAGGAGGCAGAAAGTGAGGCTGTGATTCTTCCTGTTGGTGGGCAAGAGGAGGTGCAGGTGAAACCCCATCGTGTGACCAAACGGAAGGTGGGGAGGCCTGCGAAGAAGGGGAGGCCGGCGATGAAGAAGACGCGCTCTGTTCAGGCTGTGGTTGAAGACGCAAAGGCCTCACTGAAGGAAGCCTCCTCCGACAGAGCAGGGCCGTCGAATGGGGATGTGAACGATGATGGTACTGCCCTCCATGATATTGATGAGAGCCAGGGAGACTCTGTGCACACTGACGGCAGGGCCAATGTCGGGCAGAAGAGGCGTCTCCATCAGACCTCTGAGACCACGGTGGGCGAGCCAGATGGGGAAGGGAGCGAGGCCCGCTCTGAGAGCATTTCTCTTGATGGGCGACGCAAGAGGCGTCAGATGGCTGTGCCCGAAGCTCAAACACCAGGGGACAAACGCTACAACTTCAGGCGATCTACAGTGTAAGTTCTGATGATCTCTGTGGGTAAAAACATCTTCTTTTGCTCTTCAATCCTCCGATGACCCTAAATTGTTGGCGTTCTGTGGTGATGCTGCTTGCTGCAGCGCAAACACGGTCGCATCGACTCAGGCAGTGCTGGGTACCAAGGTGGTGGCGGCTCGGCCTCTGTCCCTCGATGGCGAGGTCTCCAGGGGGGAATCTGAGAAGGAAGGGACCGACAAGAGCCAGTCTCAGAAGCCCGTTTCGGTAATCACATCAAAATCTTCAGTCAATGCTCGCTGATTTCATCAAATTGTCATTTTGTTAATTGGGTTTTATGCGGAGAGGAGCTTCTTCTGACGGGCAAGCGACTACGTGTGAGATCCAGAGCAGGGAATTCTACGAGGAGATTCAGGAGGAGGCAGCGGCGGTGGAGGAGGAGGACGTCGGGGAGGAGGTCACCGGTATGCTGGTGGAGGGCGGCAGTGAGGAGCTCGGCACTGCCAGCTCCTCCTCTGATGAGGTGGGGAGCTCCGACTCTGAGGAGGGCCACGGCGGTGACGCCTCAATCCGCCGCCGGCTGTGGAAGTTCTTCACCTCATGATCACCGCCGCCTTCTGGTTGTGCTATTATTGTGATCTTCCATTCTTCATCAGGCAACTGATGTTGATGGTCTCTCTCACACTCCTCCCTCTCATTGTGTACCACTATGGAACTTGGTGCTTGGCTTTCTCCTTGTAGAAAGAAGATTAGGGACTGACCCCCCTCCCCCTTCCTTCCCTTTTCCAGTGGTGTAGTATCGACCCCATTATTTCCTAGTGGACTCTTCTTCTCTCCCTATTTGACTAATGTCTTTGACCAGAATCATCAGCTAGGCCAAGTTGACTTTTTTTCTTTCCTATCTGAGTTGCTCCACTTCTACTACAAAATCGTTTCATCATTCAAACTATGAATTGATGATCTTAGACCAATGAGCTTGTTTCTCAATTGGGTCGTCATGGTTTTTTAAAGATTTGACTATTTTTTTATAAAAAAAAAATAACTTTTTAGTATAATGACCCTTCTTAATTATTGTTTTTATTATCAAATAACTATTTTTCTTGTGATGCCTTTTGGTGCTTAGTAAATATATTAGCTTTTGTTTAACAGTTTTTAAGTTAAATATCTACCGCAAATATAAATATATATATTTTTCTGGATGTTAATGTGTGATATTGATTTATTATATAAATAAAAAAGAGAAAAATAATATTTATGAACCACTCTTTTAAAACCATCTCTACAAAGAAAATAAAAAAATATGTGAAGTTTGACTACATATGTTGTTGACTACTGATGATGGCAATAGTCAACTACAATAGCCAGTAATCCTACCAACTGTGCTATGAAGGGATAGCGCAAGTCGTGTCTGTACGTGGGGGTGAGCGAAATTCAAAGATATATATATTAATATATTTACCAATTTTTAAATGAATTATAAGCTAGATTATTTCACGTCTCTCCTCATTTACCTTTCTCGATCAAAGTTATTACATAGGGAAAAAAATCAACTCATATAAGATTTTGTATTAACGATATTTAAGTGATTTTATATTTTTATTCTTAATGAAATCCCCATAGGATAATTTATGGAGACTTACTTAAGGAAATAATCATTTGTTAATTGTGTGATTATGGGGTCAACCATGGGAAAATAATGGAAAATTTCTCTTGACATTATCAGAAATATTTTAGAGGGAGAGATAGAGAGAGAGAAAAAAATTAAATAAAAAATTCATAAATCGGATATAATATTTATTGAAGAAATTATTTAAATTTTTTATTGGGATGTGGGCTAGTTAGTCGGGGTCAACGAACTCGAAGCTATAATGGAGCCCCAATAAGAACCACCTAACTTATTCCAGTTGGGCCGAGCTTTGGCCGTACTGGCCCATTCAGGCCCATGGTACGTTTACCGGTAGGCACTCTCCAAATGAGAGAGGCTTTCCGGTGCACCCTCGGGTGCACCGAATCCTTCCCCACCTGTCAGAGCCACCCCTTCCCAACATCTCCGTCGTTTTTCCCACAAGAGTGCGAAGTGCATCGCAGGTACACCACACCGAAGCGATTAATGCCCACGCTTTACCCATGTTTTACCCTCTCCCCCCCACCACCACCAAAGGAGTAGACGTTTCAGCGGGGTAGAGCCAGTAGAGATAGAGAGAGAGAGAGATAGGAGAGAGAGAAGAGAGAGAAAGAGGAGAGAGAGAGGGGGGCGCGCATTCAGCCACGGCAAGGTCGCTGGAAGGGGACAGAGGTCGTTTTTGTTCGTATGCTCGTCGCCCCACCGGCGCCAACCCTGTCTCCATTTTCCACTTGTCCACAGATCCTTGAGAGCGCAGCAGGCCAGAGGGGGGGCGGAGGAGGAGAGGAGTTGACAAGCTCCGGTTAGACCACCGCCGGCCCTCTTTTCTCACTCTTCCCCTTTCTCACCGCCCTCTACCTCTTCTCGCCCCCTTTTATTTCTTACGATTTCGGCCTGGAGGGGGCATTTCACAGTGAAGAATACCCTCTCTCTCTCTCTCTCACACACACACATCAGTCACCCCCCCCAGAGCGATTCCTCGTTCCCTCTCCTCGCAAATAGGGTTTTCTGCAGGACCCGGAGTTCTGCTTCGGGCCAGGTATTGTACTTCATCCCCCACGACAACGTTTGCTGGTCGCACGATTTGCTCATTTAGGGTTTTTGCGGGCCGGAGAATGTTGGTGTCTTTCGTGGGTATTTTTTGGTCGGCCGGAGAAATTGTTTCCCTAGGAACTTCTGGTAGAAGTGTTCCCCTTGGTCAAACACCGCCGGTTTGTTCTTCTTGTCTCGTTTGACGTGTTTTCTTCGGGATTGGGGTTGCATTTAGGGAAGATAGTGCATTTTCTTTGCTAGTCTGCTCGCTAGTGGTGGATTTCGTACGTACATTTCTGTTTCCTCCTACTTTCTCGATCGCGAGTCGATTGGCTAGATTTTCACTTTTTTTAGCAATCTTTTTTTCGAGTAAGAAGGAAAATAAACGTGTAGTGCTGCGTTCTCTTATCCTTTCCTGGGTTGCGCACTCGTGGAAAACAATATCTCATTTTGCACTGTTCTACAGGTTTCACTTACATTTCACATGGTTTGACTCGGAAGAAGAGGTGGGGGAGGGGAGAAGGAGCTATGGAAGGGGATGAGCATCACCAGGTCGTAGTGACATCAGCTATTTTCGGGACTATTTTCTCAGGCCTTGGTGTGCTCAGCTTCTCTGTGCTCTGGGCTGTGAATTGGCGTCCTTGGAGGATTTACAGGCACGAACCTACATTTATTTTCCTGATGCATTTGGATCATGATTCCGCTTTTATTCTTTCGTCACGAGCGATGCCAGCTTTTTTGGGATATTTGTTCCATTGTGGGAAGTATATGTTGGATTCATGAGAGATTTCGTTGCCTTTGTCAATCATTTACCTGCCATTTTACATTCCCAAATAACTTTGTTAGCATTTTTCTATTTGAAGCATTTGGGTGTGTAACTTTTTCTCCTTTTTACGCCTCCATGTTAGTGCTAGTGTTAGTTATGTACGCCTCCATGTTATTTTGCCTTCAAGAGGTAGTTAAGAATAAGCCAGCTCTGTATGGCTCGTGTTTAAATTTCTAAGAGATAGCATGATACTTGGTAATAATGCCGATTGAAAGATAGATGAGATGGGGAATCATTGGATTTGTCTTCAAATCACCTGAGGAAAAGGAAACCGATCAGAAAAGAATGTCAACCGTTGGAACTTGAGTAATAGTTGGACACTACTTAGTTCTACTTAATCCTTGAAATGCTGACTTCAATTTGACTGGCAAACAACCAGAGACAATTGAATGCTAATCAGTGTCTCTTGTTAAGCCCGTCCAAGCATAGGTTTGTGCTCACGAAAATGCGCCAGCTGCATGCACTGCAGTTGGTTGAAAATGTATAGCATGATTTTAATGATTCTCCACAATTTCTATTTTGTTTTGGAAGAACTCTTTATGGAAAAGGTTGCGTTATTAATAAGTCTTGTTTCGTGAGAAGACTGGATGGGGATGCATTGAAACATGTTTGTCGTACTCCAAGATGCAGTGCATTTCGTTTTATCGAAACTTATTTCCAGTTTGTTTCTCCCAAGGCATTTGATTTTCTGTTTCCCTTCCGAAAAGGGAACTAGGGGGTGATCCACGTCATTTTTTTTTCTCTAGAAGAAAATACATGTTATCTTGGCATATTCTTGCATTTATGTTTCTCCTATTCTAGTGTATTATGTAAGCTAAACCTTGGTTTATTGGGCGTCCATAGCTACGTCCCTTCTATTTTGAATGTGTAATTTTGTTGCTTTCCCTTGTTTTCAGTTTCGTTTTCTAATTTATTTTCTTGCCCTTGCAGCTGGATATTTGCAAGGAAATGGCCAGAAATCTTACACGGACCCCAACTTAGTATATTGTGTAGTTTTCTCTTTCTAGTTGCATGGATAATTGTTATTTCCCCTGTTGTCATTGTAATCACATGGGGAAGCATTTTGATTACGACATTGGATCGGGATATAATTGGCCTGGCTGTGATAATGGCCGGAACAGCCCTTTTACTGGCGTTCTATTCTATAATGCTGTGGTGGAGGACACAGTGGCAAAGCTCAAGTATGTATCTTTACTTTTATGCTTCAGGATGCTTATATTTCCTTCTTTTATTACAGTCTCAAAAATAGAATTTTCTTCTTTTAATGGCATTTCGTTACTATTTCACATCGGGTTCCAAAATTATATTTCCTCGCAGCATTTGATCTATTATTTTTCGTTGGATGTTTGAGGTCAGCAAACTATCCCTAGATGTTAATTATTTATGCACTTGATGTATTGAGTTCCAAATATCACAGACGTAGGCTACGAATAATTTTATTTCATAAGTTTTGTACTCTCAATTTGTTTTATGTTTCTCTTTGTCACCTCTTTCGTCTATCGCTAGATCTTATCTTACTGTTTACATTAAAGGTTTCTCTAAGAAAAGATCTGTTCCATTATAAAACCCTGTAAAAAGATAGAAACAAGTGAGGTTTCAGTATGGAACTTGCCTCGGCATAATAAGTACCCAACTGGATAAATGATGGATAACCGTTCTCAGCGTGACTTTCACCCGGATGTCACTTTTTGTTCTTTTCGATCATAAAACTGCACAATGTAGCGTGCTTTGATCTTGTTCAATAACTCACTATATGATTATATACAATGGTGTCATTCAAAAACATACCGTAATCTTGATCTTGTTTGATTTTTCACAATGATATATTCTTTTTGCTTAGATATATGATCGTTTATCTCACCAAATTGTCCAAATTGCATATGGAGAATTTGCTTAGATAGATGAATTGTAGATATTTGTATAATCTTTATGAGGTTTTGGTTAGTCCTTTTAGTGGATTAGACTGATGAAATACAGGAAACACCATCTCAAAGGGATTGCCCACTTACCAATTGGGGTTGAGGTTGGGCAGTACGATCTCAAATGGATGATGACTTTTTTTTATCCTCTTTTTGCAGGAGCGGTTGCTGTTCTCCTTCTCTTGGCAGTAGCCCTGCTTTGTGCATATGAACTTTGTGCCGTTTATGTCACTGCAGGATCAAAAGCCTCTGAGCGTTATTCTCCTTCAGGATTCTTCTTTGGTGTTTCTGCAATAGCATTAGCAATCAACATGCTTTTTATTTGCAGGATGGTGTTCAATGGTAAGCAATTAGGTTGTTTCCTGACAGAGATGCTGTTGATAAGAGCAATGGCTAGAATAAATGAATTTATCTATTGAGATTTTTTTGTTAATATTACAGGAAACGGGTTGGATGTAGATGAATATGTGCGAAGATCATATAGATTTGCATATTCTGACTGTATCGAAGTGGGCCCCATTGCCAGCTTACCTGAGCCACCCGATCCTAATGACTTGTATGTCCGGAAATCCAGCAGGTGAGTTCATCCCTGGACTTGTATAAAAGTCTTCTTATTATGTTGTAACTCAGATTAAGTGCCTTCTTTATCGTTTTCACTTGTTATAATTCCGTTTTTCTAACTTTCAATCATCGTTGTAGGGCTTCTCATCTGGGCATTCTTTATGTTGGGTCATTAGTTGTACTTCTTGTGTACTCCATATTGTATGGACTGACAGCCAAAGAGTCCCGTTGGTTGGGTGCAATTACATCAGCTGCTGTTATTGTTCTTGGTATGTATGCGTATACTCCATTTATGCTGTATCTTTGTTTTTTTTTATTTTTTTATCCTTATTCATTTGCTTTTCAGACTGGAACATGGGTGCATGCTTATTCGGATTTGAGCTCCTCAGAAGTCGAGTTGCAGCATTATTTGTTGCTGGAGCTTCAAGGGTTTTCCTAATCTGCTTTGGGGTTCATTACTGGTCTGTACTACAATTGACTAGAAGTTTGTGTATTGTTTTACCATGCATAAACGAGGATAATGGATTTCATGGTGCACTTATTGTTTTTCTTTCTTTAGGTATTTGGGACATTGCATAAGCTATACAGTTGTGGCGTCTGTTCTGTCAGGAGCTGCTGTTTCCCGCCATCTGTCCGTTTCGAACCCTTTAGCTGAAAGGCAAGATGCCTTAAAGAGCACTGTCATCCGCTTGAGAGAGGGATTCCGACGAAAGGATCAAAACAGTTCGTCTAGTTCCTCCGAAGGTTGTGGGTCAAGTGTGAAATGTAGCAGCAGCAGTGTTGAGGCTGGTCAACATGGTCAAGCTGTTAGTCAAAACAATTCACAGCTTGTGGGTGATGTCAATAATTGGAATAATGTGCTTTTTGGTCGTACTAATAGCTGCCATGAACGAATGAACAGTGATAAAAGTGACAGTGGAAGGCCGAGTTTAGCCTTACGCAGCAGCTCTTGTCGTTCTGTTGTTCAGGAACCTGAAAATGCTGCTGCTTATCTCGATAAGAATCATGAGCATAATAGCTCACTACTTCCTTGCACTAGCAGTGGCTTGGAAAGCCATGGTTGTGAATCCAGCACATCTGGTACAACTTTACCTAATCAATCATCCTTGGAGTTAAGTTTAGCACAGGTTTTCCAAGAAAGGTTGAACGACCCTAGGATCGCTTCTATGTTGAGGAGAAAGGCAAGGCATGGTGACCGTGAATTGGCAAATCTACTGCAAGATAAAGGCCTGGATCCTAATTTTGCTGTCATGTTAAAGGAGAAGGGTCTGGATCCTACTATTCTTGCTCTGCTGCAGAGAAGTAGCCTTGATGCAGATAGAGATCATGGACAAGCTGAGGATGTTGCAGCGACAGAATCTGATAGGCTAGACATAATGTTCACCAACCAAATTTCATTTTCTGAAGAACTGAGAAGGCACGGTCTAGGAAAATGGATGGATTTCTTCAGGTTTGTTTTGCACTACATTGCTGGCACTCCTGAGCGGGCTTGGGTTATGTTTAGTCTTATCTTCATACTTGAGACTGTAATCGTGGCTATTTTTCGTCCAAAGACTATTAAAGTGATAAATGCCACGCATGAGCAGGTAATGATGGTTGTTAATATTTTCCTTTCTTATGGAGTATACCTATATTTTCCTTCTCAATATTGTTGCAGTTTTAATCATATTATTTATATGTAGCAACTTAATCTGTTTTGTGATATTGGATTTGCAGTTTGAATTTGGCTTCTCAGTACTGCTGTTATCACCTGTTGTGTGCTCAATTATGGCCTTTCTCTGGTCTCTTCATGCAGAAGAAATGGCCATGACGTCAAAACCGAGGAAGGTAAATCGAATGCATCCATGAGCTCATTGATCATTATATTAAATTCTGTCTTGCTTTAACTCTGCCCCCTGTTCTCAGTAGAAATTTCCCACATATTATTTCAATTGATGCGTCTGTGAGTTTTCATGGTGAGGCTATAGATTGTACATCCGGTTGTTTTACGTCCCTAAAAAAATTTAGGAGCATATAAATTTTGGTATGGGAAAAATAAATTTGTGGAAAACTAGAATATTATTTATAATGGAGCTTGTAGGTTGCTATAATGGTGAAGAAATAGAAGATCGATTGAGGTGGAGGTACCTAGAGTTTTTGTGCTCTGGCAGATACAGAGATAAACCATCTTTAAGGCCCTGAGGGGGTAAAAAAAACTTTTTGTCTAATGATGTTTTCGGAAAAGTATGCTAGTTGTCAGATTATATTAACTATAATTTAGGGATGCTCCCTGAGTTTTGTTTGCAGAGGTCGTTAGGACAATAAATAAAGGTCAAGACACTCACAGAGATATGTAGTTTTATCATATTTTGACGATGATAACTAAAATTATGTGATTTTCCCTTAAATTTTGTATACAGAGATTTTTAGGACAACAAATAACGGTCAAGGCACTCACAGAGATGTAGATTTATCCCTTTTGCCTTCCATCCTTTAAATCTTAACCCAGACTTCTGATTAATTTCGTTTTTGATATTTAAACGATAATTTACCCATTTTAAAGGCCAGGGAATGTATTTCCGCGGTTAATCATCTCATTCCCCCGGACTCCTTTTCCCATAACTTCGGTTTCGTTTAGATTTATGTATAAACCTGTGACCATTTTCGGTACATCAACAAACGGCATCTTAGTGATTGTAAGGAACTGATGGTTGTGCTGATCCTAATTCTCTAATATTTAGTTCGAAGGCAAAATACTCTTGGAATTTTCTGTACTGCTTAATTATATCTTTTCTCTTGTCTATATTGCGGGTTTATCTATGTTTGATGTACATTTTGTATTTTACCTATTTATGGAGATGGACACCCAGGTTGTGGATTGTATCCGAATTTGATATCTTTTAAATTTACGCAAATATATCCGCATAGAAGTTAATAATAATGAGAAGTACATTTTATGTTGCCGCCGTATGATGCTTTCCTTAAGCGATTACCCTTTTACAACATCTCCTCCCACGTACACTGTCTTAATCAACCCCTTTTATAGATCTTTAGTCCATTTATTATTAAATTTTCTTATTCTGGAGCCTCGATTGTTTTTTTCCATCTTCAGTATGGCTGCATTGCTTGGTTGTTGAGCACATGTGTTGGCCTTCTCCTTTCATTCTTGAGGTATGTACGTTCTTTCGTTCGTATCTCATTTTTCACTTTGTTGATATCTTATATGTAGGTTGAACATACGCTTTGTATGCGGGCTTGGTTTTTGAACTAGTGTTATGCGGGGTAGCATTTGAATAATTTTGTATTGTAGAAAGGTTGAATGAGCGCTTTCTCTTGTCAGACTCTGAATCCATGAACATTTTAGAAAAACCTTTGTTTGAATTTTTGGGGAACTGTTTAGAAAGATATCAGATCGCAGTTCCTTGTTAACTTGCTTATATTGAGAAGAGTTTATGGTTGAAATCGTGAGTGGGATATAATATTTTTTTAGTGTGGTTTTGGGCCGGAATTCTATGCGTTCGTTTCTTACAATTTTGCTACTTCGTTCAACTATGGTTGCCATAGTTCAATTCGCATAGTTCAACTATGCATCTACAGACACGGCTTTTTTTTTTGAGTCAATCAAGTTGCCTGATAGCTTACACTTCAACAAATATGCATCAAGCCTTAATTTTCAACTTTCGCTTATAATATGAATTTTTGTGTTCAGCTAATCATGATGCATTAGTAACCAATGTATACCCTTAAACTAATCTCCTCAATTTTAAAATTGTTCTCAAGTAAGATGCTGAAAATTCTGACTTGAACATTCTTTTTTAATTTAGAACGGGACATTTCAGGTCATCTTGTAGATTATCAGATAAAGAAGAATCCCCACTGATGTAAACGTCTCTCTTCTTCATTCTGAGGTTCATAAAAAATAGTGCATAAAACTGTTAATAAAACAAAGGGGTATCTTGATACCCCGGTGTGCTTTAGAGCGTAATATCTGGCTTGTGAAGTGAAAGATGTAGATAGTTGGCTTCTTGTTTAGGGAAATAATGAATGAATGGATGAGTGCCAGTGTTTCTTATTCAAAGCAGCTGGGAAAATTATTCTTTCTGGCATGTTGATGATCCAGATGTCCGAGATGTCTATATCAACTGTTTTTACATTTATTGATGTGTTTGGCATATCACAATCAGTAACCTTGTTTGGCTTTATAGTATCATTTAGGATTCTGTTTTTATAACAATCATATAATTTACAATATCATACTATTCACTTCTGGTTGCGAGTTTTGTTTATAGTTTCCACATGAATTTCCATCGTTTTTCTCTTGTTGAATGTTCTTGTTTTTCATGTTCCCAACTTTTTATTCAGTTTTATTTAAGATACCCGTAGTAACGTCGTTCCTATGTTATTTGACTTATTTTTCAACGTTTGGGAAATTAATTCATTCCATTTTCTTGTTCAGCAAATCGTCCATTTTGCTTGGTCTAGCTTTGACTCTTCCGCTCATGGTGGCATGCCTTTCCTTTGCTATCCCGATATGGATACGTAATGGGTATCGATTCTGTATTAAAAAGGGAGAAGGCTCTGGTCAGGAAAGCAATCATCAGCATAATGCCACCAAAGAGGTTCGTTCTAGTGCCTGTAAATTTTATTTCAAGGAGTATCGTGCACAGAAAGAATGTTTTTCAATAAATATCTGCTGTTCATTGGCACAATTTCAGATAACAATTATATCATTACACGTCATAATTATGCTGGAAAAAATATGCTTGTACCTGAGAGAATCTGAAGGTTAGTTAAACTGGAGCAGGTACTAATGCTGGTATGCAGTGTTTCTCGCGTTAAAAATTGAACTAAGAATTTTATACTGAGTTGGAATTGTCCCTGTTGCTATTTCATTTGAATTCTTAGAATTTCGAAGAGATCGAGAAAAACTATTTGAAACTCGTAATCAGCGCAACATTGGGAGGGTTGTGTCACTCAGGTCACCCTGTCATATATACTGCTTATCACTTTTGCTTACAGGAATGAAATTAAATTTCTGTATATGTCAATGAGTTTATTTTCGCATATTTGCGGATATATTATAAGTTTGAAAAATTTCCAGAGATTTTGTTGGTAAACCGTTCAAGCAGAGGATTGGTATAATTTATTCAAAGTTGTTTTATGTTTTGGTTAGTGAACTGACGTTCGATCTCATTCTTTCTGATTTCAGGGTATTGTTCTCGTCGTCAGCATGCTAATATTCACGGGGTCAATCGTAGCTCTTGGTTCAATAGTATCTTCAGAGCCATTAGATGATTTGGGTTATAGAGGATGGAATCGGGATAAAAAGGTTATTTGGTCTCCTTATGCATCATCCATGTACCTTGGATGGGCAATGTCTTCAATGGTTGCATTGTTTGTTACTTGTGCTTTGCCAATCGTGTCATGGTTTGCATCATATCGCTTCTCACATTCTTCTGCAATATGCGTCGGCTTATTTACTAGTAAGTAGTGCCATTCAGTTCTCAGTTATTTTTCAGCTTCTCCCCGTATATTATTTCTTCATTATTTCATTGTAAACATTTCTCAAAAGTATACGATCAGAAAGCTTGGCTACTGATACTGCTCTTCCATGATGTAGTTGTTCTTGTCACATTTTGTGGTGCTTCTTACTTGGGTGTGGTAAACGCTCGAGAAGATGGAGTCCCGGTGAAGGCTGATTTTCTTGCTGCTTTGCTACCATTGTTGTGTATTCCAGCAGTGGTATCATTGTTTATTGGGCTATATAAATGGTCAGTGTCATTGGTTCCATTTTTTCTTGCATACTGGATGAGGTCGTTGCTTGCAACCATTTTATAATGTAACCTTAATTCTGCAGGAAAGATGATGACTGGAATGTTTCTCGAGGTGTTTATGTTTTTGTTGGCATCGGTTTTCTTCTACTGCTTGGTGGTATATCAGCTGTTATAGTTATTATTAAACCATGGACGGTATGTGAAAGTTGTTTTTTCTGCAGCGCATTAGCCTCTGAGAACATAGCATTTCTTGTTTCTTTTGAAAAGATGATATATTTCTTGACTCATTTGTTTCTTATTTACCATTTTTATTCCCTTTTTTGGCTACAGGTTGGTGTTGCATTTCTTCTAGTCATTCTTCTGGTCATCCTGGCATTTGTTGTAATTCACTACTGGGCTTCAAACAATTTCTATCTTACAAGGACGCAAATGTTCCTTGTCTGTTTTCTTGCCTTCTTACTAGCCTTGGCAGCTTTCTTCATTGGTATATTTGAGGGTAAGTCTGGAAGGTGCTTATGCCTATGCTAGCTTTATCAACTACTATTTCGCTATTTTTTTCTGCGAAAAATGTTGGTCACTTGTTCATTATCTTTTGTGGCAGGCAATCCATTTGTTGGTGGTTCTGTTGGATACTTCTCATTTCTGTTCCTTCTTGCGGGGCGTGCATTAACAGTAATGGATTTTATGTTCTTTCATTAGAATTACCTGAACACCTGTTTTTTTTTAAATGCACAATTTTCGTTAAATTCTTTGGAGCTGAGTGGTCTTAACGTTTCTAATTTATTCTTTTTCAGGTGCTTCTTTCACCGCCTATTGTGGTTTATTCTCCCAGGGTATTGCCAGTTTATGTTTATGATGCCCATGCTGATTCAGCAAAAAATGTCAGGTTTGTCTAATATTTTTGTGTGTATGTTTGAGTATAAACTAAAATTTTTATTTAGTTTTTGAGCAATAGAATTTATTATTTTCATCGTACTTAATTTTCTTGTATTTTTTATTCTCATTCTATATCAGCTGTGCATTCCTTGTTCTGTATGGAGTTGCTTTGGCAACTGAGGGATGGGGAGTAGTTGCCAGTTTGCTGTTATATCCCCCTTTTGCTGGTGCTGCAGTATCAGCAATTACACTTGTTGTGTCCTTTGGGTTTGCCGTGTCTCGTCCATGCCTGACTCTCAAGGTTTGCGTCTCTTTTCTGAGAAGAAATTTTGGAATCCAGACTTTAATGCCCTTTAATTCTGTTATTAAGCTCTTGTTCATTTTTTGTTTTGTGATTGCTTGCAGATGATGGAGGATGCTATCCATTTTCTCAGCAAGGATACAGTTGTCCAGGCGATTGCCAGGTCTTCAACTAAGGTGATTGACTGGCTCGGCACCACTTTCAGTTAATTTATTTTTGGCGAATACTGTTCTAAGACCTTTCTACAATATTGATTTGGCCCATTGTTTTTATGATTCCAACATCATGCCTCAGTTTTAGTATTTGGAGGAAAATACATAAATCAATTTATGGTAATATGTTTCTAACATGGATGGGAAGATGACGAAATCTCGACTTGCCAGTGTTAATATGATTCCCCTTTCGATCATTTTTCATGGATTTTTGTGTCTAAACAATGATATTTTCGTTTAATTTAGTTGCAATCAAAATGTAAATCTTTTCCCGGTATGTATTGGCTTTCTAGATTCATATCATCTGGCACTTGAGTCGAATTTCGAACGTTCAAATTGGTTATGTTTTCAGGGCTTCTGCAGTATATTTATTGGATAATTTATCCATCCTGATTTTTCCGATTTTATTTGGTTGTCAGAAAGTGTGTGGTGTAGTTAAGCATTCTGATGTTCATGATTATCACTGCAATGGCTGTATAGTTCATTTACATGGGTTTATGATTTTTAGGACCGTTGTTTCAATGGGCAAGTTCCATATTTTGTTCACTCAATAATGGTTACTTGCTTATAATTTGGTTTCTCCTCTGTTAATGTTTCAATTTTTTCATTTGGAAGTTCGTTTCCTTTAGATATGTGAGAGTTGAATATTTATTTGTTTTGACTTTGTGATAAAATACTGTATGACCTTTTTATCCTGTGTTTTCTCTGTCAAAACGTTTGATAACATGTTTTAATCTCACTTGTTTTTAGACGAGAAATGCTTTATCTGGCACCTATTCGGCCCCACAGAGGTCTGCAAGTTCAGCTGCCCTTCTCGTTGGAGACCCTGCGATTGCACGTGATAGGGCAGGGAATTTTGTTCTTCCCAGAGCCGATGTCACAAAACTGAGAGATCGCCTAAGAAATGAAGAACTTGCTGCTGGTTTAATCCTCAGTAGAGTCAAAGGTGGCATGACTTACCGTAATGACTCTTCACTCGACGTAGGCTGCAGGAGAAAAATGTGTGCACATGCACGTATCCTAGCTTTGGAAGAGGCAATTGACACAGAATGGGTATATATGTGGGATAAGTTTGGCGGTTATTTACTTCTTTTACTGGGCTTGACTGCTAAGGCTGAACGAGTACAGGTTGGTTAGCAAGACCATCTTCATTCAGTGTTTTTTATTTTTTTATTTTTTTGGCTGAAGACGCGTTGCTAACATCTTGATTTCTTTTGCTCTTTTTGTACTTGTTGTAGGATGAAGTTCGCTTGAGACTTTTCCTGGATAGCATAGGTTTTTCTGACTTAAGTGCCAAAAAAATAAAGAAATGGATGCCTGAGGATCGAAGACAATTTGAATTAATTCAGGACAGGTGATTGACATGTTTCAATGGAAATCGTGTTTTGGCGCATAAAAATTATCACACGCACTTTCTTCTGACTTCTTTCTGCTTCTATCTTAGTTACATACGAGAGAAGGAAATGGAAGAAGAGATCTTGATGCAGAGGCGTGGAGAGGAGGGTAAGGGAAAAGAGAGAAGAAAGGCACTACTGGAAAAGGAAGAGCGTAAATGGAAGGAGATAGAATCTTCTCTTTTATCCTCGCTCCCAAATGTTGGAAACCGAGACGCTGCAGCGATGGCAGCTGCAGTCCGTGCAGTTGGAGGTGATTCTGTATTAGATGATTCGCTTGCTCGTGAACGGATTTCCAGTATTGCTCATCGCATTCGTATGGCACAATTGTCTCGGCGAGCACAACAGGTTTGCATTTCAAGGTTTCTTGTTGGGACTTCAATTTACAGAGTACACAGAATTGTGGATGTTTGTGGGTGACATACGATGGATATGGCTCTCCACTTTGTTATCAATTTATGCTTAAGTAATTTAATGCGTTTTAAATTTTTATCAAGAATGATATTAGCTTACAATGCCTTGCAAATGAATTATTGTTTCTTAGTGTTTGGAAATGGCAATTCCCGAAGTATTTTGCTTGTATGAATTCCTTGATTTCTTTTTAAAATGTTGACATTTTTTTAAAACAGACTGGAGTTCCGGGTGCAGTGTGCATTCTTGATGATGAACCTTGTGCTGCGGCTAGACATTGTGGGCAGATAGATCCTAGTCTTTGTCAGTGCCAAAAAGTCAGCTTCTCCATTGCAGTATTAATCCAACCCGAATCTGGTCCGGTTTGTCTCCTAGGAACTGAGTTTCAGAAGAAGGTTTGTTGGGAAATCTTGGTAGCTGGTGCGGAGCAAGGATTTGAGTCGGGACAAGTCGGCCTTAGGGTGGTTACGAAAGGTGATAGGTCAACAACTGTTGCTAAAGACTGGAGTATAGGGGCCACAAGCATTGCAGATGGAAGGTTTGTTCGTTGTTTTCTAAGCTATTAAATTAATTGTCAAATGTGCAGAATTTTGTTATGAGCCGTTGGCTGCTTGCTTCTTTTTTGGAAATATATTGAGAAACTTCTTGAAATTCATTTTTTTTTCATGCTACTTATCATCATAGAGACTCATCCTCTGATTTGGATTGGACATAAAGGAGAGGCCGCTCACGCAATAATGACATACTGATGTAGCAGAAAAGAAAAATCCTAATGCTTGTAACATGCCTTGTAAATGGAATACGCCTGACATGAATTTCGCAATATATTCATGTTTACATCCTTGAGAAGGTTAAATTTATTTTCTGCCAAAAGTTGAAAAGTATGAAATTATGAAAACGATGCCAAAATAGAGAGGTTAAACTTTAGCGTAGCGTTTTGAAGCCTAAATGCATTTTTATTTTTTTTCTAGATCTCTCTTACTACCCGCCTTCTCCTTCCCCTCATTTCCTTTCTCCTCCTCGTATGGATGCTTTAAATACTTGATTACACGCTCTTTTGATTGGAGCTACCTTTTATTCATGTTTTCCTCGACTAAATAATTTTCAATTATTTATTTTGTCACACATTTCTTAATACCGTTTCCTCATTCTGTAAATGACATGATTTTACTTGACCTTTCAGGTGGCACATTGTCACTATAACTGTGGATGCTGAAATTGGTGAGGCTACTTGCTATCTAGATGGTGGCTTCGATGGATACCAGAATGGACTTACCTTTCCAATGGGTACTGGAATTTGGGAGAATGGTACGGATATTTGGATTGGGACAAGGGCACCAATGGACTTGGATGCATTTGGAAGGTCTGACAGTGAAAGCATTGAGACAAAAATGCAAATAATGGATGCTTTCATTTGGGGGAAATGTTTGACAGAGGATGAAATTAATACCTTCTATTCAGCTACGAGTCCTGTTGAGTATTATATGTCTGAACTTCCAGAGTGTAGCCTGCAAGTTGCTGATTCACCTCCCCGGGTATGTAGATACTATATATGCACGCTTCGTTGTTTGCCATCTTTTAGTTCAATAGGATATATTGAGTATCAAAGCTATGTAATTACTTGTCCCCCGGGTGATGTAGGGAATTACTTTTTCCTGTAGTAGTTTTAGTATGAAAGCCATGGAAGAACGATAATTACATCAGACCTATCTTTTGGCGTTAAGATATCTACTCGATGTATTGCGGCTGAATGGTCTGAAAATCTCTTGCCTTCTGTTTTCTTTTGCCTGTGTCATGTGTTCAAATCTTCTTGAATGTAGAATTGAGAATAAATCAATGATATTTCCGTTTTTGTCGTAATCTTTATGTGAAACAGGTTCTATGAGAATGTCTTTTGCGAGGATGAAAGGTCATACATGCTTATAATAAAGACTCTTATTATTATTATTATCATCTCAGTCCTTTGCAATATGTTGTCTGATCCTCTTAAATTTTTTGATGAATTTCCAGGATCTTCTGTCTGAAGTTATTTTCTTTTGGTTGCATTTATTAAGTTATGCTTCTTTGATCGGCAGTCTTATCATCTTTCTAGTTCACCTTTGTCCGGCATAATGTTGACCTTTTCTCTTTTTTCAGGTCAATGAGTGGGAGTCTGAGGAAGCGGATATTGATATATATGACCGGGAGGATGTAGACTGGGATGGCCAATTTTCAAGTGGCAGGAAGAGGAGGTCTGAGCGTGAAGGGGTGGCGATTGATATGGATACCCTTGGCAGAAAATTAAGGAAACCTAAATTGGAGACAAAGGAGCAAATGCATCAACGCATGCTATCTATTGAGTTAGCAGTTAAAGAGGCACTCTCTTCCAGAGGAGAAGCAAATTTCACTGATCAAGAATTCCCACCCAATGATCGCTCTTTGTTTGTCGATCCAGATAATCCTCCTCTAAAGTTGCAGGTATGATTTATCTAACTCTTTTGAAATCATTCTGCTAACATCTTGTTTCGCTTTCTGCTAACTTTTTATACTATAACCCAGGTGGTGTCTCAGTGGACGAGACCAACTGATATAGTGAAGGAAAGCTGCAGGGATTCTCGGCCCTGCTTATTTTCTGGGCCTGTGAACTCTTCTGATGTTTGCCAGGTGTGGATTTCTTTATTGATTCTTCTTGATATCCAATGTATATTTTCATCTTAAATCTTCTAGTCTTCATCCTTATAAGAAATGTTGATTGTTCCTTTTTTCAGGGTCGCCTTGGTGACTGCTGGTTCTTGAGTGCTGTTGCCGTCCTTACTGAGTCATCCCGAATATCAGAAGTCATAATCACACCCGAGTTCAACGAGGAGGGCGTGTATACCGTTCGTTTCTGTATACAGGTAACCAAAAAAAATCATAAAAGATAAAATTGACGTGGCTTCAAAGTGATTTAGATGTCCTCTTAGAATTCTGAAAGTCAATCATAAAACATTGGATACTTGTTTCTATTGATCTTATTTTGTTGTTGGTTTTGCTACTTAAAGTTTTCTATTGTCAGTGTTCATCAATGGCGAAGAACTACAATTCTGCTGGGTTCTTATGTTGGTTTTCCTCCCATAGTAATCAAAATGCCTTGCACGACCCTAAGTCACTCTATTTTTCAGGGTGAATGGGTTCCCGTCATTGTTGACGACTGGATCCCTTGTGAGTCGCCTGGTAAACCAGCATTTGCGACCAGCAGAAAGGGAAATGAACTCTGGGTTTCTATATTGGAGAAGGCCTATGCAAAGCTTCATGGCTCATACGAGGCGCTGGAAGGTGGTCTCGTTCAAGATGCCCTCGTGGACCTCACAGGAGGAGCTGGTGAAGAGATCGACATGAGAACCGGGCAGGCTCAGATTGACCTGGCCAGTGGGAGGTTGTGGTCTCAGTTGCTGCGCTTCAAGCAAGAGGGTTTCCTACTTGGTGCTGGGAGCCCATCAGGCTCTGACGTGCACGTATCTTCCAGTGGAATCGTCCAAGGCCATGCATACTCTTTATTGCAGGTATCTTTTCATCTTAATGCATACTCCATTATATAGTTTTCTTAATCGTATATCACAGTTTGGCGTCTTTAGAGACTTTGGACTGATCTGATCTTCTGTTCAGATACGAGATGTAGATGGGCATAAGCTTGTACAAATTCGAAATCCTTGGGCAAATGAGGTCGAGTGGAATGGTCCTTGGTCTGATTCATCTCCTGAATGGACTGATAGAATGAAGCACAAGCTGAAATATGTGCCTCAGGTACCACTCCATCTCAGCCCCCCCACCCCCCCCCTCCTTCTTCTAAATGATCATTTGGCATGGAAACCCCTGGGTGCTTGATTTTTTTTTTTCCCTCGATCTAATTTAATTTAGCCATGGCTGGTTAATCTTTTGTTTCTTCGTAGGATCTCACATTGCATGTTCTACCATGTCGTTTGATCTCACATTGCATAACATTACTCCCCAGTTGCACCATAAAACTGAGTTTTTTTTAAAAAAAAAAATTAACGCTGTGCAGTCCAAGGAAGGAATATTTTGGATGTCTTGGCAAGACTTCCAGGTCCACTTTCGGTCAATATACGTTTGCCGGCTCTACCCACCGGAGATGTGTTATTCCGTCCATGGGCAGTGGCGAGGCTACACCGCAGGAGGGTGCCAGGATTACAACTCCTGGCATCAAAATCCCCAATATAGGCTCAAGGTAACTGGGCCGGATGCATCATCCCCAGTTCATGTGTTCATCACTTTGACACAGGTATCCCCAATAAACCAGGCCATTGATTCTCCTGTCAGCGTCATCCTACTTTCCATGTTGATCTCCAAAACTTTCCCTTTTTCACCAGGGCGTGAGCTTTTCCAGAAAGGCGGCGGGCTTCAGGAATTTCCAATCTAGCCATGATTCTGAGCTGTTCTACATCGGGATGCGCATCCTCAAGACAAACGGTTGCCGGGCATACAACATCTACATGCACGACACAGTGGGCGGATCGGATTACGTCAACTCCAGAGAAATATCATACGAAGTGGTCTTGGAGCCTCATCGAAAGGGTTACACCATCGTTCCCTCTACTCTCCATCCTTGCGAAGAAGCGCCATTTGTCCTCTCAGTCTTCACCAAAGCCGCTGTAACACTCGAAGCTTTGTAGCACATATTCCAGCGACTGCCTGCCTTTGAACCACACGGGGTGGTTGGAGCGTGTGCCTGTAAGTCCCCTGGACCATGGAAGCCTTGAAATGCTTGCAGGTCAAGCGGGCGGCAGATGGGTAGTCCGTGGATATGGTATGGCTCTTTAACTGATTATCTGTCTGGTAGCTACTTCTTCGAGTGCTTTCATCATTGAGGCTTTATGTTTTTTGGGTGCTGGCCAGTTTGCTGCTCCAACATCGATGTAGAGTGGGATGGCGGCTTTGGTGCAGAGGGTAAGAAATATCCTTCAAACTTGCAACTCCAGCAGTTTCCTTTGCTCTTTCTCTAAACGTTAACTTACATGCTCCGTTCTATGCACCTTAGTTTTTTCTTTTTTTATTTATTTTTAAGTCAGTGTGATCTTTGGTGCTGAGTGTATGAGATTTTCTCTATTTCCGATTCCATCAGATTTCTAGAATCCCAGCTCTTTCTTACAGAAGAAAATTGCATGTTCTGTTCGATGCTCTCTAGCTTGATGTTATTATTATTATTTTTTTACATCAGTCGAAGAATTCCCTGTTTGCAGCTCTTTTTTGAAGTCAAAACTGAGATGGGATCTCTGGTTTAACTTTTTTCCCCTCAATTCGGTGGGATCTTTGATACTGAGCCCAAGGAACTCCGTTTACTACCAACTCCGTTATATTTCTTGAATCTTTCCTCTCCCTTGAAGAATAAACTTGCATGCTCTATGCATCCATGCTGGATGCTGTAGATTTCTTTTTTTTTCGCCCAAATCAGTGGGGTGTGTGGAACTGAGGGTAAAATTTCTGGAATCCTGGGTCTTTCTTGAAAAACAAACTTGTACGATCCATTATATGCTCTCTCTGTCTCTGTCTCTGTCTGTCTCTCTCTCTCTCTCTTCAGAAATCAGATTCTCAATGTTTTCTGCAACGTTAAATTTCTGGAATCCTCCTGTCCTTTTTTCGGAGCACGAGATATTTTTTAGTCTGGTTGTCAAAATCAGTGGGGATTTTTCACAGATTTGCGAGGTGCGGCTCCAACCGGCTAACATGATACTATCCACCGGCTGCAACCAGGTCGACAGTTCTCGCTGCGATCACGGGCCCGCCCGACGGGAGGCAACGCTTCGTGGGCGAGATGATTCAGCGAACATCGGAGCAGAAAGGATGGAGCTTTTTTGGATCTCCCGCCTCTCCTCATGTCGCCCACGTCCCCTCTGATTATTTCCTTTTTCGGGTCCTGGCCTGTGTATATATTGCTTCGGCGGCCTCATCGAAGTAGGGAGGGGTGTTCTTGAGCGACGGTGCTGTAAAATGGCATGTAAATTGAAAGGAAACAGATGAAGAAAAAATGGAGAAAGTGGGCAGATAGGGATTTAATTTGTTCGGGATATGAAGATTTGACACTGAAGCTGGAAACCCGTTGTTGGGCTTTTCCCCAGCTGCAGTTTTGTAGTGCCATTAAAAAGCTAATCATATTATTATTATTCTCTGACCAGCCATCTTTCTTCTCTTGTTCATTCATTCCACTCTTCTCCTCCGATGACATTTGTAGGGAAAATGTCAACGAGAAGCCTCCCACCTCCAATGATTTTTACTGAGAAGCATCTCACTCAGATGATACTACCTACTTCTGGTCAACCTTCTCCACTGGCCAGTGATCTTTCTTCTCCTGTTCATTCATTCCACTGTTCTCCTCCGACATGTGGGGAAAAAGTCAACGAGGTTCGAATGTCAGACCCAGTTTTGAGGACAACCCCATGAGCATCTCACTCGGACGATACTACTTCTGGTCAACCTTTTTGACAGTTGAAAAATACTGAGCTTTTTAGCATAAGTATAAAGTATACTCCACTTGAAGAACCTGTATGTAGGTCAAAACAAGAACTTCTTGAGGACAGACAGGATGCGGAGGAATTGCTACCCAGTTCATCAGATCGAGCAAGTTTTTTTTTTTTTTTTTTTTTTTGCATGGAGACGAACTTCTTGATGGTCAGCCGGTGTTCCTCATCCCGGCGGCAATGCCATTGATGGAGATGAGCAGCGCATCTCTCAGCTTATTGTTCTCCTCGTCCATCCTGAGCCTCCTCAGTATCTCCACCTGGAGCATGTTCATGGGGTTAAGGTAAGGGAGCCTCCCCTCGATCAGCTTCCTCAAGCTCCTGTTGTTCTCCAGCAGCCTCTCATGGCCGCTCACCACCATCACATACTCCTCCGTCGCCTTGAATTCCTTCCTCAGCGCCGCCCCCAGCTGCCTCCGCCGCTGCTCCTTCACCAAAACCCGGTCGTAGTGCTCTGCAATGGGCACGTCTGCTTTCCCCAGCACCATCTCGATCAGATCCACCGTGGACTGGAAGAAGGGCCATTCTCTGTACATGGCCATGAGCTCCTCGCGGTGGCCCTTCTCGCAGGCACTACGCAGGCCGGCGCCCACGCCGAGCCACGCCGGCAGGACGAGGCGGGTCTGGGTCCAGGCGAAGATCCAGGGGATTGCGCGGAGGTGGAAGATACCGGCGCTGGTTTTCCGGCGAGTGGGGCGGCTGCCGATGTTGAGGAAGGAGAGCTCCGCTTGAGGGGTGGCCTCGTGGAAGTAGGAGAGGAAGTCGGGGTTGTCGTAGACGGTGCTCCGGTAGGTGGCGCAGCTGGTGGCGGAGATGTCTTCCATGATCTGCCGCCATTTGAGGTCCCTCGGTGGGTGGGGGGGCCGGAGGGTGGCGAGGAGGACGGCCGTGGTGTAGATCTCTAGTTGCCTGACGGCGGTCTGGGGGAGGCCGAACTTGGCCTGGACCATCTCACCTTGCTCGGTGGATCTCAGGGTTCCCTGATTTCCATCAAGAAGAAGGAATGAGCAGGATGATTAACAAGAAAAAAAAAAAACAAAAAAAAAAACAGAGTTTTGTAGGGAGGTTTCTGCTTGTTCTTCCTTAAGATTATTATTTCTCATATAGAGAAAAAAATGGAAGTTTTATGGCCCGGATCAAGATAGAAAGAGGAACGAGCAGACTCCATGGAGATTTTAAGAAGGAATGAGGAAAAAAAAATGGGAGCTTTTTTTTTCGAGAAATGTGAACATCCACCATCGTCATGGGAGCATATAAGTGTGTGGGTGGAGGGAATTCACTCACCATGACAGACCCAGGAGGCTGCGACTGAATTGCAAGGTATGTCGGCCCGCCGCCACGGCCGATGCTGCCACCCCGGCCGTGGAACAAGGTCACTTTGATCCCAAACTCATTGCAGGCGGCCACAACGTCCTCCTGGGCCTTGTAAAGCTCCCAGGCGGCGGTGAAGCGGCCGGCGTCCTTACCAGAGTCTGAGTAGCCCACCATGACCTGCCCACCATCACCAGGTAAGTTTCAGAGAGAAGCAGGGTCTGCTAATGGCGCCCATTAAGGTTCTAGATGAAAGGGTAGGTGTACCTCTTGGTGGCCGTTGTGGTTGTTGATGATGTGCTCCCGATACCAGGCGATGGACAGGAGCTTCCGGATCACTGATCCAGCTTCTCTCAAGTCTTGAACAGTCTCAAATAAAGGGACCACCCTCAGCCTGTCGACGAAGAAAAAAATAAAAAAAAATGAGGGAAAGATGGAGAACCAGAGGTTAATCTCGTTTTCTTGATTGCCTAAATAATTTGTGGCCAAGTTCCTGAGCAGTGTCTAACATGTGAGAGGTAAAGAAGGTCCAATGTAAAGGAATCATCTAAAGCCAGGTAGTTTGCATCGGATTAAGCCACATCGAGAGAAGGGGTTTCTTCACGATTCAGACAAAGTCAATCACGAAGAACGCCATGATCCAGAGCCCATGCCCATTTTAGAGCACCCACCCTGCTCCCCTACCGACGGATAAGGAATGAGAGTCTTACGTTGTGCCTGGACATGGCCTTCCAAGCTCCCCACTGACCGAGAGTCTTGCGTCCTTTTGCAGGAGCTCCACTGCTAGAACGTCACTTGCCTGCACGTCAGCAAGGAGAAAATGCGCTGGGCAGTAATCCCCTGGAGGAGGAAGAAGAAGGAAACAAACGGCATGATCATGGTCTGGTTAAAGCGTACATTGGAGGCCATGGAGATCACATAAGCACCAAGGGAATCACTCCCTAGCTCAGCAGCAATGCGGAAAGTATCGAGGACCTCTCTCACATCAGGGGCAACCTGAAAAATTTCCAAACGAGGGTAATCAGTTCCAGTCGACAGGGAGGAAAGAGAAAGAAATTCTCTTTCTTATGTTTCATTCGATTAGATCTGCCCATAAGAAAATCAAACAGATAAACAGAACGGAGGCTTACCTCAATTGATGGAGGCACCAAGGGCCTCTTTCCCTTCAACTCCCTTGTCAAAAAGTCCAGCTTTTTTTCTTCATCCCATTCGCTGTAAACGCCCATATCCAGGTAGCTTGTGATGGCATCTAATGCCTCAGCATGTCGTCCAGATTCCTACGAGTGCAGCATACAAGACATGTCAGATTATACATGTATATATGTATGTATATGGCCTTTTGGAGCTTGAATGTACAACAGAGAGAACTGGCATGCCTGGCGCAAGTCAAGCTTCATTAGTATCATCCCAAAGGTGGCAACCCTGCGTATCAAATCTGCAAGGCGGCCGTCGGCCAGAGATCCAGACCCAGAGGATTGCTGCAAAGGGGAATGATCACCCACCGGACTTATCAGATATACCTGGCTAGGAGTCATATGGTCATTTTTGGAAAGGTTTCGCCATACCAGGGATTCATAGCAAAGAAGAAGCGGTTCCAGTAGCTGTTCTGAGGTTTCGTAGTACTCGAGAGGATCTAGCTCGCAAGGAAGATCCTCAAGCAGGAGTTCTAGTCGCCTCCGTGTTTTGGTAAGCTGAGAATCATTTTGAGGAATATTGATTAGTAGTTCGTCATGGTTGATGATCCAAATAAAAGAGAAAATAATGAGGGGTCCTCATAGGAGAAATAAAAGTCCCACTTTCTTTACTGAAAATCGAAAGCAGGAATTTTATGGTGAAATTCAATTTAATTTCCCAACCTTATCCTTGACATGCCCCAGAACAACACGATAGGCAGGGATTCCAGGACGTTCGGGCAAGCTGGGTTCCAGAAGCTTCTGGAAGCTGAACCTGCCTACTTGTGAGTTTGCGTATAGTTTTCTTTGGGCAAGCAGCTGAGAAGAATTGAAAGATGCGTTTCTCGGAATCATGCTTGGCTTTGAGGGCGCCTGTGTGGATGGCTGAGGACCCAGAGAAGAACTTGAGTGGCCATCTTGGGAAGCACTTCCGTTCCCAAGGCTATCTGACACACTTTTAGCAGGGTCTAGAAATGATGAACGGTCATCCTGATAAAAGGGTAGGACACAAATCAGGATAACTCTCTCATGAGCATTGCCAGAGTAAATGGGCGTCACAAATTTGACGAAATATTGAGGCAAAACATATACAAAAAATAGGATCATCTTAGAAAAAAGAATTCAAAGCTATCAGCCAGGAGCTGGCCCCACCTGGCGATTGATGTTGCCAGGAAACTCAAGTATCGAATACGAAGATTCTCCTGCGTTTCAAATAGGCATCACAACCATTAATGACCGATTTCAGAAAATTAAAATCATATATATATATATATATATATCTATAAATTGAGTTTGGTGGCACAAGAAGAAAGCTAGTTTCATAAATAGCTATTTACATTAATCACGGAAAAATCCTTTCTGGTTCATCCGAAAAAAAAAGGCTACTTTCTGGTTCATCTACTCCGACAGGATATGAAGACATCCGCCCGATGCATGCTGATAATTCAACTTAAGAATTTCTCGCTTTATAAAAGGCTATAAAGAAACAAACTGTATTGATGTCCTTAATGTTTTCTACATCATAAACCAATTTTGAAGGTTTAGCTTATTAGATGACTAGGAAATATAGAGTTCTGCATCTTTTGATGAAACGGCCGCATAAGTCCGGAGTTGTCTCTCAATCAAGACTGGCATGCATCTCCAGACGATCAAAGCATATTCTAAGAAATAAAGATACTTGTGCTTCGCTGTGTATTCTGAATTATCTGCAGCCTTTCTCGACTGTGGCATCCTGCTTTGCCATTTGTTAGAGGTAAGCACGCACCCTTCTCAATTACGTTAAACACATCAGACCGCCATGCGAAAATTACCCTCTCTTATCATGCCATAATCCTAGCAACCCTATCAATCCACTGCAGTCTATGATTACTGGCTTTAATCGAACGCTCTTGGAGGAAGATGAGAAGTACAACGAAGTGGCGACTTGCAGCCAAAAAGAAGGGCTACGTTGTTAATACATGTAAATTCTGGTGATAAATTACCTGCAAAAGAAGGCATATCTGCGCCTGCAGGGAGTTGTGTTGGCAAAGTTGAAGTAGGTTGACTCAGATGGTTTCCATGATTTCTGCTTTGTGACTGGTTCCAACTCTCACTGTGGCGAGAGACAGGTGAAGCCCCTACATGATCATTTGTGCATAAATTACGTATGAAATAAGCCATTGAAAGAGGAAAATAACACAGACGGGGTATTAAAAATTTGCATGGCAATGAACCGAGGCATCTAAAGTTCCTTTAATTAATACTGTTTCCCCTGTTCCTGCCGCCTTGTATCTAAAGTTTCCTCATCCCATTTTAAGGTCAAAACATGCTTATCATATTAAGCTAAACACAGACACGAAAGCTGGCAGGGTAATTCCCGCATGATATAAACTGGCAGGGATTAACACCGCTTCTGGTTCTGCTCTGAACACCAAAAATCTCAGTTTAATGAAGGAAAATAAGTAAAATGAAATAAAATTAGGTTTAGCAATTATTATACCATCTAAAATCAAGAGTTCCATTGAGTGAAATAACCTTGAAGGATTTCATGCGCCAGCTTCTCCAGATCACCACTGCACCTACTCATGGACAGTTCAAATCTCAGGCTGTCAACTTCTCGAATGTACAGATCAATTGCCATCCATCGAGATAAAAGAGCAACGTCTCTTGTCACCTGAAAAGGTATCATGATGTAATTTTTTAACGGCAGAGATACAAGAAAAGCGACAATAATTCATCTCCAATGAATATTAAATCGTTGTGGAGAAGATTTCACAGGCACTGATGGCACATGAAATAGAGATTTTTAGTCAAAATTTCTCAAAGAATGGAACGATGAATCACCTTCGATGTCACATTTGGATTCCCATCTCGATCGCCTCCCATCCAAGAGCCGAATTTAATTGGTGTGGCAGTCAGGGGAAGCGGCCTACCAGTGTGCTGAAAAACAAAAACCATACATAAACTCTGTTTTTATAGGGCCAGATGATATAACATTATTAAGATCAATTATGGGGAGTTTATGAATGGTGAACCTTCTTCAGGGCGGTGCTAACGCGGCGCAAGTAATGAGGCACTGCCTTCCAGAGAGATTGCTCCACTATATGAAGGCCTGAGAGGAGATAACAATTTAACAAAAAAACATTAAAATGGGCATATTGAACTGCACAATATTATTTTAGAAGAAAAAAAAAGAATGGGTGTGGGACACCCATTTGGTCAGCTTACCGGCCCTGGCTTCATCTACTGGGGTAGGCTTGTGGCGCCTGAGTTCATCTGTCTGCCATAGCGCAGTGATCTCTCTCACCTGCAAAAGAAAATGGCCTTGAGTGTCTCACCCAAATGATGCTTGAAGCATCTGAACTTGAGATGCCGGTTCATACCAGGTCTTCGATCACCATCTCTCTATCTTCAAGAGTGAGATCGGGCCTCTCGTTGAACTCCAGAAGATGCTGTATTAAAGAGGGGTCTTATAAACAGGAAAAAGAATTCTGGAGAATATATGGATGAAGTCCACATTCGAACACGTAAAACTAGAAAAAATTAAAGTATCTATTTTGAAAAAAAAAGAAGAAGATAAAACTTGATCACTGAACATAAGAATGAACGACTCAAGAACACTTCTCTTACTGCTATTCTGATATGCTTGTACTGCAAAGTGCGCCTGTTTATTTGTGTAGGATGGGCAGTAAGAACAATTTCAACGACCTGCAACAGAACCAGCGGATGAAAATCAAGGACTGTACGATCTTCCTCTTGGGAGTGAAGAGATTCGACGAGTTTTGAGAGATCACACCTGGTTGCAGACGGTTTCATAGAGGGCCTCTGGAGGAACTCCGCCCTGGATCAACTTGTTAAATATGTCGTCACATGATTTTGTCAGAGAAGCGATGTTTCGGGCCTTCCGAACGCTGCAAGAAGAGTAAGAGAAGATGAGCGAGGAGGGATTCTGTGGAGAAGCTCTGGAATCACCGTAAATGTTCATTGATCTCAAGCTGACTCGATGATAATGTGAAAAATAGACGATGCTCATCAGATTTATCATATTATAATGGTATGCATCTGGTGCTAAAATGATTGGGAACCGAGTAGCTTGATTATGTCTACAGTTGGTCATCTCCCAAGGATCGAGGTTGAATGAAACATTAATCCGTATTATACTTATCTATCAAATCCATCTTGACTGTAATATATTACCACCGAAGAGAACAAACAGTCTCTAGAAATGGACCAACAATTTCTTTTTCAAAAAAAAGGGCATCTGAACTTGGCTATGAAATTTGTTATGTCGATCGAGGATTAAAAAAGAAAGAGAAGAAGATCAAAACACGGTCTGAATTGGAGCACCTATGGTGAGTTTCCGCGATGCCCATGAGACTGAGGTAGTGGCTGAAAGCTCTAGCCAGTGTCAAGGCCTCCTCCAGCGTCATCTCCGACATTTCTGATGCCAGATGCTTCTCGAGCAACTCCGCTGTGTCCTCGAGCCCCACCATTCTCATGTTGACGGCGCTCTGCCGAGATCGAGAAGAAAGGAATGAAGAAAGATGGCATCAGAGATGGGCGATGGGGTACGGGAGATGAGTGAGAAATGACCAGCGGAGGAAATGAGGATCGAGGAAAGAAAAGGGGATCGAAGGGATCCGGAGGAAAAGGGAGAGAGAGAGAGAGAGAGAGAGAAAATGGAAGCTTTCAGGGCGTGTGGTGAGAGGACCTGAGCGAGGGCCCGCTTCCTCTCAATGGCGTCCATGAACTGAGGACCGACCTCCCGGTGGAGGACGTCGTTGAGGAGGCCCTCCAGCAGTCGGCAGTCGTCCTCAAAAGCTCGGATCGAGATTTCCTCTGCGATGTCATCTGTCGTGTCCGTCATCTCTCTGCTCCCCCACGCACAGCGCAAGTGAGCGAGCGAGCGGAGGAGAGAGAGAGATGGCGATGAACGTATGCCGAGAAAGAGAGGAGAGGAGCGAGCAAGAAATAAGAAGCCGCGTGATTCTCGAATGATCAGAGGGCTCACGGGGAGGACTTGTCGTGGTTTACGCAAAGGCAGTGAGAGAGAGAAAGAGAGAGAGAGAGAGAGCTGTGTGACGTTCCGAAGGTGCACAGAGCACGCGCGGGAGCGAGAGAGAGAGAGAGCTGTGACGTTCCGAATATGGACGAGGGCATGCGCGGGAGAGAGAGAAAGACACGGGAGCCATAAAGAGGGCTTGGCGCATCTGTGACGACGATACGATTGAAGAAGACACGGGATGAGACAGAGAGAGAGAGAGAGAGAGAGAGAGAGAGAGAGAGGAAGGGGGGGGGGGGCTTGGGAAATCGCATATTCCGACTGGACCGAACGAAAAAGACAAAGATTCACCGGCCTTTATTCGCCACGTGGATCAAGCGGGCGGGACCCCTCCCTTGTGCGTCACCACCTAAAAGCAGATGAATCTTAAACGCATATACCAATCACGCTGGTGACGTGACCGTCCATGGCTATTTTTGTTTCTGACATCTCCTTTCTGACTGCCACGTACGCGATTGGTGGGTGTTGATTGTGGAGCCCCATACAACCTAAAAAGACAACGTGGAGCGCCGGTTCCTTGTCCTGACGTAATCAAACATGTGTACCCCCCTCGGAATTACTTGAAAGAATAGGGTTTATTTTGTGAATCTACTCGAATCGGGGGGTATTTATAATAAAGTATGGGATAAGTTTTTGCCCAAATTTCAAAAGGGAGATATTGATTTTAGGAAATATTAATTTATTTTTATTTTCAGAACATCAATCCTTCCACTTAGATAGTGTATATCTCTCTACCCAACATAGTTATCATGGAGACTTTTCCCCAAAATCCATAAAAAATCACAACCATACCACATCACCTCGTAATATTAAATTTACTATCGATATGTATGGTAAAAAAATAATTATACTCTCTACTCTTCTAAATATTTACTATAAATTGTTTGGATGTAATACTATTCTCCAGTAGAAATATGAACACTAGATGTTTAAGATACTTGTTCTCCAAATAACTTTGACTTTTGGTTGGATATGTTAACAAAAGTCAACCCAATCTAAATGGGTATTAAGTTGCCTTTTTTTTCTTTCCTAGAGGGTTGGAAGGATTTAAGTTGCCCTCCAAACCCACTTATGGTATTTTTTGTCCATTTTTTGTTTGAACTAAATATGGGGTTGACTATACTCAGTTTTCTAACGTTGATTTTGAATGGAATAGTCACCAGAATCATTGCATTGAGTCAACTGCAAGTTGGAGAAAATTATCAAAATAAATTAGATAATTTTCCATCATCTTGCAATCTCACCCTTTCAAAATTCCTTCAGATGATTTCCAAAATTATCACATGTAAATAATTATCTATAAAAAATATATTTTAAGTGATTTAGCATAAAAAGGACACACATAATTGGTGTTATTATACCAGCGGCTTCTAAAGTGATAATAAATAGTAATTTATGAAAATTAGCTAATTTATAATATCCAATAGTTATCTTGGCCCACATCATCAATGATCACCATGGACAAGCACGCATAATATATTTTTATAATAAATAAAAATAAAGGGACCCATATAATTAAAATATACTTTGCTTAGCTGAGTAAGTACGAACTCAATTAATGACGTCACATCGTTAATATTTACTAAGTTTATGTAAATTAACTGATCTTAGACGCGACAACGAGCATGCTATCAGCACGTCACATTCCAAGGTGGGTGCCGACAGGGCAGGAAAGCGACTGAGGAAATCAACAAGGGCTTGTACGTAAATACACGGATCAAAGCTATAATCGGAGAAACACCCTAATCGGAACCGTAATTGCATGAATATCCTCATACCTGTCGGTCTGATTATGTTTAAATATTACAATTTATTAGAGTAATGTGAAATTACGACTTCATACAGGGTTTATACACAACTTCTACGAGAAGGGGGTTTATATAATAAAATAACCCCCCCAAAATTTCTCATCATCGAGGATTCCAACGGTGTGATCATTGTTCGGCTTGGAATCTAACCTACCTGGAGGGGCCCCCACCGGTAATATGTCAGTCATCTTGACCTATCCTCTCTCTGGATCCTTTCCAAAAATAGATTATTACATTGAAAAGACGCTGAAAGTGGGGGCTAAAGCAAGAATAGAAGAACACTGTTGAAGACCGCTGACCATTATTAGTCAACCAAGATGGGTATCATCCCATCAGTTCTAGAAGGATGAGAGGATCCCATGAGCAGAGGTGGGGCCCTCAACAGGGTGATTATGGAAGATGAATCATTGCTGGATGTGCATGGTAATTATCAATCAGGATGAAATAATCAGAGGCTGAGATTTTATGCTTAAAAAGGCAAGAAGGCCAAGAGATGGATTCCAAAAAGGACCAATAAGTAGAGAGATTGTGTGAAATTAAACACTGCAATTACATGGCAGGTTTGACTTCTAGTGGGTTAATTATTAGCAATCATAATGAAATAATTCATCAGATTTTTTCAATTCCTTTCTTTCTTTGGGATATTGGGCAGGGGATATTAGTGAGACGCTCTGTTTCTGAAGGCTAAATGACGGATCTTTGATAGGGGGGAGGGGAGGGGGGTATTATGAATCTGGAAGATGGATCACCTGACACCGTATGATCCCCGAAGCTCCCCCGGAGCAGAGCCACCGCTGGCTACCTTCGTTGGTGTTCCACCTCACTCTGTGCATTGCCACGATCTTCGGAGGGAAGGCCAAGAAATCTTGATCTGACGACCTGGTGGCTCCAGCCTGCAAATCCTCCTGTTCTTCCTCTACAAAGTCAACTCCCTGTCTCTTCTTGCGGGTCTTGGATGCGGGTTTTCTTCTTGCAGGCTGGTCAACTCCTGGGTGCTGTAGATCTTCTCCTGGGTCTTCTCCTGAGATGCAATCCAGAGGTTTATATACGAACCTGATCGGAAACTAATACATGGGTTCTAGAGATTTCTCATCCATGGCTTCACCTTGTTCTTGGGGATCATCCCGGGGCGGCGGCGCATAAGTAGAGTGCGGGGGGACCCCGCGGGCCCGGCGAGGCAGATCAGGGATGGCAGTGTGTGGAAGTGGGGTGATCACTGTGAGAGACTGGGGGTCTGCTGCCTCCATGAGAGCCCCACAGAGGTAGTGTGGTGAGCGATACCGCGACTTGTCCTTGTCTACTGACTTCTCTGTTATCTGATGAACAGTGGTGATTAGATACTAAGTTAAGTAGCTTACAGAGGAGTCTGATGGATCAAACCTGAAAGCAAAGAATGGACCCATCTGCACAGCAATAGGCGGCCACACCTGGGAACAAAAGAAAGACTTCAGTGGCTAAAAGAAGACGATCTGATGATGTTTCCCATTTGATTTGATATGGTTGAATACTGGGATCGATAGCAAGATCCTGATCCTAAGATTACTCAGAGAAAAATAATAAAAGTCAAAAATTGGAAGAATTGGTTTTCATTTTTCTTAGCCACGAGATCCTCAACCCTTGATTTAAGTATAAACACAGGGCAAATGCGGTGAGTCTGGATAGATATATGAATTCCGGTGCAACAGAAGAAGGAGAATAAAATCCGTAGAACACGAAATAGAGCCTAGAAATTAGATAATTTAATATTACTTAACCTGCATAAAACTATTAGCCAAATCGCAAGGGCATTTCTGTTTGGGTAAAGGATTCCAAAGATGGGTGGGTTACTTAACAACTAGGAATTAGAAAACATGAGGAGCAGACAGCACAGCTAAGAAGAAAAAATAGCAAAAATCCATCAATGTCTAATCCCTGAGTGAATACCTACTTGCTTCCTCTTGGTTGCAGCTTTTGAGTGGCAAAAAAATGAAGAGCTTGACAAATTTATGTGGCGATGCCAGGTTTTGAGTATAAAATGTATGGATTAAGAACATAACATTTGTCTCTTCTTCAATGTCCAAAAGTCTAACATTCCAACATTGTCTAAATTAGCTAACTCTATTTAAATCTCTAATAGCCACACTGAGAAATGATTAAATATTTTTACGCACCAAGCCTCATCTTCTCTATGATATTAACCTTGGAGTCACCTCAATTTGTATCTCTTCATCTCCAAAGTGACTACACTGAGATACCCACCAATGTTTTCATGCACTCCACGGTGAACCTTTCAGCCCCCATAATGGCAAGCAACGAGAGAGATCTTGGGACAAAATCTGACAATTCAGCAACTACTGCACTGTTCGAGCATACACTGACTCAATTGTTTCGTACTGAGCTTTTTGTTTTCCCTCCTCACAGTCGATGTTACCAGATAAAAACTGAATAAAAAGGAATAAAATATGCACAAAGATGAGAGACGGATCTGCATTTCATGCCTTCTTTTTTTTGAACTAATTTGTGTTGTTTGTGTTCTCTGTCTTCTATTGAGTATTCTGTATGGTCTTCTCTGTTTAGGATAGTATTGGCATGAACCACATTCTGGAGTAGTATACAGGGTGTCTTCAAAGCCCCCAAGAGAAATGCCAAGATGATATATAGGCTACACTAGAAGAAACCAACAATCCCAAGATGGTTCACTCTAAATTGGGTTGCGCTGTTCTTATCATGGTCCGAACATATAAAACTTGGCCATGCCAAGAGATCTATGCTCTTAAACTCTCGAATGTGTTCTTTCATATAAAATGACAGTTAAAAGGGCAGTATTCCTCAAAAACATGTCATAAATAATGTAAAGTTCAAGAATACTTGCCTTCTAATCAAAATATATCATGTTCAAAAGACCACTGGAGTCCATGTCGGATTCAGCTCAGCCATAGTAGACAGTAAAGTGTGGACGTCTAAATTTGAGTAAAATAAAATGAAAAAGATATTTTACAAAGTTATATAGATGGAGTTATCAATCTCACGCGTGCTCTCACTGACTAGAATCATAGACAGGCTAAATTATGGCATACACTTTCAAAGTTAAAATAGCGTATTTTACTCATGAAAAAAGACGGCATACGCTTTCTTGTTAAAATAGCTATTTCTTGAGAAGAATTAGCATATTTTTTCAACAAGATAAAGTCGTCTCAACATCATTCAAAGTTAAAAACTGTCCTGAAAACACTAGAAATTATGATATTCAAAATTAAGGAATTATAATTAAAAATCAAATCCCACTGCGTTCAAAAGGAAAGCATTACCGGTTATAGGAGATACATGGACACTCCAAACTGCAAATTGTGAACGGTAGAAATTGTGTACTACTCCATGCTTTGCACCATCAAATGGTTTGCCTGTAACATGCACATCACATGCTGCCTTCGACAAGCTGAGGGTCTTCATGGTGCCATCATCGAATGAAAAAATGAGACAGCTAGAAGAAAAAATAAATAAATCAGGAGAAACGTGCTATCATACAATCTTTACGTTAAAAAAAAAAAAAAATTCTCCTGAGGAAAAAAATGTCACCTGGGATGTTGCAACCAGTCTAGACTCAATATCATTTTTTGTGCAGGATTGAAATCCCACAAGGGGCGATAAGGATCACTGCAGCAGATATAATGGAAGTTTCAAATCTTTGAATAAACAAACCTTTCAGCACTCCATGAAAAGATTGACTGAAATGAAATGATGTGTGATACAGAAATGTAAGTGGGCTGGACTTGGGTTTTATCTAATATTTGTAGCTGGAGTTTGTCAAAAATCGTTAAGTGGTTGTGACCAGAATGAGACATTTGTGGATTAATAGATGGGTATGGTACAATCACATCGAAGTAAGAAGTATGATTTTAGAATTACAAAGATTTGTATGTAAACCCTTTTAGAGGCTGTTGGAAGTTTTTATTGTTACTAACAATTGTATTGGAAATTATAGTTCTCTCTTGGGTTTATGACCCCAGAACTCATTTATCCTCACCCTCCTAATCTAAATTTATGTTCTTCCTCTTCTATTTCCTTCTTCTTTCTGTTATCCATGGTCTCCCTCATATTTTCACTTGCCTCTCCGCAAAAGATACACTTATTTGAGGTCATAATCTATGTATCATTCATATTTAAATAATAAATTATTAGGGAGGTTCAGTTTTGGTTGAAGATTATGCAGAATGCAAATTTTGAAACGTAGAATTTTATGAGTAACTGAATAATTTGTTTGGAATTCTATGAATTGTTTGATTTTCAAAGGTCAAGAAATGCTTGATTTGATTAATGATCAAGAGGACAAAAAAACCTAGGAGCCATACAACCAATATAAATCTAGAAAAATTTATATGAATCAATCTAAGCTTTGTTTATTGGCAATCTCCACTTTTAGACAAAGAGAAGTGGATAGATAACATTAGGATGACGCTTTGCAAAGTAAGGAGGTTAAGGAATTATAGGGCAAAAGAATAAATAAGAGCTTACAAGTTGAACAGGAGGGAAATTAAAATACGACAGTTTAATTTGAACCAGTTGTGATAGATTGATGATAAATATATTGGACCTAAAAAAGTAGCATTTACACCTATGTATTTTAGAAAGAAAATTATTGGTGACGACAACTTCAACAGGCCTGAGATACTTTAACAATTGAAACTCAACATATAAACTCGAAAAATGTGTTAAAGGACTGTGTCATTCACATAATTTAGGAACTTAGAAAAACTATTTTTGACAGCATACGACATTCTCATGCATCGTCTAAAAAGGAGGAAAAATCTACTTTATGAGAGAATATTGTAACAACTTCAAGAAATAGTTCCAAACGTTCAATAGAACAGGAACTTTAGCATGGAAAACATTGAAATAAGAGCCACACTTGGGAGACAGAAAAACTTTGGTAGCTAGACAACACTAAGAATGCATACAATATTATTAAGTTCATCTCAAAGATAATAACAAAATAAGAAAAATCTCATTCTCATACCGTATATCCCAAAACTTGATGCCTTCATGTCCAGCAGTCACTACCACATTTGAACTTTGAGAATAACTGCATAGTATTTAAGTTGTGTAACATTGGTGTGAACTTAAAATCAGTAAAGGAGAAACAATGCAGATTGCTTAGAGATATATTGCAATCTAATTTTTACCAAAAATACTACATATCTTGCGATACCTTGCACTCGATAATGTAAAATCTGACTTATTAACAAGACCTAAATAAAACAAACAAAATGTAGGCCAGTTAGATTACTACAAAGACGGGAAGCAATAGCGCCCAGGTAAAGCTTAATTTTACATAATAGTTTATTGAAAAGTATGATCTACAAGTATCTATGTATATTTTATGTAGGCTTTAGCTCAAAAAAACTTGATTAAATTATTAATAATCATTATAATGATTATAAAGGTATTGAAAACTGAAACAGATCAGCGTGGCAATTTCAGAAGGATAAGAATACTTCTAATGACTTAACAACGGTTTTCTTGCTCCAACTTGTCCGAAGTTTCATGATCCTTTCCTTTGTGGTTTCTATGCTTCTTAATACAGTACGTATGAACTTGATTACGTGATGTTCTTGAGCTAAAAAAATGAAACTGGTCGTCATTTGAAAAGTAACCTTAACTTATTATATCCAAGAATTCATCTGCGGTGATATTTAAGTATATCATTTTATCCGTGCACATCTTTCAACTAAAAGCACTATTTATGAATGTATAGTATAGTTGAAGTATGACAGTATTCTTTACTGAATAAGTTCCCAACGTCCCCAATGATAAGCGCTGCCATGGCACACCACCGCAACCAACCAAAGTGCACAAATGTCAGGCTTACTAGATTAGGCCTCCAGATACTAGCATTAATATAAGTACCTCATTTTCAGAATTAGCTCAAGATCATTCCTAGGCGGCGCTCCAAAACTAATTACTACACGAACACATTAGGATTGGCTAAATCAGTCTGACTTGATCATTTTTCAATATTTTAAGAAATGATAAAAAGAAGGTTAGCCAATCTGATCAGCCAACAGTCAAAAGAGGCCAGCTGAGGCCAGCTAATGTGTCTATGATTCCAAGATTACTAAATCGATATCTAAGTCTAAGCTGCCCGACTTGATGTTGAACTATGCCATTGTAGACCTCAAAAATAGTTTATCAATGAAGAAATTTATGAAGAGTGATTGGGACGTCATTATGCTGCCAGGGAGTCAAGTTGAATATCTACAAGGAAATAAAAACAATAGTAATATATAACATAACATCCGTAAAGTACCATAATGAAAATCTATGGACCAATACCTTTCACCGGGAGCCCAAGAAACAGCTCTTATGGGAACATTGTCAGCAGTAAAGCACAACAAAGGTCTTGTGTCTGCAATCAAACATAGAAAAATAAAGTTGTTTATGCTGGCAATAATTATCCTAAAAGTTGCTCATGTCCCACGAAATCGATTGCCAAATTCCTTCTATATACAATCAAAACATGGAAACAAGATATAACTACATGTTATACAATCAACAAATTATTGTCTATGAAGCCAGTACCCCCCGAACATTAGATAAATATCAAGACAATACCTTGAGAGGAATCTCCAGCGGAGAACTTCCACAAGGCAACCTGGAAATACATGAAAATGTCATGAATTCTAGTTTCAAGAAATCCAAAATTCATTTAACATTGTAGATTACTTTAAAAAATCAATCCAGAGTAATTCAACTTAAGGCTAGGAAAAAACAAATTAGAATATTATCCTCATTAGAGATGACCAGACGGACTAATATCTCTTTCACATCAACATCGCCTTATTATTGAGGGTTTTTGCCACTGCGACTTTCCATGACATTCCAGGCACTAAGCCAGGTTTAAAACACCCTTAAAAAATGATACAATCACAATGACACCTAGTCCAACCATCAGATAGCTACAGAAGACCAAGAAAAATATTCTAGGATGAATCCCTCCATGACAATTTTTTTTTATCATGCGTATCGATGAATTTCTTGGATCTGGCTGTATTCATCATAGAATCCAAATTTTCTGAGGATCTCAGAAACAAATGGAAATGTGGAAGATGGGGTAAAAAGCGCAAACAGGATCTCAGGATTTATGTTCTAACTCAGGTTCAGAAACAGATACTTGTGGACTAGTTCTTTGTTTACATAGAAAATCATTAGTTACGACCTGTTCAGAAATTTTGAAAAATCCGTGGCACATTTGAAGACAGTTTTTTGGATTTTATGAGGGGAACTGAGAAATATATCTGGTTCAACTTTAAATAACATGAAAGTCACTTTCCAATCCACTGATACGGCATATAGTAAATAAAAATACACGAAAAGAGGGACTCCTTTCTTTCTTCAAAAGGCGGGTCAACAATTAAAATGAGGAACTAAACTGAAAGTTAAACAATTTCCAATCTTCCCTTATTAACACCACGTTAAGAAGTAGGATCCGTTAATTAAAAAATGCAAAACGTGAGGACTTAAAATTAAATAGATGAAGAAACGTGTAAAGCATTATTTTTCTTATAGTGTAAATATGAACAAAGAAAATACGAATGCCAGAAAAACACTTACCGTCCCATCATGGCATCCAACTAGAATTAAATCAGGAGTGGACTTCGACCATTCCAGTGTGAGGGGAATGCTGCATGATAGTGAGTTATCAATGGACAAATTAAACAAAGGAAAAAGAAATACATACAAATAAAAAACGTTGAGATTAGATAATCACAGCCACGCATACTACTAGGATGGATTCGTCCTTCTATATGACTAGAAGAACTACCTCAAAGAACTCTCTGTCGTTTCTAATAGTGTCAAATAACCGTAGGTGACATCAGGTACCAGAACATAGCCAGTCAATTTAAGCCTCAGTAGGACAAAGCGTTGAAAAAAATCAGCAACTGATATGACCCGATGGTTTGCCACAACACATAATTTAGGATAAGAAAAGCTAGGAGGAAACAAGAGTAACGTAAGGACAATTACTAATACAATATAGACACAGATAAATGATTGTCCTTTAGTTATTGTGGGAAATAAATACTGGTGCCATCCACAAGGGCACACAACATTAAAAACATTTCCAATTAAAAAACACAGATTAGAACATGTGTGAGAATATCTACTAATATTCGTCTTTTAACCATTCATTAGTATACAAGACACACAGATCACTCATGAAGAAGACACATTAGTATACAAGACACACAGATCACTCATGAAGAAGACACATTAGTATACAAGACACACAGATCACTCATGCATAAGACACATTAGTATACAAGAAATTTCAGCTCAACATAGTCAAGAATCTAATTATATTCATCTTTTAACCACCAACACCATTAGGAAGATTTTTCACGGCTGAGGTTAACTGATAGGTAAACAGTTTTTAAAACTATAGGAAAAGCATACACAAAATTCTCAACAAAACATTCAAATCCTTGGAAGCCAGTTCAGTGAGACACCTGCATGTGATTTGTAATCTCAGCTATCCTTGATTCGTATGCTTTTCGATTTATGATGTATGATGGATTTTATCTCATAATAGAAAGACAACATTTAGAATACAACATGATACATCTGATTCACACGTGATTACAATCTTCCAGTGACAAGACACATCTCAGTGTTCAAGAACAATAGCCCGCGAGCCAAAGCATGACACTGAAGAATCTAAAAAAACGAGTTGATGAAACATAAAATTCAACTAAATAAACCTCATGCATTCGGCTAGGGGAGAAACCTGTTCTTACCTTTGTCTGTCCCCAAACTTCACTTCTGAACACCTGAACACGGGACATAGCTTTACAAAACGGGGATCGGTATCTTCCTTGAAAGAAGATTTGTATATATTCTTAATAATGCTAGGAGATGGGATCTCCCACCTGAGATAAGTTAAATTACAAAGAAAAAAATTAAACACAAAAAAGTATAAAAGGAGGTATGAACCAGAAAACAATCACGAGAGTAAACTTTGAAAAAATGAAGTAGACAACTCAACCAGAAAATACAACCATTAAGAAGACAAATCAAGGCAACCTCTTTAAAATGATCGATTAGAAGAAAACCATCAGTACTACATTGCAGCTATGTGAGATAATGCATCATAGTGTACAAATAATTAGTATACCGCTTTTGGAAAACACCCAAATTATATACATCTAGAAAACCCAAAATAAAGGAGAAAACAGAAGAGCCAAACCCACAATTTTGTTTATTACGTTTTAGGGTTTTACTCAAAACAGATTAATCTGACTCATAGATGTATTCCTTCATCAGAATACCAATCTGATGTTTGGGTCGATTCCTTTCTATCAATGATGAATCAAAGGTAGATCATGGTATCCACAACTAGTCCAATCCTTTTGCAGCCAATTGTGGTTTATACCTTTTTCTCTTGACATGTAATGCGTCTGTAGCAATTACGACACTGTTCATAGTCCACTGTCCTTCCAAGATGACAAGTAGCATAGACTTCACCTTTCAAAAGTGATAAATAGACATTTTAGACATTCAATCTGATTTCAACACAAGCTGCTGAAGAAGTGTGAGCCCTTTGTACTATGATTGAGAGCACAAAAACTACATTGCAGAGACATACTCGGCTTAAGACATTTCTCATTTCTCTATCAGCATTAACACTATTTGTCAACAACAGAAAGTGTTTGAAACCGTAAATAAAATGGCTTTGAGGTGGTATGTTAGTCATGCATGGTTAGTTAACTTGCACCAACTTTTATAAGTTGGACATGGTTTCTGCCTTTACAAACTGTAATCTGCGTGGATATTGAAAAAGTTGGACAACTTGTGTGAGATTAGGCATGAACAACATCCAATTACATGTGACCTGATGACAGAAGATCTGAATCATACTGATCAGCATGAAGCCGTTCTTAAATTGAATCGCTGTAGATCTCATGTTTATTACCCATTGAGTCATCTACATTGTGAGTTTTAGTTTGATGTGGCCCTTTTACTTTGTATAAAAACTTAAAATTACTGATGTGAATCTCCATCGTCCGTAAAAATGAAAGAATCACGAACTGCCTTCAAGACGAAGTTGCTTAAACTACTGAGATCTAAGCTAAAAAACACTAAAAATCATGCATATTAGGCCAATGACCTGACTTCACGTGGTGTAACTCAAAACTCAAGTCAGACTGGCACAACCTTAAATAAACCACAATCTAGTTTTAATTGACATAGAAATTATTAACCGATGTAACAGTATCAATTTTAACTTGTTTCTTATGTGGAGGTTGTACCATTTCTAATTTCCCTTTCATATTAGTAAGGAAAAAAATTGTGGTCCATCCACACTTAAAGAGCAGTTGCAAATTTGCACCCTCATGGGAGAGTTGGGAGAGGTAAAAAGAAAATCGTGTCCCGATTTTATAGGTTGTAATAAGTACACAACCCAGTGAGAACTGAATTTCTAACTTGCCCTCTGCAACAGTATGCATAATTTCCACAGTATATCAAAAATATGAACTAAAATAACAGACTTCAAAATGGTATGAACAGCAGAAGAAGTTAAAAAGAAAAAGGCAAAGAAGAATTTTTTTTCAAGGCCAGCAGTTGAATCACTGCAACAAAAAAGAAAAAAATCCAACGAATTAAAATGTAAACTACAAGTAACCTAAATAACTTGCCGTATGAAGAAAATGGGAAAAAAAGAAACAGAGCATCGAATGGTAGATGTAAAGGACAACTAAATAAAAATGTATACAAAAAGGGATAAAAATGGGGAATAAACTTACACTTCCAGAGACCCATTTCCCAACACTGCAGCAAGATAGCCTAGCCGATGTCTGAAGTTCACGTCACCATTATTACAAGGCCTCCATTTGACATCCCACGCAACTTTCCCATTGTGTCCCAAACATAGAAAAACTCTGGGCAAAGCAATATCATTTTGAGCGTTTAAACAGACAATATCATCCTCTATAAATTCTTTTGAAACCACTTCACTACTTGAAACAGAAACTGCATTTGCAAAGCTGTTCGTCCTAGGCAAGTCATACAACTCTTTCATTGGTTCAACATTCTCAGCTAGGCATGAAACTTCACTATCATTTACAACCAACGGAAACTCTTGTTGATCTGGATATATAGGCTCAGCGCCATTAGCATCAGAAACATATTCCTCTGATCCCTGTTTTAGTTTCTCTCCATCTTTCTTTGGCGGGGATGACTTTCTTTCAATGTTTGAGACATTGACGGACGGAGTGGAAACACATTCTATTGAGCTAACATCTTCAATGATGCATGGAGCACCTACATCTGACTTTTTATCAGGAAGCCTTCCCGATCTCCCTCTAGATTTCCTCAGTGAAGATGACTTCGTTTTCCCATCTTCAACAACATTTGTGCATGCATCTTCTATTCTGACTGGTTTTTTTCTAGGTCGCCCTCTGCGCTTGCATGGGATCAATGTTGTCTTTCCATTTAAATCATCAGTAGCATCGTAAGAACCGATCTCTGGATTTATTAGATTTTTTTCACCATCGAAATGGTCAACATTTTCTGTTTGCTCGGGTATATTTCGAGGTCTTCCATCAGTATGTCTCTGCGGAGATTTATTCTCATCATGTGCATCAGCCACTCCAAGAACAGGAACTAATTTTTCCTTGTCCAATTTACTACTAACGTCCACATAATCTATGGTTTCTGTATTGCCAGGGATTTTTCTAGGTCTTCCTCTCTGCCGTTTTGAAGGAACCGTGCCATTTACAACAGTTGAAACATTTAGTGAGTCCGCTGCAACTGGCACCTTCCTGGGTCTACCTCTTTTCCGCGGGGGATTTGATATCAGTCCACTGTTTCCATCACCTAGAGGTTCCACAGGGAGAGGCATCTTTGTAGGTCTTCCTCTAGGCTTAGGTGGATGTTCGGACTTGATGCTTAAACCACCTGATCTGCGGGCAGATCCCTTTGTAGGCCTCTCTCTGGATCTTTGGCTATAATTTTCCTCTTTTCTATTCATGTCTAGAAGGCACCAAATCTGAATGACACCCCTTCCAGTCAATGGAGCTCCTATCTGGTGATATGAAGAACCAGGTGGGTGAGCAGCAACTGCAAGGTACTGAATATAAACGAGATAAAAAATATGTTAGCAGTGGAAGTAAGAAATATTGCGGTACATAGTAGATTAGTTCTCAACTTGGGATATTAAGGTCATGAAATTAACATCTGTTCCCAACACATTAATTGCATTCATCTATTAACCACGCTGTTCTAATTATATCACCAACTATCCACATAGGAAGCATGCACCACATTGACATCGGCAAATAAAGGTACTGAGCGTCATAGAAGGTTCATTAAGGTCGATAGAAGGTTTCATTGCCCCAATGCACTGCCATTATTGTCGTTCTTAAAAATATCACTCTCGCTGTGCATCTGCTTCTGCACTCAATTAACTAAAAACGATGAAAGCTTAGAATGTATGAATTAAAAACAAAGACATAAACACACTAACACAAGGCCCGAGAGAATCTATAAGTTACTCTATGCAAGATATTCATCATCATCATCATCTGTGTGAAACCCTCATGCAAAAGGTTCATGTGCAGACAAGACAGTAAGGACAGGCAAAAACGATTACATTATACCTATGCTGCCAGATAGATGAGAGGAATAAAGTTTAAGGTTGGAATTGAAAGTACCTCACATCTAACGGGACAGTGAGGTACTTGGTGCACTCTTGGGCACCAGTCCATCGCCCAAACGGATCCACCAGCATGCAACACAAAGTCTTTACTGTGTCAAAAATCATAGACGTAAGCAAAAATGCAACCATAAATGAAGACTATGAAATGAAAATACTATAACGAACTATGCATACAGACAATACATGCTAGAAACATTAATAACACACTAACGATAATATATTGCAGAGGCCTACAGGTTCCTAAAGCCACATAAAAGCAAGACAATGATAATCAACTCCCTGCTGTGTCAAAATACCTACGTAAAATGATACCTGGGATTCTAGACAGAAATACAAATAAAATCCTCAAGGAAAATGTAACAGAGTTGCCACAATTATCAAGAGTACAACGAAAATCTGATCTCCAACATTGGACCCTTGCAGAGGCTGCCACAGCTCAGAAATGGAGCCCCTCCTCCCTCACAGAAAGAACTCCATATTATTTGAATAGGTAAGATATAGAGAGTTGAAATTAAAATTTATCTACGATTTGATCACGAACATAGAGTAGTTGGGTCCAACATACCGGTCCATAGATTCTGCAGCACTCAGTGGTTGTCCCCTCTGAATCAGTATGAAAGGCATGAGTTTTCAGCTAAAGAACATCTAAAATACAGACGAACACCAAATCCAATGGCTGTCAAGGGAAACACAACACTTGAAAGGAAATTACATTTGGAGGTGCAGCAGATGAAAATTGAGGCAGCTCTATTCCCTTGATCTCCTCTTTTGATTGATGAGGTTCAGCCTCATAAACGAAATTGACAATTTTCGGCTCATAGAAGAAATATCTCCATTCTCTGCAAGGCAAGCCAATCCATACCATGCTTTTGAGCAATCACCAAATAATGGCATTAATTTAAAATAATACTTGATCTCCACACAAATTTTGGGAAATTTCAAGAAAGATGGCCAAAATATTCATTAAATATTCAGATCTTTCTCAAAAAAAATTATGGCAAAAGTGATAACAAAAAACATGTTGATCATAAATTGAAGAAATATTAAATACTGAAACAGACTCACTTCAGAAATGTGATCATGTGGGATAATCTCTGTAACTCATGTTGATCAAAGGTCTCATCTTGTATCCCACAGAGCAACGAGATAGCCTCCATTGTAGAGATGAACTTCTCCACAGAATCCTCAAACAAGGAAACAACAACTCCACCACTCGCAGACTCAGTTGGCATATTTTCCGCTCTTGGGCCTGCTGCTGCTGCCCCACTTTCCACACTACTCTCACCTTCCTTTTTCTCTCTTCCAACACCTTCCATTAGATAATGAGAAATAGCCATCAAGGTTCTACGGCCATGATAACTCCAAAGGAAAACCGGAAAATTTCAGAAGATGAGGGAGACGACAGTAAAATAGAGAATGAAGTCCTGGAAATATCAAGACTCTTTTTCGTCCGAGTGGAGGGAAAGGTCTCGAAGCTGAGTTTTGCATCATATGCCTCACACCTGCAAAAAATCGCTCATTATTTTTACAGAAAAAGTGATAAGAACACACTGAACTCTACAGAATTTACCGTCTGAAGATATAATGAAAGTAATCTGTTTCTTAAGTGTCATATATATATATATATATTTATATATCTGCATATATATATATATATATCTGTTAAGAGGGGAGAGAGAGAGAGAGAGAGAGAGAGAGAGAAGGAGGGCATATCGATCAAAGACACAGAATTCCACACTATCCTCGCAGAAAACATCACTTAGAGTTCATATTTGTGACAAGCTTCTCAGACATCTATCGTGTACTCCTCTCCAGATTAATCAGGCCATACCACGTAAAATTTTTGAAGACAATGTGAACTAAAATAAATGGCCTTCCCTTCCATAACCTCTCATTTATCCCCCTTTCCTCTACTGAGGCCCTCTCCTAGTGGGCGACGTTCAGATTTGAGCTTCTACTCCCCCGTGTACCCGAATCTTCCCATCCACCAGAAATGGAGCAACCCACCACCATCACCTGTCCGAGGGGACGACGGTACACATCGCTGGTGTTGCAACGCCAGCTTCCGACAGAGTGGGAGAGGAGCCGCAGGAAAATAAAACCCTAACACAGCCAGAACCCATGAGAGAGAAAAAGGGAAGGCGAGAGAGACAGAGGTAGATGTGATGACAATTCTGAAGACATGTCGCCGTTGCGGCCGAGGAAAGAAGAGGGAGGGAGGGAGGGAGGGAGGGAGAGAGAGAGAAAGCACACCTTCGACGGCCGCCCACCGCAGCACAAGCCCGGGCAGCCGCGCTACCAAGAGAAATACCGGCTGTAGAGGAGCTCAGAGGGGAACCGCTCGGTCCTTGTACACGACGGGAATACCTCCGACTCCGACCGCCGCTGCAGGAGTATTCAAGTTCCCAAGATTCCTATTTCTATAATATATTAAATTCTTAAAAATAAATTTAAGCTAATTTACATTATGAATTTAAAATTTTAAATATAATTTATTTATATAAAATAACACGTCCATATGATCACAAAAAAAATTAGATTAAAATGAAGAGTTCATGCTCACGATCAGGATGTGAGTTGACTTTGGAAGAATGTATATGTTAATAAATGCCATAATTTAGCGTCAAATGATTTTAATTTGACTTTTGGTACCCAAAATTTATAGAAATAAAACATTATTAATGAGCATCTTACATGAATTATAAATAATGCCATTATGTGACTGACGTGACTCAGTCGTTGTATATTAAATCATGCAAATCTAAAATTTATAAAACTAGAAAATACGAATTTTTAGATATTTAGAAGTATTTCTGAACAAATATATCAATTATAATTCAATAAAACTTCCAAAAATAATGTTAATTTTCCAGGTCGATCACAAGAATGTAATATAATATATGATAATTATTCATAATTTTCCTCAATGAATACGATTTTTTATGAATTGTATACTAGGAAATGAAAAGGAAATATATTTAAAATTCACGAAAAAAAAGAAATAAGGGTGCTGACGTCAGGATGACGTCAGCGCCCGGCGAACACGAATCGGGCGGAAACAAAGTTCTGCCCGATGATTTTTACGTAAGCGATTACAGACGATTTAATTAATCAAATTAAGATCTGTAAAAGCCAGAAGAATCGTAATTGAACGAAGTATATTTTGGTAAATTAAAATCACACAAAGTATCACTAAATGAAGCGTAAATTAAATTGAAAGCAGGAAAATAGAGTTCTGGCGTCGTGACGGCGATGCGTCGGCGATGCACCGGAATCCTGAGCGTTCGGGAGGATCGTCGTGCAGTGTCCACGGCCTCAAAGGCTCTCCTTAGACAAAGACAATGTGGGCAATCTCTAGATCTTCTCGCGAAGTCTAGAGATTAATGAAATGGGTCGTCGAGTCGTCTCCGGCAGCTGTCACCTAGCGGAGCAGAAAAACGACGACTTTGCGGCTCTCCGGCGGTTGTCACATGACGGAGAGGAGCTGGATGGAGGTGGGGCGCGTGTCAAGGAGCTTCATCCTCAGGTCCGCGCAGCAAGAGGAGGCTCTTCATCGCATCTGGTACGCTCTCAAGAGGTGGCGACTCATCTCCCGGCAGATCGTCCTCTTCCTGACGACGACTTGTTCGTTGATCAATCGGAGATGATTTACTCGATGGATTCGCGATCCTTTTATCGCGAATCGTTCAGCAATTTTAGTAGCAATGCTCCGCAAATCGCGTTGACGAGATTTTCACCGATGATCCAGCGATTCTGGTTGCTTAATCTTTCATCGGCGATCTGCAGGAAAGTCGCGATAATCAGATAAAAATATATGAATTTTGACTCTAGGAGGATTCGAACCCGCGCTGGTTGTTCGCCCCTTCTGAGGAAGGTGTGACGCGGGTTTAGTCCCACATCGGTTGTGCGCCGATTTTTCAGATGAATATATAGTAATGTTAGCTTTCTAACCAAAGTCCCTTCTTTCGCGTGTACGACCACTCCTTGCCCCACAGCCGGCTAGCCACTAGTGACGTGGAAGGAGAGTGGCGCACACATGCCCCTATCGGTCCAAGCCGCTCGAGCCCCTGCTCGCGGCTACTCCCTGACTAAGCTTCCGACCCGCTTGCGGGCCCGGCTGGCCGGCGGGTCCCCCCATTTTGCAATATTTTAGTTTTATTTCTTTTTCTTCATTTATCTCAAAAGTAAGACTGTAAAAATCATATAAATTCGTATAAAATCACATAATTACCCAAAAAATCACATTAATCAACTAAAAACCACTTTTCACACTTTAACACAAATATAAGTCTATTTATCACGAGTTAAGGCTAAAACTATATTATTTACTAATTATTAACTCATGATAATGAAGACTTATCAGTGACTCAACAGAAATGCTAATTTAATTACTAAAAATTGTAAAAATAAAACATTTCCTATGAGCATCCTATGTGAATTATAGATAATGTTATTATGTGAGTCAATTGAAATGTCGTGTGGTGGATCTATCTTTGCAAGATAACCCTAGTAATATTCTCTCCCACCAATTAGATCAGACATCTCCCTTGGATATTGTTGCACATAGTAATTATTGATCAGCTCCTCAAACTGCCACGTGTCCACATCTTTCTCCCAAGTGGTTATCTCACATGTTTGACTTGCTCACTTGATGAGGTAGAATGTATTGTGGTGGTTGTGATTTTGTTCCATCAACTAGTTGATGATCTAAGATATCATTGCATGTTTTGAGCAATGTGATTGCACAAAGGATGGCAACAAGTGTGACTTGTTCCTCTCTAGGTCCTCTTCATTAGTGTGATATGTTTTAAGTCAACGTTTTGTTTGACTATTTTCTTACAATGCATGTTTTACATTGGACTATAGTCTTAGCCACATAGTTTTTTAAGCTTAGGCCAATAAAATCTCTCTTCAACTTCCTAGACAGTCTTATTTTGACCAAAGTGTCCGAAAAGTCCCCCTTGATGTACTTCCTAAATGATGAAATCTCTCATAGAGCTCATGGGAATACATAATTGTTGGTCTCTAAAGAGGTATCTATGCATAATATGAAAAAATTTATATTCTAAGGAGGGGCCAAGGAGAATTTGAGAGTAAATTTTAGAGAAATCAGAACATTTGGAATATAGGTTTTCAACTTTATCAAAACTTATGACTTGATTATCCAAAAGTGATAGGAAATGAATATTTTTGTTTAAGGCATTGGCTACTTTATTTTCTATTAAAATAGTGATATTGGGCTACATGTGGGGATAAGGTTGTTGGGTTTACTAAGTCTAATTACTTATAGGTATCAAATCGAGCCACTTATATCTAACACACAATTTGATAGCCAATAATCATGTATTAAAGGGTCACGAACCCTAACCCTAAAGTAATGAAGTTTTTTTCCTTTCACTCTCATTTTCTAATGGCTCTCTTACTTGTTCCAGTGGCTATGCCCTAGTCCAAGGCGGGAGGAGCTTTGACATGGTGTTAGAGCCTCATGTGCATACTTTCTAATCCTCTTTTTGAGTTGTCTTAGCTCACTACATAGAAGGTCTGCATGCATCAAGACCACGAGCACTTTATTTTTTTGTAGCTAGGGTTCAAAGGTTTGCCTTTTGGGTTGAAACCATGAACCCTAACTCATGGCAGAAGCCCCTAGTCTATCTTTGGTGCTAGTGAGTGCACTTGAGGAGTACCCTAGGTGGTTTGAGCTCCCAAAACTTTTTGAAAAATATAGGTTCAATCCATTGAACCTATTAGAATGGGAGGAATATGTGAAAATAATTTTACTTGGCTAGAGAAAATTAAACCACCTCAAGAGTGGTAAGCCTCACAGCTCAATAGATCCACTACATACTACATGGTGAGAGGCAGACATCATCATCAAAGCGTAGTTGTTAGAAAATATGGCACCATCTATTAGTGAGTACTCCCTTTGGATTCTGACGGTGAAGGACATATAAGAGAAAACTCACTGTATGCACATCGAAGTGGAATGATGAGGGAGAAATCTCATGCCTAATCATCGAAGCTATGAACCTTACTCAAGGGAATAGAACGATGATGAAATATACAACCAAACTAGAAACCATCTAGATGGAGGTCGATCATTATAGACCAACCACCAATCCAAATTATGTTGAAGGAATTTACATTTTTAAGGATCCTTTATATAGGTTCTTAGTTGGCTTAAATTCACCCTTTGTACAATTGGATGGTCAATTGTTGAACAGTGAAAGAGTTTCTAATTTTGAGGAAGTTGTGAGAATTATTAGGAGAGAAGAGAATAAGTTGACAATACTAAGTGAAAATCAGCAAGCTAATAACTCAGTATTGATAGCAAAGAACATGACGGGAGCATTAGTCAACACTAGTTGTAGAACATGGGTACATGAGTGTATTTCCCTCTTCTACCCATTGGCAAGAGATTGGCTTTGTAGGTTTCCCCAAGAGAGAGGTGAACTTGAATCTTATACTTCAACTAGCAAATTCTAAGGATGGGGAAATTAATACTCAAGGAGGAGATTGAGAAGTTGTAGCCACTCATCACCTCAAGTTCTATAGTTCTATAACATCATCAACAGCTTTTTTGAGTAATCCCTACATTATAAAAATATGTATCTAAGAGAGAGAAATGGATCCTCAACTTAGGGGCCACTAATCATGTCTCCATTCAAAAGAAAAATTCAAACTGATGAACCATATTTTAAGGGTAGACAAGTACTAACCACATATGGGAAGCTTATATCTATAGTTGACATAAGTTCCATAGAACTTCTAAGAATATGAATAATTTACCATGTTCTTTATGTGCCTTTATTGTCAGCAACTTAATCTACCTTAGTAAACTTAGATAATCAATCACTCATTATCTTTTTGGTTACTCTTAATGGGTGTGTTTTATATGATAAAGGCATAGAATGGAGGACTAAACTTGCTGAGGAGAGGGGAGGCTTATATTACATAGGAGACATCAATCGAACACAAAGGACGTATCCACGAGTGGCACAAGCGGCAGAGATCACCAAAAGTGGCATCAAGGGAGAGTCACGAGTCGATTCAACTACTTATGTTACTTCATTGCCACCTAAGATATTCCTCTATCATGACTATTAAATATTTATTCCCATAATTGTATAAAGAACTTGATTATAATAGTTTCTTATGTGAGGTATGCTAATTAGTTAAGCATAAATAATCTATTTATCATTTCTCCAACTTAAGATCTTTTAAACCTTTTGACTTGGTTCATAGTAATGTATGAAAACCAACACCAATGTCAACCATCTATGGTTGTCATTGGTTTATCACCTTTATTGATGATTACACTCGTATGATGTGGGTATAGTTAATGGATAACAACTTTGAAGTGATTGATTGAAGGTATTTTTTCAAATAATAAAACAACAATTTAATATCACAATTAAATACTTTATAATTGATGATGTAAATGACTACATCAATAAGGATTTGGTTGAATTTTTTCTTACAAATGAAGTAATTCATGAAACATCTTGTGTAAACACTCTTCAACAAAATGAGATTACATAGAGAAATAATCAGCACCTATTAGAGGTGACTAAAACACTTCTTATTCAAGAGAATGTTCTAAAATACTTGTGAGGAGAAGCACTAGTTACAGCTACCCACTTAAATAATAGATGGCCATCAAGTATTTTGATAAGAAAAGTCTTACTGAGGTCTTAGAATCTCATATTCTAGGGGTAAAATTCAAAACCAACCTCACACCCAAAGTATTTGAATGTGTGATGTATGTACACTTATATCATACCAAGAAATTAGACTTAAGGACACTTAAGTGTGTATTCTTAAGCTACTCAATAACTCAAAAAAGGTATAAATGTTATGACTTAAAAATTAAGAAATTCTATATCACTTGAGACATCACCTTTAATGAAGGTGAAAATTATTATAAGACTAATGAGGCCTTAGAGCCCTCACCTTTAGAGAGGATGGGTGATATGACTACATCTCAAGGAAGTTATCTACTTCCTCGAGATGAGGTGGAGTCAAAATCATAATAATTAAGTGTAGAAAAAAGATTTGGACAAACCTATACAAGAAGAAAGAGTGAGCAAACCCCACACACTACTTCAGTAAAAGATCTAACTCATGAGACTTTCCTAGATACTTCATCAGAATCACAAGAAAATGTAGTAAACTTACTAGTCTATTAAAACATCAATAAGAATGTTATTTATCCATTACATAATTATTTTTTCTTACATCAGTTATCTACAGCCCATTCTTCATTTCTTATGAAAGTAGCCTCTATTCCCATTCCATTAATATTTAATGAAGCTATAAATAATGCAAATGAAAAAATTCTATAGAAATAAAAATAAATACATTAATTAAAAACAACACATGGGAACTAGTTAAGATCTTGTGCAATAAAAGAATTCGGATGGGTATTTACCATTTAGTATAATTTTCTGATAGAATAGTATAAAGGTATAAGACTAGATTGGTAGCAAAAGAATATACCCAAAAATTAAAGATTAATTATGATGAGACCTTTGTCCCAATAGCAAAACTAAATACCATGAGGATTTTAAGCTCTATGGTAGCGATGAAAGGATGACAACTTCACCAATTAGATGTAAAGAAGACTTTTCTACATGGCGCTATAAATAAAAAGATCAATATGGATATGTGATAAGTCTTCATTATCATGAGTTAATAATTAGTAAATAATATAGTTTTAGCCTTAACTCGTGATAAATAGACTTCTATTTGTTTTAAAGTGTGAAAAGTGGTTTTTAGTTGATTAATGTGATTTTTTGGGTAATTATGTGATTTTATACGAATTTATATGATTTTTACAGTCTTACTTTTGAGATAAATGAAGAAAAAGAAATAAAACTAAAATATTGCAAAATGGGGGGACCCGCCGGCCAGCCGGGCCCGCAAGTGGGTTGGAAGCTCAGTCGGAGAGTAGCCGCAAGCAGGGGCTCGAGCGGCTTGGACCGATAGGGGCACGTGTACGCCACTCCCCTTCCACGTCACTAGTGGCTAGCCAGTTGTGGGGCAAGGAGTGGTCGTACACGCGAGAGAAGACTTTGCTTAGAAATCTACCATTAGTATATATTCACCCGAAAAATTGGCGCACAACTAATGTGGGACTAAACCCGCGTCACACCTTCCTCAGAAGAGGCGGGCGACCGGCGCGGGTTCGAATCCTCCTAGAGTCAAAATTCATATATTTTTATCTGATTATCGCAACTTTCCTGTAGATCGCCGGTGAAGCATTAAGCAACCAGAATCGCTGGATCATCGGCAAAAATCTCGTCAATGCGATTCACGGAGCATTGCTACTAAAATTGTTGAACGATTCGCGATAAAAGGATCGCCAATCCATCAAGTAAATCATCTCCGATTGATCGACGAACAAGCCGTCGTCGGGAAGAGGACGATCTGCCGGGAGACGAGTCGCCACCTCCTGAGAGCGTACCAAATGCGATGAAGAGCCTCCTCTTGCTACGCAGACCTGAGGATGAAGCTCCCTGACATGCGCCCCACCTCCATCTAGCTCCTCTCCGTCGGGTGACAGCTGCCGTAGAGCCGCAAAGTCGCCGTTTTTCCACTTCGCCGGGTGACAGCCGCCGGAAACGACTCGACGACCCATTTCATTAATCTCTAGACTTCGCGAGAAGATCTAGAGATTGTCCATGTCGTCTTTGTCCAAGGAGAGCCTTTGGGGCCGTGGACATTGCACGACGATCCTCTCGAACGCTCAGGATTCCGGTGCATCGCCGACGCATCGCCGTCGCGACGCCGGAACTCTATTTTCCTGCTTTCAACTTACTTTACGCTTCATTTAGTGATAGTTTTTGTGATTTAAATTTACCAACATATATCATTTCATTACGATTCTTTTGTCTTTTACAAATCTTAATTTGATCAATTAAATCGTCTGTAATCGCTTACGTAAGAATCGCCGGGCAGAACTTTGTTTTCGCCCGATTCGCTTTCGTCGGGTGCTGACGTCATCCTGACGCCCCGCACCCTTATTTCCTTTTTTCGTGAATTTTAAATATATTTCCTTTTCATTTCCTAGTATAAAATTCATAGAAAATCGTATTCATTGAGAAAAATTCTGAATAATTACCAGATATTATATTACATCCCTATGATCGACTTTTATTGCTTTAATTTAATTGACCTATGATTTACCTTGAACTTGTCTTTGTGAAGATGTATTTCTACTCTGTCTTCTCTCACGAATACCATTCCCTTCAAAATCTTCCTTACATTTTTGAAACATCAGAACTCTCCCAGGATTCTAATCTAGTGGTTGCTTCTTGGTAACAACATGTTAAAAAATCATTCATTTAGCATATCGTACACATTTGACTTTTTACTTATCTTTCAGATTGATTTTCGTGATGAATCATAGAATTATATTAATTACTTAATCATAGACTTTTTACTTATATTCCAACTTGATTCATCCAGCATCAGGCAAAATGAAAAAAATGTGCTCAAGGAAGAAAAAATGAAGAATGCTATTATGACCATTCAGTAAAGATGTGGAAAAGTGAATAGGGTCAAAGAAGAAGTAAAGGCTTTAAAACGGTCATGAAGAATAGAAAATGCCTCTTCTATCGGAAACCTAATCACTTTAAGAAAGATTGTCCTAATGAAAAAATTAGCTCCATTAGAAGGGTGACCTCTATATCTTTGTGTGTTATGAGTCAAATTAAATTTGCTACTTCGATGAAAAGGAGATGAAATCCTTTTCAAACAAGTTTTTCTTCGTACATAATGTTAAAGGGATTGAGCTTGTTTGTGTACGTGGTGAACTACATATGAGAACGCTTAATGGCTGTTGCATGGAGTACATTTTGACCAAAGTTAAAAGAAATCAAAAGCTTTCGGCAATAAAACATTTACAGCAGTCAACAGGCGAATAACCCATGTTAAATCGAGGTGTACATTTTTCTGGCCATCTTTCCTTCATGAAAAGATGCACATCATTCTGCTGCTGCACAGCGAATAACCCTTGTCTATTCAGCCAAGTCTGAAAGCCAAAAGCAAGAGATCACGGCACCGTAAATAATTAGAAGTACAGATAATACAGCCAGTTTGCAAAAGAGTAGATGGCTATTTATTCACCCATGTCTACTCACAGTAGTGAAACCGACGAATGATAAAGCACGTCGCCATCCCTTAGGACACCATCTCCACGGTCACTGAAGGGGAACTGACCGTAGTAATATGCCTCCTCGTCCAGAAATTTAGAGCGAAAGCTGTTCTAGCAGTTGCAGTTTCTGTACAGGATGGCCTCCAAGTCCTCCATGTACACGAAGTGGAGGCTGTGTGGGAGAGTTCTTGCTAGAAGGAGAGGGCACCACATGTTTCTGACTTTGTTGAGCTTGTGTATATCTGTGTGGGACACACTAGGCCACTGGCCGGTGAAAAGGGGTAAAGACTGGTATGCCTGAGTACATTGGTAGGCACACCAATGGCATGGCACGTAGGTGAAAGGGGCTGGATAGACACAGCCATACAAGGGGGGACCAAGCAGTGGCAAGTCAAGTAAAGCATTATCAGATTGACATACATGGGAGACAAGGCTTGGTGGCAAAATTTCTTTTCAACATCACCCATGAAGTCCATAGTCAACTTGCAATAGAGAATCACACCCCTAATATTTTACAGAATATTGGACTACAAAAACATGTAACTTCACTAGTTCTCTCTATTCAAGAAAATCTCTTTGATGTTGAGCATTATTCATAGAATCAGAAAAATAACAACAAACTTTCTTGTCAAATAGCTATACAAAAGCATGTTTGTACCACAATCTTAATCCACTACCGCTATTTTTGGAAGTTTTATTGAATTATAATCAATATATTTATTCAGAAATACTTCTAAATATCTGAAAATTCGTATTTTCTAGTTTTATAAATTTTATTTTTGCGTGATTTAATATACAACGACTGAGTCACGTCAATATGCCTCTAGGTTTTAGGGAAGAGAAAAATCAACGTATGGTGTGTAAACTAAAGAAGTCTTTATATGGACTTAAATAATCTCTGAGGGCATGGTTTGGCAAGATCTCAACCACTATGCGTGAGATGAATTATTGCCAAAGTAATGATGATCATACTCTTTTCTTTAAACACTTTAGAAATACAATTTCTATTTTATTAGTTTATGTTGATGATATGATAATTCTTTTTTTAAGTAAAAGATTCATTCATTATTGATCCGTAATTAGTACATCATTTTGGATCTTGTTATCAATCTGTCGCAAGTTGGATCCTATGAGATTGGGGAATAGAATTTCATGTGCTATAATTCTTACCCTCGATTTACACATGTGCCACCCAATGGAGATGTGTTGGTTGCTTGGGCTGTATATTCTTTCCTCTCATGATTGAGCGATTATGGTAATGTGGCCTATTTTTGGGCCTTCATTCCTACTATTGGGCTTGTTGTTTTCTTTGGATATCATCTTCAGCTAATATTCACTTGTTTTTTACTGCAGTGTTTCCTTTGAACTGGTGGCGGATTTGTGGTCGTTGAATCGGTCGTTATTTTTCTAGGCACTTTGGAAATTCTTTTCCATTTGTGGGTTCCTTTTTTTCCCTATTTCCAGTCCTTGTCCTCTTTTGTTCCAAGACTTGGCCTCTTCATCAAAGAATCTTGTTTGCGTTCCTTCTCCTTTTGATTTCTCTTTTCTAATATGGCTGTTGTTTGTTCTTTTCATCTTGTGGCCTGCATTATGATTAAGAAAGAGGCACCATAGTATACTATATATAGGGAAGTAGAGTGGTGAGAAAATGGGATGTTTCTCTTGATGGAGACCATGCCACCAATTTTTATCTATCACTAGTTCCCTCAATAGTAATTGACACTGTAGCTCCCTAAGTTTCCTCTCTTTTTTCCTTTTCTCTCTCTCTTTTTAATTAATATTAATTATGAAGTATACATGTCTCATTGTTCCCTTGTTTCTCATTTCAGTGTACTTCTTTTTACGATTGAGCTAGACTGACCAATCCAAGTTTGTGAAGACTTGTAAATTGTTGGAGCTTTTCTTGCCTCCTTTTTTTTCCCCTAGTCAATTTCATCACTGAATCTTTTCTTCAATGTAGGTATTTTGAGTAGAAGGTAAGTGATAAGTCTTCATTATTATGAGTTAATAATTAGTAAATAATATAGTTTTAGCCTTAACTCATGATAAATAGACTTATATTTGTGTTAAAGTGTGAAAAGTGGTTTTGAGTTGATTAACGTGAATTTTTGAGTAATTATGTGATTTTATATGAATTTATATGATCTTATAGTCTTATTGATAAGTCTTCATTATCATGAGTTAATAATTAGTAAATAATATAGTTTTAGCCTTAACTCGTGATAAATATAATTATATTTGTGTTAAAGTGTGAAAATTAGTTTTTAGTTGATTAATGTGAATTTTTGGGTAATTATGTGATTTTATACGATTTTTACAGTCTTACTTTTGAGATAAATGAAGGAAAAGAAATTAAAAAAAAAAAGACAAAATGGGGGGACCCGCCGGGCCCGCAAGCAGGTCGGAAGCGCAGTCGGGGAGTAGCCACGAGCAAGGGCTTGAGCAGCTTGAACCGATGGGGGCACGTGTGCGCCACTCCCCTTCCACGTCACCGGTGGTCAGCCGGCTGTGGGACAAGGAGCGGTCGTACACGCGAGAGAAGGAACTTTGCTTAGAAATCTAACATTACTATATATTCACCTAAAAACTCGACGCACAACTGATGTGAAACTAAACCCGTTTCACACCTTCCTCAGAAAGGGCGGGCAACCGGCACAGGTTCGAATCCTCCTAGAGCCAAAACTCATACTTTTTTATCTGATTATCGCAACTTTCCTGTAGATCGCCGGTGAAGGATTAAGCTAAATCATCGACGAAAATCTCGTCAACACGATTCGCAGAGCATTGCTACTAAAATTGCTGAATGATTCGCGATAAAAGGATCGCGAATCCATCGAGTAAAGCATCTCCGATTGATCGACGAACAAGCCGTCATCAAGAAGAGGACGATCTGCCGGGAGACGAGTCGCCACCTCCTGAGAGCGTACCAAATGCGATGAAGAGCCTCCTCTTGCTACGCGGACCTGAGGATGAAGCTCCCTGACATGCGCCCCACCTCCATCTAGCTCCTCTCCGTCGGGTGACAGCCGCCAAAGAGCCGCAAAGTCGCCGTTTTTCCGCTCCGCCGGGTGACAGCCGCTGGAGACGATTCGATGACCCATTTCATTAATCTCTAGACTTCGCAAGAAGATCTAGAGATTGCCCACGTCGTCCTTGTTCAAGGAGAGCCTTCGAGGCCGTGGACACTACACGACGATCCTCCTGAATACTCAGAATTCCAGTGCATCGCCGACACATCGCCGCCGCGACGCCGGAACTCTACTTTTCTACTTTCAACTTAATTTTCATTTCATTTAGTGATAATTTGTTGATTTTAAATTTACCAACATATACTTCATTTCATTACGATTCTTTTGCCTTTTACAGATCTTAATTTGATCAATTAAATCGTCTGTAATCGCTTACGTAAGAATCGCCGGGCAGAACTTTGTTTTCGCCCAATTTGCTTTTGCCGGGTGCTGACGTCATCCTGACGCCCCGCACCCTTATTTCCTTTTTTCGTAAATTTTAAATATATTTTCTTTTCATTTCCTAGTATAAAATTCATAGAAAATCGTATTCATTGAGAAAAATTCTGAATAATTACCAGATATTATATTACATCCCTATGATCGACCTGGAAAATTACCGCTATTTTTGGAAGTTTTATTGAATTTTAATTGATATATTTGTTCAGAAATACTTCTAAATATCTGAAAAATCATATTTTCTAGTTTTATAAATTTTAAATTTGCGTGATTTACTATACAATGATTGAGTCACATCACTTACTTTTGAGATAAATGAAGAAAAATAAATAAAAATAAAAATAAAGCAAAATGGGGGGGACTCGTCGACCAGCCGAGCTCGCAAGCAAGTCGGAAGCACAGTCAGGGAGGAGCCGTGAGCAGGGGCTCGAGTGGCTAGGACCGATAGGGGCACGTGTGCACCACTCCCCTTCCACATCACTAGTGGCCAACCGGCTATGGGACAAGGAGTGGTCGTACACGTGTGAGAAAGGGACTTGATTGCAAATGTAATATTACTATAGATTCACCAGAAAATTTGGCGCACAAGCGATGTGGGACTAAACTCGCCATACCTTGCCCAGAAGGGCGGGCAACCAGTGCGGGTTTGAATCCTCCTAGAGCCAAAACTCATATTTTCTATCTGATTATCGTGACTTTCCTACAGATCGTCGGTGAAGGATTAAACAATTAGAATCGCTGGATCATCAGCAAAAATTTCAGCAACGTGATTCGCGGAGCATTGTTACTAAAATTTCTGAATGATTCACGATAAAAAGATCATGAATCCATCGAGTAAAGCATCTCTGATTGATTGACGAACAAGCCATCGTCGAAAAGAGGACGATCCGCCGGGAGACGAGTCGCCACCTTCTGAGAGTGTACCAAATGCGATGAAGAGCCTCCTCTTGCTGCGTGGACCTGAGGATGAAGCTCCCTGACACGCACCCCACCTCCATCCAGCTCCTCTCCATCGGGTGACACCCATTGGAGAGCCACAAAGTCACTATTTTTCTGCTTCGTCGGGTGACAGCCACTGGAGACGATTCGACGACCCATTTCATTGATCTCTAGACTTCGCAAGAAGATCTAGAGATTGCCCACGTCGTCTTTGTCCAATGAGAGCCTTTGAGGCCATGGACACTACACAACGATCTTCCTGAATGCTCAGGATTTCGGTGCATCACTGACACATCGTCGCCGCGATGCCAGAACTTTGTTTTCCTACTTTTAACTTACTTTTCACTTCATTTAGTGATAATTTGTGTGATTTAAATTTACCAAGATATACTTCATTCAATTACGATTCTTCTGGCTTTTACAGATCTTAATTTGATCAATTAAATCGTTTGTAATCGCTTACGTAATAATCACCAAGATACCCTTATTTATCTTTTTTGTGAATTTTAAATATATTTCCTTTTCATTTCCTAGTATAAAATTCATAAAAAATAGTATTCTTTGAGAAAAATTCTGAATAATTACCAAATATTATATTACATCTCTATGATTGACTTGGAAAATTATCACTATTTTTGGAAGTTTTATTGAATTATACTTGATATATTTGTTCAGAAATACTTCTAAATATCCAAAAATTCATATTTTCTAGTTTTATAAATTTTAAATTTGTGTGATTTACTATACAATGACTAAGTCACGTTAGTAAGCATTTTCCTCACATATTGTTTCTCCCCTTTCCCCCTCCTTCACCCCTTTTCCTTCTTTTCATCCTTCCTTTTTTGTTTTTCTTTTTTCTCTCTTTTTTTTTTTGGAGGGGTGAGAGGCAGGGGAAGAAAATTACTGACTTTTGGTAATTTCACTTCTTTTTTTTTCCTTCCTCATGTACTTTGATTCTTTGACTTCCCTATACCTTCATGGTCAATTGGGTGGGCTTTTGGGCCTTTTCTCTCCCATCACTCTTCACTTGCCATGTCATGATTATCATGTTTTCCTTTTCGTAATTGGGGTCATCTATTTGGTCTAACAAACTACATCTCCATGATCTTCATAATTAATTTTGGATTGTTTTCTTCACACATATTTTTTTCTTTTCTCTTCTAATTGTTCTTCCTCTCATGTATGCATGATGGTTTTTGCTGTTATTCTGGGTGTGTTGCATGAAGTTGACAATATATTGTATGTTGTATGTAAAGAAAGAGTATTGTGAGAATTTGACATACCTTTCATTACGATTTGATTAAAATTCACGTTGTGATGTTTTGACTATTGCTTTCTTCATTTTTTGGTACTTACTTCATCCTTCTCGAATTGGATCAAGCTTTCCCTATCTTACTCATTTGATATATGACATGCCCTAGCACTCCAAATTGTATATGCCTCTCCCTTCTTAAGAAGGTCCTACATACACTTGTAGATTTTTTCCTCTTTCTGTCGTAAGCTCACATTTGCAAGATAGTCTACCAATTGATTACCTATGTGAAAAACATGTTCAAGGGATTTGATTCTATCTTTTTTCATATTCTTTTTAATTTCTATTACCTACATTCCTATTTCTCAAACATCTTGACAAGTGTTATTGAGTCTATTTTAATTACAATGTTACATAAGTATAATTTTTCACATAATTGTAATTTTCAGCTAGTGCTTTACATTCTACCTTCATGTTGGTTAGTATTCCATATTATGTTGAGAATGCTCTTAATAATTTTCCACAGTGGTCTTGAATTACTTTGTCTTCGCCCAATTTTCCAAGGTTTTCTTTGGATGTTCCATCTGTATTTAGCTTCATTTCACCCTCCATAGGGTGAACCTATATGATGATCTTTATTATTTGGTCATATTTGACACTTCTGATCTCTACTTTACATCTTTGTAGAATTAATTTTTCTTTGAATGTATTCAATTTTTGTGCTCTATTATTCTCCCCAGATTTTTTATCCACGTTTTATACTTTTGTATGATGAGGGGAATGGTGATTTTGTTCCCATTCATTCAAACTTTATTCCTACCTATCCATAGTTCCTACAATAAACATGGAATATGTATCCTACACATTATTTCTATTGTTCTCTCTCTTGTTCTTGTATTTTTCAACATTATATGCTCAAAGTAATTCCTACAGTTGGTACCCCTGTTTCCCCATATATCTCATTTTTGACACAACTATTTCTCGTATTTTACAGCCCATTCGCTTTTGAAGAAGACATGATCTATGGATTCTTCTTGTGGGTCCTACAAGGAGCATACAAATTTTGATGGAAATTGGAATCCTAATTTTTGAATATTCATATCTAGTGGTAAGCGATTTGAAATGAGTTTTCACATAAATGAAGAAATTTTTGTAGGAATAATCATATTTCAAACCTTATCTGCCCATACTATTTTTGGGCTCTTGGTTCTAAAATATTCCCAAGCTAATTTGACAACTAATGGCCATATGCATAGGTCTTTGTCTAGATTTGTGCTGGGGACATGTTTTAATTCGTTTTATGAGATTCCATTTCATGCTCGCCATGTAAAGAATTTCTTGCTATTTTTTTTCATTAATTGGGATACAGTCATTCATGATTTGTTGGTATCAATCATTTCCAATTGTTTTAAACTCCAAAGCTTGACCAGTTGTCATTCCATACATTAATTTCTCTTTTATCAACCTCCCATCTTAGTACTTTTTCATGTCAATTCATGTTTCCTACATTTTTTTCCATCTTATTGGACCTCTAATTTCGGATTTCTCATGGCCTATTCTTTAAATTTTACTTTAATTAATTTAGACCACAGTGATGTTTTTGTTTTGCATCTCTATACTATTTTTATTCCAAGTCATCTCAAATGGTCTTCTATCCTTTTAATTCCTAGGCCTCTGTCATTACCTGGTTGGCACATATTTTTCCATAAAATCTAGTGGTGTTTGGTCTTAATTTCTACATTTCTCCATAAGAATTTTGTCCTCATTTTTTCCACTATTAATAATGACCTACGGGATATCATATGCAGCCAGGGTATGTATGGAGATGCTGGACAAGACACTTTTTATAAGTATGATTCTCCCTCCTAGAGATAATAATTTTGTTTTCCATCTATCCACTTTTTTCCTTATATTTTCTATAATATATTCAAAATAAGATTATTTCGTTTGTCGTTTATAGATGGGGCATCCAAGATAAGTAAATGGCATATTTCCTTTGTTGAAGCTAGTTAACTTTTTATTTCGTTTGTTTCTCCTCTTGGGGCTGTTTTGGCTTAGGTAGGATGCAGACTTGTTTTTGTTGATTTTTTGTCTTGATATTTTTTCGTATTTAATTAGGAATTACATCACTCTTTTTATGGACTTACTTTTGCTATTAGTAAAGATTATTGAATCATCCACAAATAATGCATAAAAAATTAGTGGGTAATTCCTCATCATCATAATTTTTTTTATCCTACACCTATCAAATAACTCTATTAACCCTTTGCTCATTACTTCTTCAGCTATTATAAATAGAGTAAAAATAGAGGATTCTCTTGTCTTAATCCTCTACTAGTTGTACAAAAAGGTGAAGTTTTACCATTAATTAAGAGAGAAAAATGATTGTTCTCTATACATACTTTGATCCATTCTATTCATTTTTTGCTAAATCTAAATCTTTGTAATACTTTCATGATAAACCATCATTTAATTCTATTGTATGTTTTGACCATATCTAGTTTTAATATGGTGTTATCACTTGTGTTTTCTTTATTGATGGATTAGGTCATTTTTTGAACTAGTGTAATGTTTTCAGTGATTGATCTTCCTTCAACAAAGGCTCCTTGTTCAACTGATATGATTTTAGGTAATACTTTTTGGAGTATTTTACATATTGTTTTGGTGACAATTTTATAGCACATGTTGCATAAGCTAATTGGTCTAAATTCAAAGAAGTTTTTTGATGTTTCTTATTTGAGAATTAGTGCTATGAATGTGGCTTCCCATGATCATGAGAGGGAGTTGATGATATGAATTCTTTAATTGCTTGGCGTACATCTTCGCTTACTATGTCCCCACATTTTGTATAAAATATGACATCCATTCTATTTGGTCCTAAAGCATTATCCTTCCTCATTTCGAATACTATTTCTCTTATTTCTTTGTCGTCTAGCATTTTACATAATTCTTTATTGTCTTCCTCATTTATCCATTTGGAGATTAGATCAAGAAATGTATGGCCATAGTCTTGTGTTTCTATTTGTAGTAATTTCGAAAAGTGTTTTATCCCTTCTCTTTGGATATTATTTTAGTTACCGTTGGCTTCTTTTAGTATTTGACTAAATGAGTCGTCATTTTTTATTTTTGTGGTCACGTGAAAAAAAATATGTGTTCCTATCACCCTTTCTTAACTAGTGGATTCTTGCTTTTGTTTCCAAAAGGTCTCATGTTGTTTAGATATTTCATCTATCTCTATTTTGAGGTTGGAATATTCCTCATATTTTCTTTTGTTGTAATTGTCTTATATTTCAATTTCGAGTTCTTCTAGTTTCCTTGTCATGTCTTTCATTCTTATCTTAATATTTTCAAATATGTTTTTGTTTCACCATTTTAATTGTATTTTCATGTTTTGTAATTTATAATTGAGATTAACCATGTTACTTGCTGCGACTCTTCCTCCCTAGTGTTCACTAACAAATGATTTGAATTATTTGTGTTGAGTCTACATGTTTTAGAAGCGGAATGGCATTCCACTGATAGGCCTGGTTGTAGCTTGTGTGATTAGGATTGGGACATGGTCTAAACATGTTCTCGGAAGGTAAGTGATTTAAAATTATTTTGTTCTAGTAAATTTTTTGTTCACCAGGATTCTGTCTAGCCTTTGGTAAATTTTGTTTACTCCTTTAGCACAATTAAATCATGACATATTGTTACCTTCGTGCTTTATTTCAATGAGTCCTAGGTGTTGAATTGTTTCATTGAATTTACTCATCTAGTTGAAATTCACATTACATCTACCTCTCTTTTCTAATGAGAGCCTTATAATGTTGAAATTCCTTTTGATTAGCCATGAGAGATTATCTCTTTTTGTGATATCCCTTAAGTGATCCCACAATTCTTTGTGTTTATGTGTTTCATAAGAGCCATATA